ATGATATTTGGTTTGTATTAGAAATATGATATGTATGAAAAATATTTAGATTTAAAAATGTAACATATATTATTAAACATCCTGTAATAGCAATCTAATTCCTAAATGCTTTTTGCAATTTCACCTTAAAGGTCATACGAAACGATTCTTAACACTAGGATTTTACTATTTAAACATAAAGATTGGTATGAAGGAAATGACAAATAGCGTTAAATATATGAAAAATTGCCTTTGCTTATCTGGGAAATGAAGGTGTAAACTTGTGCACTGGATAAATTTTTTACTCGCTTATCGTTCTTCGTTTTTTGGTTTTATGACGTCACAAAGACCCATTGATGTAAATAACGCATTAGACCTAGTGTAATTTTACCATATTTTACTGAGTTAATTTTAGCCATTTTTTGTGGATATAAATGTGACTGTTTTCAGATGACATCCGATTCCGTAGTACAGTAGACTCTTTTGAATTAGTCGTTAATGAGGCACAGCAACTGAAAACGAGAGCTTTTCATCGAAGGATGATCATGATGAATACTCTACAGAATTCAAGATTTTCACCCTCCAACTATGACTATTTATTCTAAATTCATACTTTAGAAATAAAAATCTTCTTATTCTACTTATTTTATTTAAAATACATAATGTAATTGATGTGTAACGTGTTTTAAAATTTTAAAAATGTGGTTTTTCATTCCAAGTGAAACTGTGTAATTTACATCGACTATCGTAATTCATTAACCTGAATAATGCTTTAGGACTGAATAAGGTTTTTTTTTACATTAATAATTAAACATTAACTATTTGAAATAATTATGCAAATTAGCTATTTCTAGTTTGTAATTGCAAGCATCTGGCACTTTTTATGTGTTCTTAAAGTATGAATTTTGGAGCAGAGCAATCACAGACCTCTAAAATATCAGAGGTGGGATTAGGTGCCATGGAGGAGTGAGCATCCCCTGCCGACCGGTCACACCCGCCGTGTGCTCCTTGTCATGATCGGGAAATAACGGAAAAATCCGTCGACAATTCAGTGTGTAAATAATGGCTTAACAGTAAGTATGAAAAACGTCCGTCAGCATTTGACTTATAATACATGTAATTGGATTTGCTGACAAGGTCTTTGTATCGACCATAGAACTTACGAAATGACGACTTTAAACGACACTACTGATATTCTTGTTTCATCAACTTGTAAGTCAATAATTTACCTCGTTTTAGAAATTGTTCATACGAAGAGCATGGTCTTGCGTATCGAATCAACTGAGAGATATAAACCCCGTATGCAGGTGATGAAGGTATCTTGCTGCATAAGTAAGGGAAGCTGACGATTGAAAATTTGAAGTCATCAGCTTGGTTGTTAGATTACCATTAACGTCTTTTTCTAGTAAAATATCCAAATATGAAACAGATGTCTCAGAATCTGTGGTATCTTTTATCTCAAGGTCACCGGGATATATCGTATCGACATAAGAATGGAAATAACCATTGTTAATTAATAATACGTCGTCGATATATTTAAAAGTCGAGTTGAAGGCCACAACAAGTGTTTTCTTCTTTTCACGTATAGGATTTTGAACAAATTCTGCTTCATATGAATACAAAAATAGGTCTGCCAATAACGGGGCGCAATTGGTACCTATGGAAATTCCAATAGATTGTTGGAAGACCTGGTCTCCAAAAACCACATAAATCTTGTCAATCAGAAACTCAAACATCTTTTTAATATCAACTTCAGAGTACTTGTGTGTACAAATAGAATGTTTTTTAACAAACTAATTTTGCAAATGACCAAGGACAAGGTAAGTAAATTTACAAGTTCCATTTATATTGAAAAAGCAGGTGTCAATGAGCCTGGACTTTACTTTATCGTTGGGAATGGTTGTATATATGGTTGAAAAGTCGTAAGCTTTTATGTTGTCGATTTTGGTAAAATTTTGTGATTTCAAAATTTTCAAAAGTTCCTTGGAATTTTTAAGTATCCACATCTGATTTACACCGCTTCTCGAATATATTGCTGAACAGTACTCCTGAAGTTTCTCCTTCACTACTGTTAATATTCAGTAGTATATTAACTACTGTTAATATTTTAGTCAGTTGTAATGAAAGAGGCTTAGTAGAACATTTACTGGAACCCGCTATGTATCTTTGTTTGTAAGGATTTTTATGTAGTTTTGGAATCCAGTATAGATATGGTAATTCAAATTCATGTTGGTTGTTGGGAATATTAAAAATATTCAAACTGAAATATGATTTTGAAGAATTTCTTCCTTACAAAGGGAACTATGGGTACAATTTAATGTATCGTCAATTCTCATTATATCGCGATATATTCCAAAAATTAGGATATGTAGCTCATCTCCTTTTTGTTGATGGACTATCTGTCTGTCGTCTGAATGTTGACTTTTGTGATGATTAAAAAGCATGGAACACCCTTTAGAATTTTTTTAAATTTAAATAAAATGTTTAATTTTACAGATTTCAATTCCCGTTTTTGTTTTATTTAGACCATTTAAGTTATATCCTAGTAAAACCAATAATAAAGTTCATATTTTGAAAGTCTTAAGTTTGTATTATTGTTTAGTTTTTCTGTAGATTTAGATCGTAAATTTTAAAATAAAAATTGGTCTTCGTGACAGCGCCAAGCTTCCCCGTTTTTTCAGTACCGCGATACAATGAGACTCTCCGCTTTAGGAAGTAAATAAGACTTCCTGTCTTAAAAATAGACCAAAAATTAAACGAAGCAAGCTTGGGAAATAATTAGCCACGACAAAGTTAGGCTATTGTTGGGTATATGAATAGCTTTTGATGAAAAGTTAAACTAAGAATTCGGAATAACTTTTTTTACGCAAAAAAGTACCTCGATATAATGAGACACCAGTATAAAATGAATACAATACAGCAGCGACAATTTATGCTAAAAATAATTTTTAAAAAAAGATGGACAAAGAAGGCGAGCAAAATGCCTATTGTGTGACAATTAAGAAATCTATATTATTTCTTGAATAAAAAAATATTTTATTAAACATTTACGCTTACATCATTTAAAATCTCCACGAATCGCAACAATGTCACAAAGATTGAAATTATTTAGCTAAGAAATAGCATAAATGTACCAAAGAGAGCAAAAATGATCAATTCTTCATAATAAAACACAATTTTTCCATATGAATTGGTATTTGCTCCATTTTCTGAAAGATTAAAATCAAGAAATGCTTAGAACTATTCATATTTCGGCTAACAAAAAGATGGAGAAAGACCCACAATACCTAAAAAATACACATTCGTATCTTTCAAAACACATTTGATGTCCATTTAATTAAGAGTCATTTCACAAACTAGATTTAAATGCCACTATTTGTCATGAGCTGTGAAGCCTAGTGATTAGCGTGTTAGGGCCGGTACACACGGTAAGGCTTGCCTTATAAGTCATAAAACTTAAGTTCTAGCTTTACCGTTTATACACCCTTTATACACGTTTTTTGAGCCTTACAAGTCTAACTTATGAATAGAGCACTGCTCTATTTCTTAATACAAGACTTACAATTTAGCTGACCTTTCTTTTCAACCAATGAAAACCATTCTTCCAAATGTCAATCTATTTTTTATTAAACCATACACCTGGGTAGAATGAAGTGAACACACAGTATTTTCAAATGAGATAATGAATGTTTCTACAAATGCTTCTGTTCAACCTCTTCCTCTTTTTTAGAAGTGTGAATGCACTGGTTGGTAAAATTACAAAGTCCTAGTATTCTAATCTTCTATTTTAATGACTTAATTTACTGTTTATGGCTGAAAACAAGTGGAATTTATGTAAATGTTGCTTATAACCTTGTAAGTCTTGCCTTAGCTTGTACAGTCTGCAAAAACGTTAGGTTTTAGACTTATAAGGCAAGCCTTACCGCGTGTACCGGCCCTTAGTCAACCAGAAGTCTCTGTCGAGACTGTAGCTCTCCTGGTTTGTACTTGTAACAGTTAAGGAAGAGAAAAGTAGCACTTGGACTTGAAACGGCAATGAATAAATAGTAATCCTTGTTTTACTCTCTTTTTGTGAAAAGATGAATTGCAATCAGATTAAAATTGTAGAAGGAGTAGCCATTTAAAAGAATTTAGAGAAATTTCGATTTTAGTTACCATGGCAATATTCATCAAAATCAAAAAAATAATTAAGACAATTATGTATCTCAGTGTAGTCTTCTTGCATGCCATGTAATATTAAAATCAGACCAAACTGTAGGCAATGTAATGTTTTGAAAGTATATAAAAGAAATTCAATTTTTTGTAACCATGGCAACACTTCATCAAAATAAAAAAAATGATATACAGAATTATGTATCTCAGTGTAATCTACATGTGTGCCAAGTTATATTGAAATCAGACCAAAACTGTAGGAGGAGTAGCATTTTGAATGAAATTTCTATTTTTAGTAACCATGGCAACAACATTCACCGAAATCAAAAACCAATAAATAGAATAATGTATCTCAGTGCGGTCTACTTGTGTGCCAAGTTTTATTGAAATCAGACCAAAACTGTAGGAAGAGTAGCATTTTGAAAGTATTTCACAGAATTTTCTATCTTAAGTAAAAATGGCAACATCGTTCATCGAAATCAAAAAATTGATATACAGAATTATGTATCTCAGTGTAATCTACATGTGTGCCAAGTTATATTGAAATCAGACCAAAACTGTAGGAGGAGTAGCATTTTTAAAAAAAAAATGTTTACAGACAGACAGACGGACGGACGACGGACACCTTACTATCGCATAAGCTCTTCTGATCTCTGACCAGTTGAGCTAAAAACAAACAAACAAAAACAAAAAAAGAGACTCAGTATTATTATTGGGTTAAAACCACAAGAATACCAATTTTTTATGAATGAATTTTCCGCAGAAAAGTTCTAACATTTTATTCATTTCAATAATAAGAAATTTACTCTCAATACTAAATTGAATATGACTTTTATACATTTGAAGTTATAGACATTTTTTCCGCCTTGTTCGCCCATCTCCGTATAAAAGTGTTTAATTTTATTCGTTTTCAGCTGATATTTCACAAAGTGTCCAGCTATACGATCTATCATTACTGGCCATGAACACATAAGCCACGGAACATAGGGGGCCCTCACAGGGACAAAGGTAGATACAATGACCAGGTGATTCTCCATTACGTGGTAAACAATACGTCACTTCACCGTGAAAATCTAATGACGTAAGAGATGTCTGATAGTACACCTGCAACAAAGATTAATCAGTCATAAGTAGCTAAATAATGAAAGTTTAATGTTAACTATACAATAATACCTTAACACGGAAACACTGAGTAGCAGATGACGTATTTGGTGGCGTCACCCAACATAAAAATTCTTCAGAAATAAAATAGATTTATATATATATATATATATATATATATATATATATATATATATATATATATATATATATATATATATATATATATATATATATATATGATTCATTGGTAATTAATCCCCCACAAAGGATTTGTTCTTACTGGAATTCAAGATTTAAAATTTTTTCAAAATTGAAGTAAGTCAAACTCCAAGGTCAAGGTTAAAAGGTCAAACTTGTTGGTATCCAAAGAAAGGTATTGTCACAAGGAGTACACATATGAAGTATGAAAGACCTAGCACAAATTGTTCAAAAGTTATGCCCAAGGTTAAAGTTTTTTCAACAGTAGGTCAAACTCCAAGGTCAAGGTCAAAGGGTAAAAAAAATGTTGGTACCCAAAGGAAGGTCTTGTCACAAGGAATATACATGTAAAGTATGAAAGCCCTAACACCAACTGTTCAAAAGTTATGGCCAAGGTTAAAGTTTTTCAAAAGTAGGTCAAACTCCAAGGTCAAGGTCAAAGGGTCAAAGTTGTTGGTATCTAAAGGAAGGTCTTGTCACAAGAAATGCATATGTGAAGTATGAATACTTCACATATGCATTCCTTGTGGCCATAACTTTTGAACGGTTGGTGCTAGGGCTTTCATACTTCACATAGGTAATCCTTGTGACAAGACCTTCTTTTGGATACCAACAACTTTGGCTCTCTTGACCTTGGAGTTTGACCTACTCTTGGAAATCTTTAACCTTGGTCATAACTTTGGAACGATTGGTGCTTTGGCTTTTCTATTTTACCTGTGTATTTCTTAGTAGAAGGTCTTTCCTTGGGCTCCATTAATTTTGACAATTTGACCTTGACCTTGATTTTGACATACTTTGAAAAAAATTAACCTTTTCCATATCTATTCAATGGTTGCTGCTAGGCCTTCATATTTCACAGGTTTATTCCTCGAGACAAGAGCTTACTTTTGGTACAAACATATTTGATTTGCATTTGAGAAAGTTTAACCTTTGCTATAAGTTGCCATACGGGGGCATCAGTGTTTTACAAAGACTTCGTGTTTTTTTATATATAAAAAATTATCAATCGGCAATATTGATACTCGACGCACCACTGTGTTTTTTAATGATGAAGTAACAATGGATTAAATTTTCCTATTTAGGATTTACGTAAAACTGTCTAGTTACAAGGTATATACAATTGAAAATTACCTGTAATACGGATTTTTTATTATGTTTATCACATTTTATTCCGTGTCCTAAAACGCTCAGTATGAAACTGGAAGGAGTCAAACCCCATAACATTGATATATTTATCTGCATCCATAGAATGGGCGGAGTATGCCCCTGGACAGGAAGTTGCATACATGACTCGTTGTTGTTGTCAAACACTGAAGGTAGTTCAGAGAGTAATTGTTCACTGACATCTCCAAAAACCTGCAAACTTTCTTTAACTGTAAAATAGAAATTGATAATGCATAATGAGTTGGTATATACTAGAATTATGGTAAATGATCTTGAAGAGTTAGATTCTCTCTTTATATTATTAAAACTGACATTGTTTTAATAAATCTGGGTTTATTTTAACAGAGATAAATACTTCACAAACAAGTGTTGTTTTCTTCTTAGAGATGAAAACTGTTTGAATACAGTTCTTTATCTTCATACATTTCATCATTTAATTAAAACCTCAGATTTCATTTTAACAAGATGTATTTGTGAAACACTGATGCTCCCGTATAACAGCTCAAAGCAAAGGTTTAAATGTTTCAAAAGTAGGTCAAACTCCAAGGCCTAGGTATATGGTCAAAAATATTGGTATCCAAAGAAAACTCTTTCACAAGGAATGTGAAATATGAAAGCTCTAACAACAACCGTACCCTAGTAATTGTTAAGGTTAAAGTTTTTGCGGACAAATAGACGAACAGACAGACCAAAAACTTTTTGCATCCGAATCTCCAAAATGCAGGGACATAAAACAGGAAGTTAAATCAAAATTGCGAATTTTGGAATAAACAATTTGAAAAGCAGATTTTATGCTTCACCTATTGGTCGGCACTCTATCACGCATGGTCACCGTTAGCCTTCCCATGGTAAATACTAAATGTGTACTTAATAAGGCGGGCTACACTTTTTAGCGGCTTTGGCACAAACAATGATGCGCTGATTCGTCAATACCGTTAAGAAATCAATTAATGAATAGAATAATGGAGGGTATGTTTGTTGCGCTAATTCATGATTACGCAAACCAACCAATACCCAGTAACTGAGCTAAATTCTGAGTACGTCAATTTATGTACACGTACAGTATATTTATAAAATACTAATAATGCATTTAATTGAACAATTTTTTTTTAGACTTAATTCGCAATGAAGCTCAGCAAAAATTTCAATAGCATCTTATTGTCAAAGATGAGCAAAATATCATAAAGATTAATCGTGTTTAATCTTTGATAGCGATATTTTACTCAGTTTGTCTTTATGTTCCAAATCCAAAAAATTATAATCTTTAGGGTTTTTTCACAAGGTTTATTTTTTATACTATGTACAATAAGTGAAAAAAAAATTCTGATCCCAATAAATATCCATAGTGAAAGATATTAAACATACTATTGAAATAGAGGAATTGGTGTAGTACACAACACGTTGAATTTCCTCGTTCAGCTTCTTCAAGTTGCATTTTCACAGCAAGAGATCTACTACCAAGGCCATAAACCACGTGGGAAGTGTTTTCACTTATATAAATTAACTGGAATAGATACTTAATATGAAAACATATCATAATATTAATCAAATATAATGATAGAAAATGGGGTATCTAAAAAGACATTGAAAGGTATGAAATTGTGACAAAAACATTTCTGCGGAAAAATTCTCTGGGCAGAAAATTATTCTACGGTAAGAAAATATTAAAGATTTCTTGGAATTTCAACCAAAAACTAAAACTTTGAGTATCAGGGGTTTTTTTTATATTAGAGAGTGACACGCTAACCACTACACTAAACAACTCATAGAAGGTAGAGGCATTTCAATCTTGTTTGTGATATGAACTTTGTATAACTTTTGAGATATTTTTCAGAAATATGTAAATTTTGTGTTATAAAAGTGTATTTTTAAAGTAAAGTGTGTCCTTGCTACGTGTTTTTAAAGGGGAAAAAATGTGTACTTACATGTATATAGAAAAATTGTGGTAGTATGAAGAAATGATATATTTGCCCTCTTTGTTGTCTGCACTTCATAGACAAATAATTTTAACACTTGTAAGATTGTTCTAAATTGTGTAGATTTTACATAAAATATACATTAATATTAACTGAAATATAAAAAATCATTGTGTTATAATTGAGACGTTTTTATTTTTTTTACTTTCTTATTTGTTGAACCATAGGCATTTTCTTGGCTTGTTCGCCTATCTTCTTTTCTTGATTTTTAGTTTTATTCCTCTGGTTAAAGTCGATTCGAATTCTGTAAATCATTTTTTGATATTTAAAACCCAACAGTTATTCACTATAAACCTTGTGTTATATCAAAATGATTTCTTAATTAATAATTAAACCATAACCTTCAGTACAAATTATTCAATCGAAATATGATAATTCCAATGAAAAAAAAATCAATTTAACTTACAGCTTAACATTTTGTGGTGAGTACTTACATTATTTGTTTGGTAAATAATGCCATCTGAGCTATATTTAACGTGACACGTCGAGGCAAAAGGAGTTTCATCCAACGCGGTTTTTAGGACTTCAATTCCATAGACAATCAAAGGCCTAAGTGAAACTGTCTGAAAAAAGTATTTTTTCATCATTAAAAATTGACTGTTTTAAAGGAACAAACATATTAGCTAACACCTCCAAGATTTCTTTTAATCAAACAAACCGTTTTTTGAACTGTAAGAAGAATTGATGACATCACGTTTTGTAAGAAACCAGGTGATCTGATCAGGACGGTAAAATTTCCGACTGACGACGCGCCTAGTTGTGCATCCTTGTGGAGACTGGTCTCCACCCTTATAGTAAGAATATCCCCATTAGTATCACTGGTGGCCTCTTGATTACATAACAGAGGAAATTCTAAGCTAATGTTTCCAAAGGTACCGTCATCGTAAATGCTACAACACAAACTCTCTGTATAAGTGATCATAAAGATACAGAAAACCATTATAGAAATCAAAAACAGAAAAGAAGTTCAGGGCTCACTTCCTAGACCTAAAATTCTGGAACCTAATTACTGATCATCCAGTCACAAAGTTCTATTATTGAGCAAATAAAGTAATATACACAAGAATGTTTCCACAGTATATGATTGATTGATTGTATGATGTTGTACGTCCCATTCGAGAATTTTTTCACTCATATAAGAGACGTCACCATATGCCGATTAAGGGCTTCAAATTTAGACCTTTACTCGGCACTCAGGGCCATTGAACAGTGAGGGATATTTATCGTGCCAACGCCTGCCTTGACACGGGGCCTCGGTTTTTAAGGTCTCATCCGAAGGACCCGCATCTTTCACTTCAAAGTGTCGAGCGCATGGCGAAGGAACAGTTGCTACCTATTTTTATTGACTTAGGTCAGTCCCGGCCGAGATGCGAACTTCCGATCACGGATAGAGCGCTCTCCACAGTATGTTGACTGACTTGGCTGATCTACAATATTGTTATTTCCAACCTGGTAGAGAGAACGCTCTTTTCATTAGGTTTCGAACCATTCTTGCCAATAAAATCAATTAATTTCAATGGAATATTTCAAGTGTAAGCTATAATAATTTAAATGTTTTACCCATACGATAATGTAAAAATATGGCCGAAGTCCATTACTTTCTCAAGAAAACCATCACTTGATAACGAAAGACACGTTTCAACATGTATATCAAGAGGTTTTAAACAATAACCGTGATTTTGGATAAGAATGGAAATACATTACAATATAAATACATTGCCTTCATCTTACATGAATCGATCAAGTGATCCATCAAGTTGCATCGTCTGGAAACATGGCAAAAGATTATCCCCGACATGAACAATCTTGTATTCTTGTACAGAGAACACAGTTTCACCAACGGGAAAAGTAATAAACATAGGTCCGGGAGTTTTATTCCTCACTGTGGTAATGTTGACGAAAAATTCAAAAGTCTGGTTTTCAGAAATACATGCAACTGGCTTATCATGGTAAATATCCACTGAGAACATTATATTTTGCTGAAAGAGACAAAAAAGAGAATAGATTCACGTTACACAATGATAATGGTTTTTAAAAGGATTTTAAAGAGGCATTTTGATTTCTAAATGATGTAAAAATAATACGATTACAATACATCAATTGAATTATTAAATAATTCTAAAGGACTTATTTGATATCATATTTATAAGCATACATCATAAGGAATCTTTCCTTGAATAGTGTAGTTGTATTGGGAGCTGACAGAACTACTGTTGATTCTAATTGTGTGGAGATCCCCTATCTCTGTGTACACGGGGACGGGGACAGCAGTGAGCTTTAGCACCAGCCAATCCTTGTTCTCTGTAAGTGACGGAACAGGAAATCCAAAGTTTGTAATATTCAGGATCACTTCTGCCACATTCTGAATCCTTGAATTGTTTGATCTCCTAAAGGAGACACTTACAGCAGCACAATGGATATTACTTCCAGTGTTACCAATGGTTACAGAGGTGATAATAAGCCCTGTCTCTCCTCCACCTCCAGACTTTAGTGACGTCAGAGTCACGTTAACCTGATACACACCAAATTGTGGTGTCGTCAAATTAACGTCTGTAGAAAACTTTTGCCCAATTGAAATTATCTCACTATATGGTAAAGTCTCCATTCTCTTTAGAACCTGCATTACAAATGGTGTTTTGATTTAAAATATTTAGACATTACTATAAAATAAGTTGTTTTTAACATCAATTTGTGTCGAGATATACATGCATGAATATACGCACGAATATTTCATGAAAGTGTAATTTGAGGAAAATTAATTTTGAAAAAATGGACAAAATGCAGGTTGATGCCTGTGACAATGTATTCATGAACATAAACGCGTAATTTTTTAAAAAATTATATAAAAAGTTAAATTGAGAGAGAATTTTTTTTTAAATATTAGAAACGAATTAGTTCCACATAAATCAGTGCACTGAGTTTTATTCTATAATGTTGAAATTAATTTTTAAAATAATAAGATACACAATAATATATTGCTAAGAATTATTAGGATTTACCGGAAGGTTGACAAATTTCGAAGAAATAAAATTTAACGTCGAATTCCATAAAAGAAAACCATCGACATGGATAATGAATTCCAGTGGATAACTGGTGTCCAGCTGAGAATCTCTGTCCATGTACACGGCAGTCTCTAACTTGATCAAGTCTTTGCTTGAAACTGGGTTGGATTCGAAGGCATCTTAAAATGAATGAATAAATGTTGATTACATTTTTAATATTGAAATACTGTAGTTTATTTATTGAATAAAAGTGATATTTTGTCACTGTGTGAGTGGATATCAAAGTGATATTTTGTCACAGTGTGAAAGAATATCAGACTTGCGGCAAAAAATAGTAAGTAGTAAAAATACTCCCTGGTCTATTATAAGAAAGAGAGTAAATAAACCAGAATAACAGATACAAAACTGCCAAGGTTTACCCAAATATGCTATGAAGTCCATGTTAACAATTTTTTCATTCTTACAATCGCCATGACGAATCAACCACTCAACTATGACGTCACAGCCTATGACACTATGTTAATTAAGAAAAGACACCGGCAAAGGAGAGATCAAAGAAAATATAATAAACAGAAAATTCTATAGTTTGTAGTAGATTATAGAATTTATTTCACTCGTGAGGCAGGATTTTTTTAAAAAAAGATTATTGCAACGGAATAATGAGTGGGGTCTTTTTTTTAAATGCTTCCTCTCCTACAGTTTCGATACGACTTTAAAAGTTTACAAGTTTACAAAATGTAATACATGTACGTTTCAAGTGCAACTTTTCTTTTCCGTTTTTTTCAAATGTGAAATTGTGTCATTTGAATTCAAGTTTTGTGAAAACTGAGTTTTGAGTATTGAAATAATGTATATTATTCATGGATTTATAAGGGTAAAATCAAGTGGATCCTTTGCAGACATTGTGTTCTGGATTAACTTAGATCTCCGCGTTCTTTCTGTTATTTACATGTAAATTAAAGGGTATTCAATGTATTTGTTTTTGTTTCCCTCTTGAACACATTCCAAAGTTTACCTGTAACTCTCCATTCTGTTTGTTTTAACTGTCCATTCTTTTTGAAAAAAAAAAAAAAACCTGTCCACTCTTAAAAAGAATGGACAGTTTTCCAAAAAGAATGGACACTTACAGGTAACTTAATGGATTGTTTGAGGAGTTAGCTCAACATTAAGCTATAGAATGGACAACACAAACAAAAGGTTAATGTCACAATCATGTTTTAATTTTAATTAATATCTCAGAAGAGCTGAAAACTGAGGCCCTGTGTCACAGCAGGTGTTGGCACGATAAATATCCCTCACTGCTCAATGACCCTGAGTGCCAAGTAAAGTTCTAAATCTGAAGCCCTTCACTAGTATATAGTGACGTCTCTATTTGAGTGAAAAATTCTCAAATGAGTAATAGTCTTATAAAACATTTTAATTTTCATCTGGTGTTGATTTTCAAGAATCGCATTCGGTAATATTACAAAAAATATAAGACAAAACTGTTAAGAAAATATTGATAAAATCAAATGTCCTTGTGTGTTTATCTTTACAGGGAAACAAGCCATGAAATCCAAATCTCATAAACAGAAGACTCACAGAATATGATCATTTTATAATCCATAAACAATATATACCAGCAATTTATTGAGCGCGTTATCAATAAATTTTATAAATTATATACCTAGCTACAATTTTATACTGTCGTATTTTCGTTATTTATATATAAACATATTGAAACGATATCGTGTTTAGAAATCCATACCAACCTTTGTTAGCAAAATGTGTAGGAAATATTAGGTCAAGAGTATTGTTGCCAATGACGTCACCACATACTGCACCAACAACATTATATCGTTCTAGGATAACCTGAATGAAAAAGTATTCGAACAAGAGGCCCATGGGCCACAACGCTCAAATGACTAATGTTAACTCTGCTGGTCTTCAGAAAAATCCCATAAAAATGTAACTCCATTTTGTGCTCCCATCCTTACTCTAAGAGATCTCTGAATTCAATAGCATGAGGATGTTTCAGAATCAATATGACTAACGCAGCCTTTTTTTGTATTCATGTCTTTTGTAAAGTTGATCCTCAACTTTAGCGGGGTTTTAGTTGTTGTTTTCTCTTGAATGTGACGTATGATAAAATGACGAACATTAATCATTCTCAAAAGTTGTAAACAAACACGGACCTCTGAAAACATTAGAGGTGGGATCAGTGTCATGGTCGGTTAAAAAGAGAAATCTGTTGACAATTCAAAATGAAAATAATGGCCTTACAATTTAGGTGAAAGGTGTTATTCGACACTCGACCTAACGATATACTGTATTAGCAAACAAGGTCATTGTATCGACCATAATATTAGCAAAATGTTGGTTGTAAACAAAATTGTTGATATCCCTGCATCATCAATTTATTTGTCAGTAGTAAACAACAAACAAAATCAATCAGATATATAAATTTTGTCAGAGTTTAACTAGAATATTAAACTCTATGAAATGAATATATTTTCTTAATGTGTGACCATTTTCACAAGCTAAGGAAATATCTTACAGGAAGTTGATAATTTTCTCCAACTTCTATGACAGCCACGCGAAAAACGCGAAGTTTGGATTCCTCCCCACCCAGCATACTCCTGGAGGTCACCACAATGTCAGGGTTAGCCAATGGCATCCACAGATCAACAATGACTCGAGTTATAGTACCACGCTCTAGGTAGGAAGTTGATGGATAGCGAGGAAATATTTCTGGTGTCTTTATTGGGGTCTGAAAAACAAAAATAAGAAAGCTTTGCAGATTGTCATGACACATGGTTTATCTTTGCAAAATGCTTTAAAACTGCAGCATTTGTTACCATTGTTGTGATATTTTTATTTCAATAAATTGTCTCTATGGTGTTTTTTAAATATTAATTTTTTAACCCTTGAGTTATAAATAATAAGTTGTATATATACAATGTATGTTTGATTTTTTTATTTAAAAAACAAACCAGGAGATCTGTGTTGATGATGTAAGCAATGTCTTTTTTCCAGATGCTGACTCCATCCATTAGAATCTGGACACACACTGTGTGTTGCTCTCCATTAGAAACATAATCAATGGATTGTAAGAAAATTTCGGAATTTATACTAATCATGTTGTCTTTGTATATGTTTGAAGATCCAGAATTTATAATATCTCCCAAGGACAAGTTGCCAGATAAAATAAAGTAAAATCCGGACTAAAAATTATCAAAATATGAATTAGCTACATGATGCAGAGGTCTTTGTTTTACTTTTCAAACATTTTAAGATGTCAGCTCAAAAATACAGAGTTATAATTATCGAACCATGAAATTTTTTTGTGAACAATAAATAAACATTTATTTGTATGCACGACACTGTAGCTCATTTTCTCAGAAATTTTCATCATACAGTTTAGAATTAAATTTGTTTTAATATATGACCTCTTGGTCAGAATAAAAGATGTGGGTTGGGATAAGGATCAAAAACTGATTTTTAAAAATGATCTCTTTTACGAAAACAGAACTCCAGTCAATCAATCTTTCATAAGACTTGCAGAATTTCATGCTTGCAAAAATGTTTTAGTGTGAAGTAGCACAAAATGTCAATATGCAATACTGTAGAATATCATGTCCGCCATGATTTCAATTTTGAACAATGGTAAACGTCAGCAATGCGTATTTGTAGAAACTGTTTCAAGTTAACAACAACAAAATTAAAAAGGTAATATTGCAGAAAGGTGCATTATTACAGAAATTAGTGTCCTTGATTTTAACATGTTTGATACTTATAAAGAGACCCATGGCCTAAATTGTTACCTACTGTACATACAGACATATTTTTTATTAAATGAAATGCATAATCAAAACAATGATCCCAATGTGGTTTTTGGTATTTGGATATATGATTCAAACAAACTGTACTCAGAAAAGGTTTTTTTTCAAAAGATTGTTCTATATACATGTGTAAATTGTATTATATTGCAAACTTTTAGCCCTGATGCAATACTAAACAAATTTTAGACATTGTCTGCAAATAGTGGAAAAAATAAATTATTGCTTGGGAACAAAAATAAATTGTAGAATTACTTTATGTAAATATGAATCATTCCTGTCAAAATTGTTTTTTCTTTTTATTTTTACCCCAGTTAAAAAAATCTTACAATCCTTGATGGAGACGAAAAGCTGTAGTAAAACCTCTGTGAGAAAGATTGTATATTGTTGCCTTTTTCCGTTACACTGGCGCTCGCCAGTGCCATGACTTGTTTATAGGTCGAAGCTTTTATAATCACGACTAAATTCGGTGTTGTTCCGGCGGGAAATTCCAAGTATATCGTCAGATTTCTCTTCGATCCAAGATGTAGGTTCCTGGATTCATCTTTGTCTTTTAGCCCTGCCTGTAATGAACTTGGAGGAGGGAAGGTGTCTAAAATGTATTAAACATGTAATTTAACAAAGGGTACTGTAATGGATTATATCAAAGTGACATGATGAAATTTCACGTATTTTATATAGGTTAAATAACATATGGTTCAGTTTGTTTCCTTCTGCAAGAAACCCCTCACTAATTTCGAGATGTATATTGAGATATATGCATTACAAGTGCATTTCTGAGATAATCAATATAGTTTTACATTAGCCTGAACAAAAACTGATCATCATTTCCCTTACCTGTTGTACAGTATTGACCACTAAGTCCAGTGCCAACACAATCACAAACAACGATTATCTGGCTCCAGTTACCGATGCATGTTCCAGCTCCACAATTTCCCTCTTGATATACAAAAATGATTTACAAAAAACTTCTTATAAAAATGACACATTTCTCCGTACTTCAATATTAAAGGAAACATTGGTTAACTGATTTACCGGACGGTGTCACTGTTCGTATAATGCTGACAGTGACCACACCCTGTGTTGACTTTTGTGGGTAAACCCCGCCTCCCAGGTCTCCTCCCATGTACAAAATAAAGCCGTTGGTATTGGCATTACTTGGCCGCCATAGAAGTACCTCGGATTCGTGATAGGCATATATCACTCCGCCGTAATCTGTCAAAGAACCGTCAGTTAATGATGTTCCTGCGCCGTGGAATACAAACCCTTCATTGGTTCCATCGGTGGCTTTCACCTATTTATAAGGAGAGGGTTCAGACTATGACCTTTGAATAATTGTCTATCATAGATAATAATTTTAAGTGTTACTGTCACAGTGTGAAATAACAAGCGGAACTACACATATATAAAATGTGAAGATAACGAATAGTAATTATGCTCAAATGTTCAACTAAACAATACATATTTTGAGCAGAGCCAACACGGACCTCTGAAAACAGAGGTGGGATCAGGCGTCATGGAGGAGTAAGCATCCCCTGTCGACCGGTCACACCTGCCTTATGCCCCGTGTCATGATCGGTTAAGTCAAAAGCACAGTATCACACATCGAAAATCTTTTACTGGTTTATTAATTCCTTTATGTTTCACCGTTAAAATTACAATCATAATTAGAGTTAAATGAAAGTTGCTTTATTGTTCAATCCTATCAAGTTCTTTATGTTTATTTGTATCATTCTTATATTTACTGAGTAGTATTGTATTGAATTCCAAAAAACAGACAGCTAAATAGGGAGAAGGAAAACCGAAGAAAAATATAACAAACAGAATCTCTGTCGATTTGTATAGTTGGATATGGTATTATTTCACTTGTGAAAAGGATTGTTTATTGTTATATTTTCACTCGTCTACGCACTTATAAAATTAATATTTACATTGTATATTTAATAAACAAATCCCATTCCTGAAAATTAATTCAATATCTAACTACAAAACATTTAATTTTCTCTATATATCAAAGACAAATTACCCTGACAACAACTAGATGATTGTCCGTTGATAAGTCGGGAGATACTGGAATGATATTGGGATGAGCCAAATTTTTGGCAATGGTCATTGTATGGGTGAACACTGTGTCCTCTGGTGGTAGTATCCAGGCGCTTATAATAAGCAGGGCCACACTGGCCGCATAACCTGTCCCCCATCCTTTATAAGCACATCCAACATACCCAACTGTTGTTTTTAAATGCAAATAAACAATTTTACAAATATTTATTATAACTTCTGACATTTCTACAGCTACAATACAAAGAATAAGCATGCATTGTTTTAAAATATGCTCCCATTTAATGTCAAGCATCGAAGATTTAAAGTTATTTTCAAATTTCTTGATTATTTGGTGTTAAATTTAAAATCATTTACATGTACTTAGTATCTTCCATTAAAGGAAAATGAGTTTTATTTGTGAATTTTGTTTGGTTATTTTAAGTTCTTACCAATCCCTTGCCTTTTTGCCATTCCCCATACGCGTATATAACGGTCATTATATGCTACCACCGTTCCACAAGCTCTATCAGAAGATAATCGGCCGTCTTTAAATACGGCACCTAAAATAAGAATTAAATTCTTTTTTTTTTTTCGGAATATTTATTACCGCCTTCCTTGGAAGATGCTGTACAGAGTTGGTTACTAGTAAGTGTTAAAGTCTTTGAAGTAGGCATTTCCTCTCTTTTGTGATTGGTAGAAAATACATTATGTGAAATTTTCACTTTTTTCATTGGTTAAAAATGCAGTTCAAAGCAAGGAAGAAAATTTACTGGTTATCTAGTTTACCAAATAATAAAACTGACATTTTAATATTTTATAAAGGTTTTCAATATTTTCGTATTTTCATATTCAATCATAATTATTATAATTTTACAAAATAAATGATCTTTTATGCAAACATCAAAATTTGGGATTTTTAAAAAAAATATGGTTAGGTTGATATCTATTAGTAATCCCTGTGATGTTTTGAAAAATTCCTTTAAAAGCAACTTCACACGGGACAAAGTTTTAATACCAAAACTTCTGAAGATCTGAGTTGTATTACAGTCATCTAGCGTTGTCTATGAAATTAAATGCAATCTTTGTGGCGTTATTTATATTGGAGAAACCAAGGACTCCTTCAAAAGAGAATGTCGGGAAATAGGTTTGAACATATCAATCCCCAATCTATTCTTTTTATGATGATTAGAATTTGGGGGAAAAAATGTACCATCTCACAAATAGCCCTTAATTAAATACTCCATTCCATACAAGGAGAATGCTGGATTAAGAAACTAGGCGCTGGATTTTCATATGGTTACAATGACCACATCAATAATGTCGAAAGCCCGCAGTGTGCCAATGTGAATGTGATTAGAATTTTTTACCAGTAAAACTAGACGTATAAGCGCAATCATGGACATCGTTCATACAATAAGCCAGATATACACGACGTTTCATTTGATTTGCTATTACCTTTCCTCAGTAAACGACTAGGTCTACATCGTAATCACACTAAACTTTATTGTGCCCTTCGAAACTTTTTCTGGATTTACCCAACACAAACTCTTTAACTGTCCCGTATTACGGAAGATAATAACTTCGAATTAATTCGTAGATTCCTTAAACCTAAATTTGCAAACAAAGGTATAGATGCTGTAAACATTGGCAACATTCTTAATCATAAAAAAAGTTCGGTCTTGTATTCCACCATATTTTAAATTAAAGAGTGCACCTTGTATTTCCTACAGATACTCCCCAACCGTTAAATTCAAAATGTTCGATAATAAACAAACACTACGGTGCGTAGATATTGATCCTCTAAAACAAAATCCTTCTATAAGTATTCCTGTTCTTCCTCTATGTTTAACTATAGTCCACCTGGACACATCATTACTGGTGATGTAATGAAAGTATAATTCAAAATAACGACCTAAAAGCTACCATTTTAAAAGGTCCTAAATTCAGGATGCCTAGTTCTTTCAATTGGCTATAGAGCTTCTTTTCTATTATGAATTCCGTTCAGGCCGGAGTATTCTAGACGATGAACGGGAAGACCACTCTGTCAGAATGAATTTTGAGACATATATCAAAAATCGCCTTAGAAAGTCAAAGGGCAAAATGCGAACTAACTATCTTTCCGTTTTCTGTAGACCTGAAGTGATAACACCATTAGAAAGACTACATGAAAAACATGTTTGGTTCCAAACTGACAAAGTTTGTATCTATAAAGTCTTTGTTTGTAATGCTCATTATTATAACTGCATTACTTTTAGAATAACATGGATTTAATTCCACATCACAGTTCTCTTTCAGAGGATGAAATTCTTCAAAACCATCTTTCAGTTTCAAATTCGTTTTAATAGTTCAGTAAGTTTGATTTACCGTACCCATAATGGATTCCAAAACTTCATAAAAATTTATACAAACAAATATATATTGCAGGGTCCAGTAAATTCAACCAAGCCCCTATCTTTACTCCTCACCAAAATATTAACTGCTGTGAATGAGAAAACTAAGACGTATTGTTCTACAATATATTCAAGAAACCAAATGTGGATTCTCCAAAGAACTTTTGGAAAATTTAGAAATCTCAAAACTTTTCAAACATCGATAGCATCAGAACACATGACTGTTCTATCTAAAATGATAGGCCTTATGACTTTATACAACCATTCCTCACGATAAATTAAGAGCAGGGTTTTTGACATCATAAACAGCTACTTCCTCATTTAAATGGAACAGTTAATTTCCCTATCTTGTGATTGGTTATCTACAAAATTACTTTGTAAAAAGTCAATCTGATTCTACATACCAGTATACTCTGAAATTGATATTAAAAGATGTGTAGTACCTTATTTACAATATCTACATAGTCTTTGGAGGCCAGCTCTTCCAACAATCTGTTGGAATTCCGTTAGCACTAATTGTGTGCAGACCTATCCTTATATTCCTATGAAGTAGAATTCATTTAAAAACTCTTGCGGTGGCCCTCAAATCACCATTTAGAGATATCGACAACGTTTTGTCAATTAACAATAGTAACTTATCCATATGTCGACTCAATATATCCCAGTGAACTCGAAAGAAAAGACACTACAGATCTGTCGCATCGGTTTCATATTTAGGTATTTTACCGACTAAAGACGAAAATGACCAATTAATAACTAATCTGCATGACAAACGGGATAACTTTAACGTTTCCATCGTCAACTTTCCTTATTTATGTAGCAATATTCTAACATCATCTTCCAACTGATTTAAAAAGCAAGAGCATGCTCTGAATACCATCAATTGTTAAACCGAATCAACTACTCAAAATAAGTTGATGCTACAATGATTTTAACAACCCCGTTTAAGGACATACACAACGTAGTTTGAACTTTATTTTCTTATTCCCTGTATAATTTAAGAGTTCCAATAATTGAAAGAGCTTTTTGCGATTTTATGATGCCTCGTAATGCTGTACACCTCCTCTGAATCAAAGATTGAGGAATGCCAGCTAAAACTATATTTCTGTTAATTTTTCTTTAAAAAGCACAAGGATTTTCATTATTCGATACTTGTTCAGAAATACTCGTAATGTATGCCGATTTTTTTTTTTTTTTTTTTTTTTGTCTAAGAACATCTGATGGTACTATGATTTTAAATTAAGAATATCGTGGAAAATCATCAGTAGGAAATATATTTACATTGTAATGTACATGTACGTTGTGTATGACCTAAAACTCAGCTTTCCGCAAATTCTACGGTCGTTATAATGACCTTGTTTGTAACTGCAGTCATTCGTTGGGTCGTACTTAGTCTCATACCATTTGTTATGTCATTGCTTTTATACTAAATTTGACTACAGAATACTCCGTCTACCTGATCAATACATAGGCGGGACTGATCGATCGACAGGGGATACTTACTTCTCCTAGGCACCTGATTCCACCTCTGGTTCTTCCAGGGGTCCGTGTTTACTGGATTTATGAGATTGATCAGTTCGTTATCTTCACCTTTTACAGCGCAAAACTGTTGAAGTAATACAAAGCAGTAAGAATTACATAAGAACAAGCATTCTGAGAGCGTTGCATTAGCAATACTAGTCCCCTACCGGCAAGTGTAATCTGGTTCCCCTTAAAAATTTATATAATTGAAAATGGCATAATTCCGTCAAAAATCAAGGAAATGAAGTGAAATGCAAACTTGATCTATAACTCTTCAAGGTAAAGTCACATACCAAAAATCAGCTTAATATCTGCAAGCGTTTAGATTGATTGATTGATTGATTGATTGTATGTTGTTTTACGTCCCATTCGAGAATTTTTCACTCATATAGAGACGTCACCATATACGGGCTTCAAATTTTGACCTTTACTCGGCACTCAGGGCCATTGAGCAGTGAGAGTTCTTTATCGTGCCAACGCCTGCCGTGACACGGGGCCTCGGTTTTTAAGGTCTCATCCGAAGGACCCGCAACTTTCGCTTCAAAGTGCCGAGCGCATGGCGAAGGAACAGTTGCTACCCATTTTTTATCGACTTAGGTCAGTCGCGGCCGAGATTCGAACTCACGACCTCCCGATCACGGAGCGAGCGCTCTACCTACTGAGCTACCGTGAACGGTACAAGCGTTTAGAAAAAAGTTGCGGAAAACCCTGAAAAATTGAAAAGGTCGTATTTCCGTCAAAAATCATTGAAGCGGAACCAAATGCAAACTTGATCTGTAACTCATCAAGATACACTCACATACCAAAAATCAGCTCAATTTCTACAAGCGTTTAGAAAGAAGTGTGGAAAACCAAGTGGGACAGACTGACAGATAGACAGAGGGACAGACAGACAGCCGGACGGACAGACTCAGAGGAGACCTATAGTCCCCTCCGGTTTCACCGGTAGGGGACTAATAATACAGCCTGTTACTTTAAAGGTTGTTCCTTTAAATTCAAAAGAATAATACCACTTTATACATTTAAGGTTGTTCCTAAACTTTGACAAGCTAATTCAGAGAATTTGTGTCCCCCGCTTAGGGAAAAAAGAAGAGCATGCGCAGTTCTGCCCCCCCCCCTCCCCCCCTCTGGATTTGTAGAATTATTAAATGTATACATGTATATTGAAGCAAATTAAAATAATGTCAATATTGATATAAGATTTGATTGCTTATTCTTTAATATGTGTATAGAAGATTCTTTTTAATATATACAATATTTATCACACTGTAATAATGATTTTATGAGTTTGTACACGCCAGACATCATAACTTTCTCATTTCACATGTTGAATAGTATCATTTCGTAAATCCAAAAAAAAAAAAAAAAAAAAAAAAAATTAAAAAAAAAAGAGAGAATCGTTCGGGGATTCGAACCCGGGCCTCTCTCTTGTGAAGCGAGCAACATTTTTTTTTTTTTTTTTTTTTTTTTTTATCTTTTAAGCGAGCAACATACAACAAGACCACGGAGGCACTTGATAATACAGCAAATTAAAGGCAAACAGGAGGTCACACACAAAAGTCAGTAATGATAATGTCGTAAGAGTTATGCTTCTTTGACTATGTAACAAGAAGATGCAATCGCAACTTCTCGGGCCTTTCCGACTAGCGGAAAAACAACTGTTTCCGACCTCTTACGGAAAGACCCGAGATGAAGAAGACGATCTACTCATTTCCATAATATGACTCATATTGAGTTAAGTTTGATTAAATGCAAACATTAGGTCACATATAATGTTTATATTCACGTTCGATATTGTAAAAATTTTACACATTACATATTGTCTAATTTAGCCTTTACTAAACAGTTCTAATAGATGTAATTAGAATATAAAGTCGGCCGACAACCTGTATTATACGTAATAACTCTCCACATGCCCCTGTGCTGAAAATAGTGCCAATCGACTTTTAAATATACAATAAATAAAAAAAAAAAAAAAACGGGGCGGGATATTTTGAGAGGGGCGAGATATGCCATAGGGAGTTATAGTATAAAATTTCTTTGCAAAAGCTCAAAAGCTTTTGAGATATCGCCCGGAAACGAAAGTGTTACACACAGACGGACTTTGTGAATTTACGACCTTGAACTTTGACCTTTTGACCTCAAAATCAATAGAGGTCTTCCTTAGGCCACAGGGAGTTGTTATGTAAAATTTCATTGCAAAAGCTTAAAGAATTCGCGAGATACCGCGCGGAAACGAAAGTGTTAAAACAGACAGAATCTATGAATTTATGACCTTGACCTTTGACCTCAAAATTAATAGGGTTCTTCTTTAGTCCATAGGGAGTTGCTATGCAAAATTTCATTGCGAAAGCTCAAAGGGTTCTCGAGATATCGCGCGGAAACGAAAGTGTTACAGACAGACAGAAATACAGACGGACGGACGGACGGACAGACAGGCCCAAATTAATATCCCCCACTTTCAGTGAAAGCGGGGGACAAAAAAGATATACTTGTAAAGCATCGTTTTGAATTAGAAGGGGACACTCACCGTCCGCCTCATACACAAAGCCATCCGCCATTTTGAGTTGAACAATTACTAAGTCAGGGATGACGCCCAAATTATGGGTAACGGTTCCTGCTGGGGAGTAGCCTGCAAATCAAATACAAATGAGATATTAGAGACACTGTATGCATGGAGATTCGTTTATGTAAAGGAAAAGCATACTCAATTGCCTTCTGTAATGAAAGGAAAGATGTTTGATCCTAGATTTCCTATTTCTCAGACAATAATGTCCAGTTCCTGACTATTCTATAATCCTAAGATTATTATATCTGATCACTCGTGAATGTGCAATCGCAAGGAGACAATACTTTAGAATTGCCTTCAATGTAACCACCAGTTTTGACATCGGTATGAAATGATAGCCACAGAAGACTCTTTGGATGTCCAAGATATATTTGTTAGGTATTGGTTTTAAAGTATATTCAGAAAAGATAACTAATGTGTCTTCTTCACATTAAGATGATAAACTATTTGAAGTGGAGATACGTTGTAATTTACATAAATCGCCCAATCCGTTTTCTCCGGTTCGGACATGCTGTTCTATTTCTCTTTCAAGCTGTTCACATTTATTTTATTTATGAAAATTGTTTCACGTGGTTGTGTTAAACAAATTCATTCAAATTGCAAAAATTCTGCAAATGCTATTTACCGTATAATTTTATTGGAAATGAGACTTACGTGGACCCCCGACTCCATATAAATTTGTGCTGAAATTTGCAGGAGGGAAATCACAAATACGCCAAGCCCTAATCCTGACGTCAGCGGCGAAATAATACGCATCAAATGGTCCAATAAAACCTGCTGTTGATTGCAATTCAAAACGTTGAATATGCATAAGAAAACAATCAGCTCATTATTATAGATACGATTTACGAAAAGGCAGATACATACCAGTATTAATAAGGCCACCTTTATTTGTGATGGTGCTGACAGGAACATGAAGGCGGACATGAGACTCGTTATAGGAGTATAACACAGCACCATACTGGGTATCCCCTTCCTCCTCTCCTCTCTGACCAGCACCAAATCCCGAGAAGATATAGTTACTTCCGTTTTTGGAGACCCGGATCTGCAGGTCCACTTTTATTGGCATTTCGCCAAATGGATGAGGAATAAAAATTGGGCTGTAAGTCTGGGCTTGAATGGACTTCCAATTGCTGATAAAAGGGGAATTGATGCTGAGAGAAATTTTTACTGTAAGATAAAGATGACGGAAAATGTATATTCAAAATTTAAAAGATACAGATTAGAAATGTTTCTAATGGCTAATGTGTATCGTCCAGTTAATTATAAATTAGCCTTGTCAATTATGAAAAGTGGGAAACGAACAGTGATCAATATCAAATCCTGTTAAGAATACAAAGAGTGAATTGGGCAAAAATACGGACCCCTTAATTAAAACACCAGGGTTGGTATCATGTGCCTTTGATGAGTAAACATTCTCTGTCGAACAAGGCACACCCATCGTGAGCTCTCCGAATTGATCAGGCAAACAGGGTAATTCGTACTCAAAATCAGAATAAAACAATGGCTTATCAATTGATATGATTTATATCAGTCAAAATACGGTCCAACGACAGGTTGCATTTACAAACAAGGTTAATTACTATGATCACCAAAGAATTTGCAAAAGCCGACTTTTAACAATATTGTAGAATGCCCTGTAACATCAACTTTCAGTATCCTGTCACGGCTTTCAAAATTTATCGTACTCTCAACATGCTTTTGCGTACCGAATCATTTGAGAGACATTAACTCCATATGCAAGCGATAGTACAATATATGAATAGAAATTGATGGAAAAGCTGAAGCCGTCCCAATTTTTATATAGTCCAGTTCTTAGTTTGCCATCAACATCTGTAATTAGTAAAACGTCCAAATATGAAACATATATTAAAGATTCTATGATAACATATATTTCGAGTGAACTGGGATATACGGAGTCGACAAGGAATGAAAATAACTATTGCTAACTGACAGAACGTCGAAAAACAAATGAATGTATTTGATCGAGTTACAAGTAACAAACAGCTCTAGAGACAAGAAACAAAGCTCAAAACTACATATGGCAAAGGCTCTAACTCAAAAGAAGTTCAAACTTATATGTATTAATGATAGAAGTGTACAATAAAACACACGTTTCATGCTCGAACTTATTTAAAGGTCAAGATGGTTCAGAGAAACATCCTGTTAAAGTGACATCCATATGTCAATCATTATGAACTTGAAAAAAAATGACGAATAATTTCTATCTCGGATAAATTTTATTGCATGATTCCAAAAATATGGCTTGTACGTGTTTACTGGCCGGGTATTTGAGGTCAAAAACGATTGTTAAAAGCAGCCATCCCAAATGACTGACAAATTACGAGTGTGTGTGTGTGTGCAAAATAAGTATATCTTTTCGATTTTGATTACACTCGTGGATTTTACCATAAATATATTACCTGGTGTTTGACTATGACGGGTCGATCTTTATCTTTTTTATATATTTGTAATATAATACAGGATTTTTGCATCCCTGATATGAACACAGGCACGCTGCCTTTAATATACACCCTGTATCAGCACCCTTTATTTCACCCTTTATCATACCCTGTAATACACCTTTCCGGAACATCTTTGTATTTTTCATTCGGAGTCTTTTCCGCTTGGGAGCAGACGATAGTTATGTAAACAATGGACAGACGATCACCAAGAGAGATAGAAATGGGGGACAGAATTAGCATCATTAGCAAGGAGAATTGGGTAACTAGATGAACCGATAGAATCAGAAAATTCAAAGAAAACTTTGTCATGAATATATATGCGGAACCCAAATACAGTACGGAAAACATCCACAGACGTAAACAAGATCCTAACCTGGTTACGAAGCAAAAATGAAATTCGAGACATTTGCGATATTCCTGCAGCGGATTCCGCCAACTCTAGTGCAGCAACATTCTGGCCATAAAAATATTGCCTCAATTAACAACTACAGCACTGCATCTATCAACCAACAAAAAGGTATGTCAGATCTATTGAGCAACTTTTCCAAGGGAAAAACAACGGATGTAGCAGAGGAAATCAACGATGATCTTGGTGGGCTTGAAAATGTTCTCCAAGAAATTGGGAACTATGAATTCATTAATGATATTATTAACAATATGTCTGCAAGTGCATCAGTTCCATTTCCCCAGCTTAAAGGTATCTTCACCAGTTCCACCATTAATGGAAATGTAACAATTAATTTATATAAAGAGTAAACTGAAAACAAAGAAACGTCACAGAGAAGAGTTGAAGCAATATCCTGTCTTACTGTTAATGTTGTTAATTTAATTCTTCATTGAATATGTTGTCATTCAACATTATGTAGTTATTATTACTTTAATTTTTATTGGCCATTAAACTTTGAAATATTTTAAAAACAGATACACAACAAAAACAGATGAGAAATGCATATCTATTTTAATTACGGGCAAATTTTGAAATTTTCAAATATACATGTATAATAAAAACAACAATACATGTCAAAATCAGTACTATCACACCCCATATCAACCCTCGACCAATATCAGCCCTCTGACCTTCGACCCTCGGGCTGATATTGGAGTCTCGGGTTGATATGGGGTGTGATACAGATTTTGCCATGTATTATTCTCTATTTATTAAGCAATTTAATAAAAAAAAAGAGCTCTGATAAAATTGTCCTCTTAGACGAAGACTATTGAATATGTTTACGAGGGCAACAATTGTCCTCCTCAGTTTGTGCTGTCTATTTATTACCTGTTTAAGGACATACGCAACGTAGTTTGAACTTTATTGTCTTTTTCCCTGGAGTTGAAGAGTTCCAATACTTAAAGGAACTGTGTGCTACATTTAAATGTCTATATATGCTGTTGTGCACACTTCTTCTAAAACATGTTTGGATAAACAAAACATCTAGAATATATGTTTGGTAATTTTTTGTTTATTTTTCTTTGAATTATACAAGAATTTTCATCAATTGATATCTTTTCAAAACCCCTGGTATTGCATGCTGATTTTTCGTCTACGAATATCTGATGGCACTATAATCTTAAATCCAGAATATCTTGAAAAATTATCAGTAGGTAAGGTACGTTGCGTATGTCCTTAAGGACAGATGCTACGTTCAGAACTTATTCTGGTTGTAAATTATGCATGTATCAAATATTTAAAATGTTAATAAACTGAAGACTTCCTATGATGTTCAAATTTTTTCTTTCTTTTTGTTATCACTTGTCCTCATTTGTCATCATAAATCTTAACATTTTCCAGTCATTTTATAGGGCATTATTGAGAAACTGCGAATAAAAAAAATGATACTACACGGCTAAATTATTCAAATTACTTGTATAAACAGATTCGTTTAGATGCTATTTTCATGATTTATGAAAAAAAAAAAGTTTTTATCATCTGCTATTAAACCCATGTGATATTTCATCTGGCTTAAGCTTTTTAAATTATCTAAAATTCCATTAAAGGTGCTTAGACACAGATTTGAACTTAATATTTTCTCAAATTTTCTGTATAATATCACGACTTATATATTGCAATAGCATTTCACACGAAAATATAATTAAAAACTTATTTTATCTGGAAAATTATTGGAACTACGAATTCCGGGACGCGTTTGATTAACACATCTTTGCACTTACACAAATTTTAGCTTTATCCTTAATATTTAAGAAAAGAAGCGATTTTGTTATGTATTAATGAAAAATATTACATCTATAATCCAGAAAATTCAGAGTAGAAATGTTCGAAAGCAAAACCACCTCACCAATACTGTCAGTCCGTGCTCTGTGATGTGTACAGAGTTTAACAAATTGAACACACCCGTGAAACGTAAACTGTTTTTGTCAACAGGGCACGAGCTCTGTTATTGTTAATGTTTAAGATTCACCGGGTGTGTTCAATTGTTAAACTCTGCACAAACCACTGAGCACGGACTTACAATACTGTGAGTGGGTTTTGCTTTCGAACATTTCTACTCTGAATTTCCTGGGTAATAGTTTTAATATTTTTCATTAATACACAACAAAATTGCCACTTTTCTGAGTATTAAGAATAAAATTAAAATATTTGAAAGCGCAAGGATGTGTCAATCCAACGCGTCCAGAAATTCGAAGTTTTAATAACTTCGAGATGAAATAAGATTTTTATTATGTTTAAGTATGAAATGCTATAGCAACATATAAGTCATAAAATTATACAGAAAATTTGAGAAAATATTAACTTCAAATCTGTGTCCAAGCACCTTTAATATCGTTGTAAAACAACATGTTTTTAAACACAAATGAATATCCATTTTAAGAAACACCGAGATGACATTGATGACCACGTGCTTAAACGATGTTATTGTCCCTTATGGCACTGGGAGAGAGGATTCTTTTCCAGTCTGGCTGTTTGTCTTTTTTAGCTATAACAGTGATCATGAAATTTAATTGATATCAGAAAGATATTAATTTTGATGATGGCTGATGACAGTTAAGGCGAAGGTGAAATCCATGAAGGTCAGAAATCATTTAGAGCTTAAAAATTTCCTGGGGCATTTGTATAATGGATTAAAAGGTTTCTGGGCAAAGTATGTCAATTTCTTACCTAAAATCTGAATCAAAAGAGAGTAAATTATCACGTCCTTTAAATGTTCCATGGATACTCCAAAGCTTGCTTCAGTTTGTACTTATTTATTACTGACGCTTCTTAGCAATCATCATCTATTGCAATTAAGTTAAAGCAAGCAAGATAACATCAGTCAACCTTCAGGTATGTCTAATTTGAACGAAGCGTTAATTAACTTCTTTAGTATGCATAAAATTAGTATGAAATTCCTTTAAAGTAATTGCAGATCCATTCCCAATGGCTTTAAGTTCTACCTTGACGACCTTTGTTTAGAGAAATTATAGCGAGTATTTGATTGGTTGCCATAATCCTAAAAGTAATAATGTAGTTTAAAGAAAATAAAATGTGTGGAGTAGAAATATACGTACTGGTTTTTCTCCAACTCAGTTTCGTATTTCTTAGATTGTCGGCGGGTTTCTCGTCTTGTGATAATTGATAAACTGAAGGAACTTGAGTTTAAGAAAAACTGGATTGATACGAGATAAATTAAATGCTAAACTTTTCGTCGTCCCAGGTTCAGGTTTTAATGAGAAGTCCATTCTCAAGTAACTATATAAGCCCTACCCTAACCAAAGCTTGCATGAATGATGCTCACTATCAGACCTACTTTGGTTGCAGATCTGACCTCATTTTCCATATGAAAGATCCATTTTTGGACCAGATCTATTCCTGAGAAACTGTAAGTCCTAACTGACCAAATGTGCTTTGTTGATGCATCTATGGATGCATATTTCCACTTATGATTCGGTTACTGTACCTGACACACAGTTTCTGGAATCCGAACTTGCATGGATGTTGCATTTTTTTGGAGTGCACACACTTCCAGAACATTCTTTTAGTGTTAGACTATACCTTATTTATAGATACCATTTTTCAAGGCGACCCTAGCAGATGGCCGTTCATCCAAAATTGAACGTTTGACTAGACTAAGAAGTTTGGAATGAATCAGTAGCTTCCTTCTGGTTCTACATGGGAAATGTTAGAGAGACTTGCTGTAGCATTATTTAAGCTACATCTTTCTGGGCATCAAAAAAAAAATCCTTTTCATTTCCATTTTAATTTCAAATACATCTACTACTAGGAGAAACTTATTTTCCGTTGAATTTGTTGTTTGTTAGTGCGAGGTTATGCACGTGCTTCAGATTCGTCATCTGTGAGTACGTCACTTTTCCGCTGTTGACGTCAATACTAGCGATGACTTCAGCATTAGTGTCCTGCATGGTCATCACGTGGTACAGGATGCCAGTGTCTTGATCTAGGCCACCAAACACGGCGCCTCCAAAGTAACCCCGAAAGTAACCTACAAATGGTAAGAATTTTAAGTTACAAACAGAGGGATGGTCTGTTTTATCCAGCATAATTTGGATCCAAGTTCACCTTCCACCAAACGTACACTTTAAATTCATATATTTACATCCACTGAATTTTATCTCCTTTATTTCTTAAGAAAATCATTGCTGTTTATCAGTCAGTAAGCAGTAATAAGCATATCACCTGTGTTTTTTGAGCAGTGGCTATTCCATCAATGAAACGTACAATGGCGTACATATCAATGATACACTATATCATCTACTAAATCCTACTTTAAATGATTATTTGTACAAATATTAATATAAACAATAAAATGTCTTCCTTTGTTTGTTAGTACGGGAATTAACGTTACAGCTATTGCAGAAAAAAATACATATGCATTTTGTCAGCAACAGCTGCAACATTAATTCCCGTACTAACAAGCAAAGAAAGCATTTTATTGTTTAAGTTAAGTCATAACTGAACTCTGTTTTTAATGTTATTAAAGACGGTATAGGAAGAAACTAAAATAAAAACAAGTCATTCCAAATATCCCCAAAGAGAATCCTCGTTCTCAGAATCTTACCAAAAGGAAAAAAAATTACTTTAACCATTCCTTGATAAACGGTATTTTGATTATACTCGATTTGAATTCATATATTGGTACTATAGGGACTGTCAAATGAACTAGCATTTTTAAAAACATCTTTTGAGTGGTTTGAGTTTTAATTACACTTACTGTGAAACGATTAATTATTAATAGTTTTAGTTGAAAAGGTTGGGTAAATTGTCTCTGGCATTGTCGTTTGGTGAATATATTGTTAATTAAGCAACACCTAGACTATTGACTTTCACTCATTGTTAGTTCAAATTTAGAACATAGGAACCAAATTGTTAGGCAAATTATTTATCAACTGACATCTTAATAGCGGGCTTTGCGTTTCTTGAAAAGTTCCATATAATAATATATAACCGGTACACGTATACAACATATATAAGATCGCTAAGGAAAAAAGGAAGTCAGCTCACCTGAGTGTGTCTTTGTTCAGACCAAATAGAAGTTTGCACCAATTTAATTTAAATTGCATTTAAATGTGACCCCCCAAAATAAACCAATTTATTCTAATTCAATATCTATAATATGATGAAATATAATTTCAAAAATATAAATTAATATGTCACAAAAAAAATTGAAGGCATATATTTTATTTCTGATATAGAAAAATTGCAGTATACAATCATGATAAACTAGGAAAACATCATTTTACCCCAGTCTGCGAACTTGAATGAGCGGGTGATTTTTCCGGTAGCCGGGTTGATTTCAATCAGGCTGTAGAAAGGATAGCGAAGAGTATAAAAGATCCCTGGCGATACAGCATACAACATGCCTACAACACACAACACACGCTGAATTAAAGATGCCTGCAATAAATCAATTGCTCTCAACACTGACGTTTGTAGATTAAATATTTTGCATTTCATTTTCTATTCAATTTTCAACTACATGTATTGGAGATACATAATTAACACATAATTAATGTTTATTGAGCTATATCATTGTCATTGTGCCGACCTTCTTCTTTATGTACATGTAAGTCAGTGTTTTGTTTTGTTTTTGTTTTTGTTTTTTTTTTTTTTGTTGTTTTTTTTTAAAGTTTTGTTTCTGTTGTTTTTATATTGGAAGACTTTGTACATATGTCCAAAAAAGTTTATAAAAAAATATAATAAAAGTCCAACAGCCCAGCAGTTATGTGAAACGGGATGGAGAAAGGGGGAGGTTCCAAAACACTTGTGTAATGAAAAAATGTATTTTAACAATGCATGCAGAGCTAGATCGACAACATATCTGAAATATGTTGCGTGACCTCGAACACGTCGAATGTAGAATATTGCTCATACGTCACAGTGCTTGCATACAAATTAAATTTTGTGTAATTCATAGAAACGGATTTTTAAGTAATGCTATTGAATAACAGGCACTTTATTATTATTTTTTGGCAATATTCAATATCCCCCCTCCCCCCTTTCAAATTCCAGATTGAACTCGGTCCTCCTCTTTTCGACATTTGACTTGATATATTCCTGTTCGCTCCTTGGGGAGCATACAGCCGCAACCACACCGCGCCAGCGGACTCTGTTTTGGGTTATGTTTTTCAATTGGACCCAGGTAAAACCTGCCTCTTTTGCCTCCAATTCCACGGATCTTCTCCAGGTTTGCCTGGGTCATATAAGGTTGGAAACTAATTATGTATACCTTACTTCGTTTGTTTCGAATCTTCTTTTATTCAACATTAAGCAAGGTCATTTTCATATAAAAAGATTGCAAACTAATGCTTTGGCAGAACGTCATCTGGTATTGAATTACGTACGTCACGTGCCTGCCAACAATGATTCTTGAGACGGCAAGTTGCAAAATCTGAACGGTAACTTGGCGGATAAAACGACGTAATGTCATTCAATTTATGAGAAAAAAATCATGCCAGTGTTATTTTCGCTTTTAAAGAAACCGATAAATTTACATCCTTGCCGTTTTGGCAATGCTGTGATTAATTAAGAGTAGTCCTTTTTCAGTTATGTAATCGGTACACAACAAGATGACTGCGCAGACGAGAAAATCCTTTGATTGTAATTAATTTCGTTATAAATTTGTTTTCTGTTATTGGTCCTCGACAAAACAAAACACTTATTAGGTTTGTACTGACATATTTCTATGGACAAATAGTAACAACCGTTAGAACACCGATTGAATGTTAAGATATAATATGTGGCACACAGTTTTAGGTGTTTGAATAAGATTATTAATCATGTTAATTGTTAAGAAATTACAGAGGTGAACAAAATAACTTATTTTAGATTTTTACTGTATTGTCTTTCAATTTATATACAAGGTCATTCTATTGTTCATTTACTGTCCCACTTAAATCCTCTTCATTTCAATATAGACCATGGTAAAAAAAAAATATACAAACCTGTTTTTCTGTAGTAGTGAAAATTCATGTATGCGTACATCTCAACGTTCAGATCCACAATACTGGAGAGATTTCTGAAACAAAAAAGTTGTTTATAGGCATACGAGGAAAGCATAGATGCAGGTATATACTTATTCCATACTAGATTTTTATAATGATTTATCTATATAAAATTATATCTAAATCTCATATTCAAATAAATATTGTGCAAATTCGGGCAGTATACGTAAATTTAATGCATTAACTTTTTCTTGATGTCATATGTGTAGAGTTTGGCCAGCAGCCGGTCAGGACTATTCTCGTTGCCCATCAGCACAAACAAAAGTTGTCTCTCCATATCCAGCTCAGCCCATTGATAGTTCACATAGAGAGGTTCCGGTCCACTTGATATTAACTTCCGGAAGTGGTAGGGCAAGGTATTTTTGATCAAATAAAGTTGTCCGACAACAAAATTGTAACCTACATATAATCAATGAATACATTAAAAAGAAAATCTGAGTTATTATCCATGACGACTTTTCTTCTCAAGTATTTTTACACGCATAGACCTTACACTTCTCTTCTCAATAGACCTTACACTTCTCTTCTCAATAGACCTTACACTTCTCTTCTCAATAGACCTTACACTTCTCTTCTCAATAGACCTTACACATCTCTTCTCAATAGACCTTACACTTCTCTTCTCAATAGACCTTACACTTCTCTTCTCAATAGACCTTACACTTCTCTTCTCAATAGACCTTACACTTCTCTTCTCAATAGACCTTACACATCTCTTCTCAATAGACCTTACACTTCTCTTCTCAATAGACCTTACACATCTCTTCTCAATAGACCTTACACTTCTCTTCTCAATAGACCTTACACATCTCTTCTCAATAGACCTTACACTTCTCTTCTCAATAGACCTTACACATCTCTTCTCAATAGACCTTACACATCTCTTCTCAATAGACCTTACACTTCTCTTCTCAATAGACCTTACACATCTCTTCTCAATAGACCTTACACTTCTCTTCTCAATAGACCTTACACTTCTCTTCTCAATAGACCTTACACATCTCTTCTCAATAGACCTTACACATCTCTTCTCAATAGACCTTACACTTCTCTTCTCAATAGACCTTACACATCTCGTCTCAATAGACCTTACACTTCTCTTCTCAATAGACCTTACACATCTCTTCTCAATAGACCTTACACTTCTCTTCTCAATAGACCTTACACATCTCTTCTCAATAGACCTTACACATCTCTTCTCAATAGACCTTACACTTCTCTTCTCAATAGACCTTACACTTCTCTTCTCAATAGACCTTACACTTCTCTTCTCAATAGACCTTACACATCTCGTCTCAATAGACCTTACACTTCTCTTCTCAATAGACCTTACACTTCTCTTCTCAATAGACCTTACACATCTCTTCTCAATAGACCTTACACATCTCTTCTCAATAGACCTTACACATCTCTTCTCAATAGACCTTACACTTCTCTTCTCAATAGACCTTACACTTCTCTTCTCAATAGACCTTACACATCTCTTCTCAATAGACCTTACACATCTCTTCTCAATAGACCTTACACTTCTCTTCTCAATAGACCTTACACATCTCTTCTCAATAGACCTTACACTTCTCTTCTCAATAGACCTTACACTTCTCTTCTCAATAGACCTTACACTTCTCGTCTCAATAGAGTTGAACTCGAATATTCATGTTGTTGAACGAAGTGTGTTACGATATAAACAATTTCTTTCAAAGTCAAAAACAAAGTTAAGGATAAAAATCATATAAAGACAATGTTGTTTACATTGTCTATCTATAAATCGAGAGACACTGCCATTCTTATTTGGGTTTTTCCCCTCAACTACGATCACCGGAAACAATAAAGAAACATTCCTTAACTCAGTTTTTTCCTCCTAAGACTGTAGTTTGTCCAAATATACATGAAAATATTTTCTGTATTATTAGTATATACGAATTAGTAGTGCAAAACATGTACCCATGAAGATGCAAGATATGCAACTACCTTTTTGACCCGCATTCTCAATGCTGAAGGTGTAGTAAGTACCGTCCTGATTTGACAGTAATGCATTGATGGGACTCCCATCAAATTCCTCGATGTGTGACGAGCTCATAGTACCTTGATGCGTGTCAAACTCAGCCAGCATAGGCGTTGGCTTGTCATAATCACCCAGAGCGTTGTACATCACAACTAAATTATTCCAATAGTTCACAGTAACCATAGAATCGAGAATAAAACTAGGAGAAAGTTCCCTTTTTTTAACTATTTCATTGATGATTAAACTGCGTTGTGTTTTGTTTATGTTTTTATTTATTTGTAAGTCAACGCGCATGTCAAACTTTCCAAATGGGTGTATTAAACCATCTAATGTCACATTCACAATGAACAAAGTGTTGGGATCAAACGGTGAATAAGCGAAGCCCCTCAAAGACACGTCATAGTTGACGTCATTGAGTGCGTCCTTGGTGATCATTGCATACTTTTTGAAGGCTCTTTGGTATTCTGTGTGCTGTAACAGAGCGGTAACAGGCTCGCTGACTTTGGTGGGGATTTTTGGCGATTCCTTTATGGAGATGTCGGCGCACTGGTAGAATGTCTGCTCCCCGGGTTTATGGGACTCATATCGAGCCCGCAGAACACAGTGCTCGCATGCTTTGTTTGGCAGTACCTATATTATACAGTGAAAACTTTTGAACTAGTGTCGTGCCCCGAAACATACTAAGCTTGGAAGCAACGATTCATAAAATATTTGACATTTAGAGAGGTAAATATGGTTTGATATTCAGAAGAAAATTGTCAATATTGACTAAGCTGATAAGTATTAAAAGAAATGGGTGAACAAGGCGTGCAGAATGCCTATAGCTGCAGATGTATAAAAATCATATTCAATTTGTGAATTTAGTATTAAGAGTAAAGTTCTAATTGAAATTTATGAAATTAATCAAATTATTATAAACAAAACTTTTCTGAGGAAAATTTTCTCGGCTAAAATTATTCTGTTATTAAAAAATAGTGTGGTATTCGTGGGGTTCGAACCCTAGCAATAAAAATCCTAAATATCATTTTCCTTTGAGACTAACACGCTAACCACTATGTACAAGGCTCCTGATGAATGGTGGCATTTAAATCATGTTTGTGATATGACCCTTGACTAAATGGACTTCAGGTATTTCTCGGAAAGATGCAAATGTTGTGTCATAAAAGTGTATTTTTAAGGTATGGTGGGTCTTTGCTCCATGTTTTTGTTAACCAAAAATGTATATTTTTACGCAAACTCTGAGAATAAAGGACAAGATAGGCTAAGACCCCTTTTTGGCCCCTAGCTGGTTTGAGGTGTCTTTGAGAATGATGCAACAGTTTATCAATAAAAAATCTGTTGTCACCCCTGCCACAAAATGAGTATTGGTTCTAAGTTATGGGTTACACAGAAGTCACAGGAAGGTTAGATAATATATCAATTTCCGAATTTTCTCATTTTTATGCAAATTTTCATCGATTTTACAACACATTTTGTTTCAGGAAACATAGAGCACAAGCTTGCCTATGTACCAAATTTGTATATTTCACACACTAGTATCAGATGCATCTTGTTTATAAAAATCCCAGATAGGCAAGCTTGTGCTCTATGTTTCCCGAAGTGAAAAGTATCTCAAATTTGACAAAATTCTACCAGAATTGAGGAAATTCGGGAAAATGTCCTACTTTTGCACCTTCTTGTGGCCTCTGTGTAAGCTTTGAAAAATTAGAGCTGGTTTTAAAACAAGCATTATTTTAAGTTTTTAACTACAAACTATCTGATTTTTACATCAAATAAGGGGCCAGGTTCAACCGTTACATGTACCATACCTTGTCCTTTCAAAAATACTCATATCGAAAAATTGCGTTATAGTATGAGAAAATGATCCGTTTTGCCCTCTTCAGTTGGTGTGTGCTATTCCATTTCAAATAACTTAAATCTTTGTGAGATTTTTGCAAACTGTGGAGATTTTACATATAGTATACTTAAATGCTAGATGAAATATCAAAGAAAATTTCGCTCGCCTTGTTCGCCCATCTTCTTAAATCAAATCAAATAATTTGTACCCAGAGAAAGGTCTTGTCAAAAGGAATACACATTTGAAATATAAAAGCAGTAGCACCAACTGTTCAAAATTATGACCAAGGTTAAAGTTTTTCAAAAGTAGGTCAAACTCAAAGGTCAAGGTCAAAATTATTGATACCGTGGGGAAGGTCTTGTCACAAGTTTACATTTTGTGAAATGTGAAAGCCTTAGCACCAAATGTATGGCCAAGGTTAAAGTTTTTTTTTAAAAAATAAGGTCAAACTTTAAGATCAAGGTCGGGGGTCAAAATTATTAATGTCCAAAGGATGGCCTTGTCACATGGAATATACATATATAATATAAATGCCTAAGAACCAACCATTCAAAAATTATGGTCAAGGTTAAAGTTTTTGAAAGTGGGTCAAACGCAAAGGTCAAGGTCAAGAGGTCAAATAAGTTGGTACCCAAAGAAGGGTCTTATCATCAGGGATACACATGTGAAATATGAAACCCATAGCTTCAGCCAATCAAAAGTTATGGGCAAGGTTAAACTTTTTTGAGCACAAACAGACAGACGGGCAGAGCAAAAACTAAATACCCCCGAATCTTCGATTACGGGGGGGGGGGTTAAAAAAAAGAAAAAAGACATTAATATTAATAGCACTTCAAGTAATCAGTATGTTTTTTCTTAGAAGACCTTCAAATCGGTCCAATGCGGGACCAAGTAATGTCAAAACTCTAATTAGTAATTAGCTATAGAAATTCGATTTCTACGAAAGCCTATTACGTGAAATATGAAGATAACGCACAGTATTCAAAATTGAAAGTCCAATGAAACGATACAAATTTGAAGCAGAGCAAACACGGACCTCAAAATATAGAGGTGGGATCAGGTGCCATGGAGGAGTGAGCTTCCCCAGTCGACCGGTCACATCCGCCGTGTGCTTCTTGTCATGATCGGGTAATAACGGAGAAATGTAGTTTCAAATGAAAAAAAATAATAATAATGCCCCACTATCTTGTAATTACGACAAATGATCTCGTAATTTCGAGAAAAAAAATTCTCTTTATTATGAGAAAAAATCTGAAAAGATGTCATAATCAAGACAAAAGATAGGGGGCGTTATTTTTTAAACTTGTTACTAGTTTTACATACCACGAACGCTGTGTAGTTCTGTTGGTGGTCCTGATTATATACATATTCATCAGGGGCAAAGGCCAGCACCTGCCAATCATCGGAATTGTAGGGGGCCAGAGACACATCCATGTACCCTGTCAGAAAAGATTAAGCTTTCTTCAAAATTAACTATTTTAACTATTGAACTAACTCCCGTCTTTTCCTGTTCATGGAGCTAAGAGTCATACATCATGGATTGAAGAGTCCATTATAATCACTAATACTTGTATTTGAAAAAAAAGCAGTAGAAGTTATATACATTGCATTTATTAAGCTTTCACGATAAAACGACTGAGGCTGTGTACGTTTTCTGCTGTGTGTGTGTGTGTGTGTGTGTGTGTGTGTGTGAGGGTGTGTGTGTGTGTATTAAAAGAAAACTTCACTAAGTAAATCCAAAGCGAGTTGATCTATAGTGTCTCTATCCTATAGCATGACCCCCCCCCCCCCCCCAAGAAGAATGCATACATATATCGTTATTTATTCTGCTCTTTTCTTACTCAAAAGGAAAAGAAGTTATTTTATCAAACTATTTCGGTAGCTTTTATTTTTCCATCAATCAACATGATCAATGTAAAATAAAAATATCACAAAATCAAAGTAATTATGATATATATATATATATATATATATATATATATATATATATATATATATATATATATATATATATATATATATATATATATATATATATATATATATTAGGGGTGGCAATTTGTAACCGGTTAACCGATTACTCGGTCGGAACGATGGCAATCGATTAGAAAATCTGTAATCGGTTAATCGGAAAAAATAAAATATTTGTTAAATTGAACACATTTTTAAAAAATTTATTTAAAAAAAAAAAAGAAATCTCTGCGCAAAGGATGATCATTTAGGATTAAAAGGATCTAATTTAGACTTACATGTAATTATGAATCTCCAGATTGAGACCGTTGTGTAATTGGTCAGTTTATGTAGTGTTAATTACTGTGAAAACACCATGTAGTTACTGACTGTCACGTAGTTCTTTAATGATAATAATAATGAATCATTGAGCACTGTGGATTGGTGTGTTTGTCGTTTTCAGTTTTCAATCCAATTTAGGCCATCATTAAAAATATCTTTGTTTCCCCTAACCCGACCCTAAAATTTGAAGTTGGATAGGTAGGTAGGTAAATAATTTTTTTCTGACAGCAGCTTTGAAAATACATTCTGAATTTCTGATAAGAACGGGTTTTCATGATATTGTATTTTATAAAAGTTGATAAACATTAAAAAAAAATATTTGAATAATCTTATTTAAAACACTTTTCAGTCGGCAGGATTTAATTAGGTCGGTCGCGTTAGGGGAAACAAACTTAAGGTATTTTTTTTATTTTGGCCTTATTCATTAAACAAACATTGTAAATTAAGGGCTATAGACATGTAGTTTTGATTTTCGTAGTGAAAATGCAGAAAGAACTTTTGTGACATCTGCTCTGGAAAATTATCAAAGATTTCTTAAGCTTTTTTCATGGTTTTCTCAATTTTTTTGTCTACTGAAATTTAAGTAAAAAATAATATGTACCCGTATTTTTCCGATCCAGAATCAAGACTAATGGAGAGTTTTAACTTCTATCGTTTTATTTGGGTCTATTTGTGTAATATATGGACAGAGCTACTTGAAAAACAATTGTCAAGAAAATGTGCATTTTGATACGATTAACCGGTTAATCGGTCGGAACATCTTGCAGTTAACCGATTAACAATTCTGTAATCGATTGCCATCCCTTATATATATATATATATATATATATATATATATATATATATATATATATATATATATATATATATATATATATATATATATATATATATATATATATATGTAAGTACAAATTATATAACTAGTTATTAAATGAACATTGTATTTAGTACTTTAAATTAATGTTTATTAAAAGGAGTGTGCACATTCATTGTAAACTCAACTATACATGTATTTAAGCCAATACGCACTTAGATATAGCTTTGCCGATGGAAACAGTAATGATATTTTTAAATGAGAAAAGGGCACCTTATTCAAAACTTTTATTATGCTTTGAAAATCATTTACGTTATATTCAGAAATAAATGTGTATAAACATATTGCATCCTGCCCTTTCTCTTGCTTCCCTAATTTAAGTGGATACAAGTTACCGACAAAGGCTAAAGGTACCAAACTGTCGATGGAGTTCTTTAGCATTGTGTGTCTCAGTAGAATAAAAAAAGTACGTGGAAATACGGAACAAGTACATGTAATTAATAATTGCATATCAAAATATAACCAAATTATTATCGAAGGCAGTATCGTGACTTACCAAATAAAACGTTGTAATATATGTATTCCAAAAAAAAAAAAATCAGGAATTTTTACCTGGATATCCAATTTCATAATGGTTAAAATTCTGTAGCCATTTAATAAACACCTGCTGGCCCCCAGTAAAGGTTTCAAAAGGACCCGAACTAGGATTCTCTCCACCACACGGGGCACCGTGACGGAAACAAGTGGGGCTTCCGCTCTATAACCAAAAAAAGGTCTGTCTTTACCTCATATAATGATATATATAGCATTTCCGTAAAGATAATGATATCTATTACTGGGTCATTGGTTAATTTCGATGTTAAATCTGTGCGTTTTCACTTGAGCTACCATATTATTTTACAGAGCGTTTTAAAAATACACAATATGCTTTGACGGATTAAATTTTTTTGAGCTCTTTTCAAATTATTTCTTATAAATATATATACTTGAAACAGTGATATACATAATAAATTTCTTGTGCTTTCTGAATTTTTTTTAATGACGAAACTTCTAAATCTAAAAACACTTTGTACATACATGTATTATACATTGCTAAACAGGAAAAGTAAGTGTACGTGTAATTCTTACTTGTAATTACACGTACGAGTACATGTGAGTTTGCTAAGCCTCTCTAGCTAATGTATGAAAAACGTGTACCCGCATTGAGGATTGTATGAAATAATTTATGTACTCTACCCACCTTCTGTATGTCCATGTCCCCCCGTTGCATGGGAGTGACCAGACAGAGGTGTGACATCACCGTCCCCCAGAGGGACAACAAAATGGAGATTTCCACTACTGTCTTCATACTGTTGCTTTAAAGGTAAACACAAGAGGGGTATGATCTATATTTATCTCGTCATCACGAGTGTATCTATTATATCTTGTGATTTTAAGTGTTACGTATGATCAAGTCTTATATAAAATGATTAAAGTCAGATACGATATTTGCTCTTTATCTAATTTAAATGTCTTAAAACTTTGACTAAGTTATTTGAAAGAAAACTATAGTTATAAACTTCGCATTTTATTTGTCATAAATTAAGAAATAAATAAAGTAGTGATGCATTGTACTCGTAAGCCAGAGAAAAGTTTTATATGGAATTTTCTGGCAAAACTCAAACAATTGATCAAAGTTTAATGTTATCATTAATAAAGAAGATGGGTGAACATGTGTTTTTTAACAAATGTTTCTCGACGAATCAGATTCAACTAAATTACATGAAAGTATAATATTCTTAAATGATTTGTGAAGATCATGCTCAAAAATCCAATATGACAAAACTTGAGAGCAGAGCAACGTGGACTCCTGAGAATATCAGAGGTGGTATCAGGTGCCATGGAGGAGTAAACATTTCCAGTTGACTGGTCACACCTATGTCTTGAGTGGGTAATTTGCAAACCAGGTCATTGTATTAACCATAGAATTTTCGAAATATTGACTTCAAACAAGATTATTAATACTTTTGTAATATCAACTTATTTGTTGATGGCCTGTCTCGGTTTAGAAATTGATTGTATTCAGAACTTCAGAACAAGCTCTTGTGTATTAAATCAACTGGGAGACATAAACACCATATGCAGGTGATAATAATATATTGTATTCAGAAAAAGCTCTTCTGTATTGAATCAACTGGGAGAATGATGAAAGTACGCTCTCCAGCATAGAAACAGTTAACATTGCTTGACGACTGGAGTTATTCCAAAAAATATTGACTGCGCAGAATTCATGCGCGGAAGGTTCACTATAATATGTATTTGTATAAAACATTGAGTATAATATAATAAATATTGCATGCAGTTGAGTGTAACATTGAAAAATTTCACCCCAAGAAAACCATTGCCAACCCAGGCGCAGCTGAGGTTCACAATGGTTTTCAAGGGGTGAAAATTTTCAATGTTAAACTCAACTACATGCAGTATTTATATAATATATCATCATAACATCAGAAAAATAAATCTGATGGATAATGATATACAGTTCAGGACTTGCATGATGGGGCAAAGAAAAAACTTCCAGACAGCTGAGGATATGAAATATTGAGGTTAAGCTATACATAAGGAAAAGTGGTCGAGACTTGCAACTCACTTCAACATATCCATGGTATTTAAGATATCAACGTTCAAGGTTCTGAAGTTCATCTGTATCTACATGTATTTAAGATATCAATGTTCAAGTTCCTGAAGTTCATCTGTATCTACATGTATTTAAGATATCAATGTTCAAGTTCCTGAAGTTCATCTGTATCTACATGTATTTAAGATATCAATGTTCAAGTTCCTGAAGTTCAACTGTATCTACATGTATTTAAGATATCAATGTTCAAGTTCCTGAAGTTCATCTGTATCTACATGTATTTAAGATATCAATGTTCAAGTTCCTGAAGTTCATCTGTATCTACATGTATTTAAGAGATCAATGTTCAAGTTCCTGAAGTTCATCTGTATCTACATGTATTTAAGAGATCAATGTTCAAGTTCCTGAAGTTCAACTGTATCTACATGTATTTAAGAGATCAAATTTAAGATATCAATGTTCAAGTTCCTGAAGTTCATCTGTATCTACATGTATTTAAGATATCAATGTTCAAGTTCCTGAAGTTCAACTGTATCTACATGTATTTAAGATATCAATGTTCAAGTTCCTGAAGTTCATCTGTATCTACATGTATTTAAGATATCAATGTTCAAGTTCCTGAAGTTCAACTGTATCTACATGTATTTAAGATATCAATGTTCAAGTTCCTGAAGTTCATCTGTATCTACATGTATTTAAGAGATCAATGTTCAAGTTCCTGAAGTTCATCTGTATCTACATGTATTTAAGATATCAATGTTCAAGTTCCTGAAGTTCATCTGTATCTACATGTATTTAAGATATCAATGTTCAAGTTCCTGAAGTTCATCTGTATCTACATGTATGTAAGATATCAATGTTCAAGTTCCTGAAGTTCATCTGTATCTACATGTATGTAAGATATCAATGTTCAAGTTCCTGAAGTTCATCTGTATCTACATGTATTTAAGAGATCAATGTTCAAGTTCCTGAAGTTCATCTGTATCTACATGTATTTAAGAGATCAATGTTCAAGTTCCTGAAGTTCATCTGTATCTACATGTATTTAAGAGATCAATGTTCAAGTTCCTGAAGTTCAACTGTATCTACATGTATTTAAGAGATCAATGTTCAAGTTCCTGAAGTTCAACTGTATCTACATGTATTTAAGAGATCAATGTTCAAGTTCCTGAAGTTCATCTGTATCTACATGTATTTAAGAGATCAATGTTCAAGTTCCTGAAGTTCATCTGTATCTACATGTATTTAAGAGATCAATGTTCAAGTTCCTGAAGTTCATCTGTATCTACATGTATTTAAGATATCAATGTTCAAGTTCCTGGAGTTCAACTGTATCTACATGTATTTAAGATATCAATGTTCAAGTTCCTGAAGTTCAACTGTATCTACATGTATTTAAGATATCAATGTTCAAGTTCCTGAAGTTCATCTGTATCTACATGTATTTAAGATATCAATGTTCAAGTTCCTGAAGTTCAACTGTATCTACATATATTTAAGATATCAATGTTCAAGTTCCTGAAATTCAACTGTATCTACGTGTATTTAAGATATCAATGTTCAAGTTCCTGAAGTTCAACTGTATCTACGTGTATTTAAGAGATCAATGTTCAAGTTCCTGAAGTTCATCTGTATCTACGTGTATTTAAGATATCAATGTTCAAGTTCCTGAAGTTCAACTGTATCTACGTGTATTTAAGATATCAATGTTCAAGTTCCTGAAGTTCATCTGTATCTACGTGTATTTAAGATATCAATGTTCAAGTTCCTGAAGTTCAACTGTATCTACATGTATTTAAGATATCAATGTTCAAGTTCCTGAAGTTCATCTGTATCTACATGTATTTAAGATATCAATGTTCAAGTTCCTGAAGTTCAACTGTATCTACATGTATTTAAGATATCAATGTTCAAGTTCCTGAAGTTCATCTGTATCTACATGTATTTAAGAGATCAATGTTCAAGTTCCTGAAGTTCAACTGTATCTACATGTATTTAAGAGATCAATGTTCAAGTTCCTGAAGTTCATCTGTATCTACATGTATTTAAGATATCAATGTTCAAGTTCCTGAAGATCAACTGTATCTACATGTATTTAAGAGATCAATGTTCAAGTTCCTGAAGTTCAACTGTATCTACATGTATTTAAGAGATCAATGTTCAAGTTCCTGAAGTTCATCTGTATCTACATGTATTTAAGAGATCAATGTTCAAGTTCCTGAAGTTCAACTGTATCTACATGTATTTAAGATATCAATGTTCAAGTTCCTGAAGTTCAACTGTATCTACATGTATTTAAGATATCAATGTTCAAGTTCCTGAAGTTCATCTGTATCTACATGTATTTAAGATATCAATGTTCAAGTTCCTGAAGTTCATCTGTATCTACATGTATTTAAGATATCAATGTTCAAGTTCCTGAAGTTCAACTGTATCTACATGTATTTAAGATATCAATGTTCAAGTTCCTGAAGTTCATCTGTATCTACATGTATTTAAGATATCAATGTTCAAGTTCCTGAAGTTCAACTGTATCTACATGTATTTAAGATATCAATGTTCAAGTTCCTGAAGTTCAACTGTATCTACATGTATTTAAGATATCAATGTTCAAGTTCCTGAAGTTCATCTGTATCTACATGTATTTAAGATATCAATGTTCAAGTTCCTGAAGTTCAACTGTATCTACATGTATTTAAGATATCAATGTTCAAGTTCCTGAAGTTCATCTGTATCTACATGTATTTAAGATATCAATGTTCAAGTTCCTGAAGTTCAACTGTATCTACATGTATTTAAGATATCAATGTTCAAGTTCCTGAAGTTCAACTGTATCTACATGTATTTAAGATATCAATGTTCAAGTTCCTGAAGTTCAACTGTATCTACATGTATTTAAGATATCAATGTTCAAGTTCCTGAAGTTCAACTGTATCTACATGTATTTAAGATATCAATGTTCAAGTTCCTGAAGTTCATCTGTATCTACATGTATTTAAGATATCAATGTTCAAGTTCCTGAAGTTCATCTGTATCTACATGTATTTAAGATATCAATGTTCAAGTTCCTGAAGTTCAACTGTATCTACATGTATTTAAGATATCAATGTTCAAGTTCCTGAAGTTCATCTGTATCTACATGTATTTAAGATATCAATGTTCAAGTTCCTGAAGTTCAACTGTATCTACATGTATTTAAGATATCAATGTTCAAGTTCCTGAAGTTCATCTGTATCTACATGTATTTAAGATATCAATGTTCAAGTTCCTGAAGTTCAACTGTATCTACATGTATTTAAGATATCAATGTTCAAGTTCCTGAAGTTCATCTGTATCTACATGTATTTAAGATATCAATGTTCAAGTTCCTGAAGTTCATCTGTATCTACATGTATTTAAGATATCAATGTTCAAGTTCCTGAAGTTCATCTGTATCTACATGGATTTAAGATATCAATGTTCAAGTTCCTGAAGTTCATCTGTATCTACTTGTATTTAAGATATCAATGTTCAAGTTCCTGAAGTTCATCTGTATCTACATGTATTTAAGATATCAATGTTCAAGTTCCTGAAGTTCATCTGTATCTACATGGATTTAAGATATCAATGTTCAAGTTCCTGAAGTTCATCTGTATCTACATGTATTTAAGATATCAATGTTCAAGTTCCTGAAGTTCAACTGTATCTACATGGATTTAAGATATCAATGTTCAAGTTCCTGAAGTTCATCTGTATCTACATGTATTTAAGATATCAATGTTCAAGTTCCTGAAGTTCATCTGTATCTACATGTATTTAAGATATCAATGTTCAAGTTCCTGAAGTTCATCTGTATCTACATGGATTTAAGATATCAATGTTCAAGTTCCTGAAGTTCATCTGTATCTACATGTATTTAAGATATCAATGTTCAAGTTCCTGAAGTTCAACTGTATCTACATGTATTTAAGATATCAATGTTCAAGTTCCTGAAGTTCATCTGTATCTACATGTATTTAAGATATCAATGTTCAAGTTCCTGAAGTTCATCTGTATCTACATGTATTTAAGATATCAATGTTCAAGTTCCTGAAGTTCATCTGTATCTACATGTATTTAAGATATCAATGTTCAAGTTCCTGAAGTTCAACTGTATCTACATGTATTTAAGATATCAATGTTCAAGTTCCTGAAGTTCAACTGTATCTACATGTATTTAAGATATCAATGTTCAAGTTCCTGAAGTTCAACTGTATCTACATGTATTTAAGATATCAATGTTCAAGTTCCTGAAGTTCATCTGTATCTACATGTATTTAAGATATCAATGTTCAAGTTCCTGAAGTTCATCTGTATCTACATGTATTTAAGATATCAATGTTCAAGTTCCTGAAGTTCATCTGTATCTACATGTATTTAAGATATCAATGTTCAAGTTCCTGAAGTTCATCTGTATCTACATGTATTTAAGATATCAATGTTCAAGTTCCTGAAGTTCAACTGTATCTACATGTATTTAAGATATCAATGTTCAAGTTCCTGAAGTTCATCTGTATCTACATGTATTTAAGAGATCAATGTTCAAGTTCCTGAAGTTCATCTGTATCTACATGTATTTAAGATATCAATGTTCAAGTTCCTGAAGTTCAACTGTATCTACATGTATTTAAGATATCAATGTTCAAGTTCCTGAAGTTCATCTGTATCTACATGTATTTAAGATATCAATGTTCAAGTTCCTGAAGTTCATCTGTATCTACATGTATTTAAGATATCAATGTTCAAGGTTCTGAAGTTCAACTGTATCTACATGTATTTAAGATATCAATGTTCAAGTTCCTGAAGTTCAACTGTATCTACATGTATTTATTAATATCTCATAAAAACACCACAAAAAAGAATCATTTAGGATTTTTTTGTTTATTTGAACGGAGACCTCTCAAATGATTTGTTGAACATTTTTAATTGCGTACTTCTTTTGTGTGGATTTTGTTTAGGGGAATTTTAAAAACAAGGTGTGAGTAAACATTGAATGTAAGAAAAAACCCTGACTAGCTCTCCTAAAGAAGAAAACTACTCAATTACTCTGTAATAATTTATACTTTATTACAGGTAAAATACGGAGAAATCGGTTTGCACCAACCAACAAAAACCAATCTATCACCGGTTAAGGGGAAAAAAAACATCAGGCAGTCTCTCAAGTGCATAGATAGTATAGTTATTAACATCAAGTTAACTATCAGTTATAAAGTAGAACAATACATGTATTTATAACATCACAGTAAGCACATAGCTATACATCTTTTATAGGCCAATAAAAAAATATTTGTCATTCACCAATACTGAACCATTTTGAATCATTTTAATTCATGGGAGTCAGTGTTTGTGGGCTAATCAAAGTTTTACTGGTTCCTGGGATGTAATTTGTGAACAACTCTTACATATAGAAGATTCAATGAACTATTATTGTGTGTGGGGATGAAATCCACAAACACTGGTCCCCAACGAACAACGATGATTTTACATATGTAATTGGGGACAGTTTATGTCTCTCTGACTCCAATTCTTTTTTAAACCTACATAATGTTAATAAAGAACAAATAATAACAAATGTTAAAATATGACGATGAATATCTTAGCACTGCTGCCTGTAAGCAAGAGACTATACTGCCTGTGGACAGATCATCATATTAAATGGGTGTATAACAAAAAAGTGAAACTTGAAACTTGACAATGGAAGATGTAAGAACTCTGCTCATCAAAAATCTGCATTAGTTGTCACTTTGAGAAAGTGCGTTACATTACTTATACATTATCATAGTGTGTGTTTTATTTTTACCTCTAAGGTGCTAGTATTTTTCATCAATAGATTGTTAAATTTTTTAAGACCAAAAAAAGAAGTAAAAACCAACAGATAACATTAAGAATCTTTATGATTATAATTCTGCTACCCCCTCCTCCCCTCCTTGCCCCCCCCCCCCCCCCCCCCCCGTGAGAGAACAACAGCCAATAGACTGGCTACAGTAACAAAAGCAAAAGAGGGAAAGGTCATTCTGCCATTTTAAATTTAAATATATATAATGAAAAGACAAACAAAATGTGAAATGTTTTTGCCAATTTGATATGCTCAACAAAAAAATTTTCTTATCACTTTTTTTGTAAATCATGCATATAAATTTCAATCCCTGATATAATTGATTATATTAGTGTACTGTGCTACTAAAAATACAACATCATTGAAAATCAACATCATTAAAATAATCACAGTCTTGGAGTACAGTTTTACTTCCTGTAAACTAGATAAAAAATTGTAATTTTTCCTAAGATAACACTTCATCAACTTATTTTGGAGTTTCTCAAATTCCAGTATTCTTCTGTTTGCATTTCTGTTAACCTGGACACAGTCCGCTCAAAGGCAAATAACTCCTCCTCTCCTGTGAATATACTGGCCGTGGCCAAGTCTGATTTCTGTAGAGAAAACACAAAATTCATCACAATGAAGCAGTGTAAATTCTTTCAATTATAAATAAGAATCTCTATGGCTTGACACTGATGCACTTTGACCCTTTACTCAATCATTATTCTGCATATTTTGAAAGGAAACCCCAGAAATAACCCATATATTATCACAGGTTTTCAGAAACACAACTTCTATGGTGAGAAAAACGTTTCTGTGGAGTAAAAGATTTTTGAGATTTAGAGGTTTACATTTTATCACCAAAACATGGCCGCTAAAAATTGAAATTTCACAGACTACAATGTAGTTAATATATCAAATTGCAATCATTTAATAAGTTTTAATCCCTCAAGGGGAAGAAATCTTACTGTATACAGGGTTATTTTCGCCCCTCTCACACTTGCAAACAATTTTGCCCCATTTTTGAACTTGTCCAGTCGCAGTTCTGTTTAAGAAATTATACTGTGTTCGTTGAATTCGCCCTGTTTTAAATTTGTCCACCTGTGATTAAGGCAAATGGGGCGAAAAATAAAATGGGGGTGAAAATTTCCCTGTATACAGTAGAGTTTCTTTATACATGTATGCTATATTGCTTGCCTCTTGAATTCCTAAATCATCCATAAGATTTCGGTTGTCATCAAAGTTTTTCTGACTCAGGTTTCCAGCACTAAATAATTCTTTAGGTTTTGCAGCTGCTGAGCAAACTAAACGCACCTGTAATTACATATTTTATTTATCATGAAACCAGCATTGTCCTATACAATAAGGCGTACATGTAATAATAGTATTAACATACAAGTATAAATCTATCACTTTCATTCATGTTCCTTTTAACTTTCCATTTGTTTTCTGTAGTTTCATTTTCTGTTAAATTTTCTTTTCATGATATGATATACAGAGAAATTTTCGCCACCCATTTTATTTTTGCCCTTTTCACCCTACTTACAGGTGGGTAAAATTACAAAAGGCCCAAGGGCCTTTACGGTCACCTGAGTATAATACAACAATTTAGAAGTTAAATACACTGATAGATGAAGCATTGTTGCCCTAAAGCAAGAGAAGTAGGAAGATCAGGATCAACAAAATAATTAGTCTAGTATTCAGTATCAACTCATAAATTAAGTTCTAATCTGTCCCCCACTTAACACTATCACCGCACAGACTATTAACAAACTATTAGTGCATCTGTACTATTTTTAAACCCATTTTAAGACCTCTCGCATTGACCTCTCTTATGGTCTTTGAAGAACTTTTTAATAAGATAAGTTATTTTTGTCTCATTTTTATTTATCTATTACTTACAGGTCTGCCTGATTATTAAAACTAAGAAAGTACTTTTTGAATTATATGATAAACATTCTTGCATAATTATCTTATTCTATTAACCTTTCAAATACATTATTTACAGTGATTAATTATCAAAGGTGAATGGAAAAGGGGAATAACTTCTCTCAGTAGAATACAAATTAATAGAGCCCTGCCCAGGACCAGAATGCTTAGACAAATGGTCCAGATGTTCAAAAATCTGTTAGAAATATGCTTACTTATATCATTTAAACTTTTACTCAGTTTGCTTCCGATATGCCCAGAAGCAGAGAAGAATTTCACAGGTGCAATGCATTTTCACTACAGATTCAACAAAGCCTTACCCTAACACCAGAACCCAAGACCAAAGGTCAAGAAATTTACAAATTTGGAAGAGTTACCCTCATCATCATAACTATGGACTTCAAAGAATTAACACTTTTCCACTATATTATCAACCCCCCCCCCCCCCTCCTCGTTATGTCAGAACCCCTGACCCTAGGACCACAAGATTTAAAAATTCTGTTCGAAGCTCCCATTTTCATCATAGCTAAGCAATTCATTTATCAGCTCAACACTAAGGAGCAGACAGGATTAATTAATGATTAATCAATAGAATTAATGCATTTTCACTATATAATCAATAGAGCCCCCCTCCCCCCTCCTCAAGAACCCCCAAAGCTGAGGTCATATATTTAAAAATTTTGGAAGAGGCATCCTTGCCTATCATAATCATGCATTTAGTTTGTTTAAATAATCTCCAGTAGCAAAGAAGAAGATTTTCAAAGAATCAATGCATTTTCACTATATAATCAATAGAGCCCCGCCGTAACACCAGAACCCCTGACCCTGGGGCCATGAAATTCACAATTTTTAAAAAGGCATCCTTATGCATCATAACCATGCACTTAGTTTGTTTAAATAATCTCCAGTAGCAGAGAAGAAGATTTTCAAAGAATCAATGCATTTTCACAATATAATCAATAGAGCCCCGCCCTAACACCAGAACCCCTGACCCTGGGGCCAAGAAATTCACCAAGAAAGGCATCCTTATGCATCATAACCATGCACTTAGTTTGTTTAAATAATACCCAGGAGCAGAGAAGAAGATTTTCAAAGAATTAATGCATTTTCACTATATAATCAATAGAGCCCCGCCCTAACACCAGAACCCCTGACCCAGGGGCCTTGGCTTTCACAGTTCTGGAAGGGGCCACCTCCTCATCATAACTATGTACTTAGTTTATCACCTTAATGCCCAGGAGCAGAGGAGAGGATTTTCAAAGAATTAATGCATTTTAACGATATAGAGCCCTGCCCTAACACCAGAACCCCTGACCCAGGGGCCATGAAATTCACAATTTTGGAAGAGGCACTTTTGCTCATCATAACTATGTACTTAGTTACTTTATTTAATACCCAGGAGCAGAGATGAAGATTTTCAAAGAATTAATGCATTTTCACTATATAATCAATCGAGCCCTGCCCTAACACCAGAACCCCTGACCCTGGGGCCATGAATTTCACAATTTTGGAAGAGGCACTCTTGCTCTTCATAACTATGTACTTAGTTACCTTATTTAATACCCAGGAGCAGAGAAGAAGATTTTCAAAGAAATAATGCACTTTCACTATATGATCTATATAGCCCCACCCTGGTGCCAGAACCCCTGACCCTGGGGCCATGAATTTCAAAATTTTGGAAGAGGCACTCTTGCTCATCATAACTATGTACTTAGTTACTTTATTTATTACCCAGGAGCAGAGAAGAAGATTTTCAAAGAATTAATGCATTTTCACTATATTATCTATAGAGCCCTGCCCTAACACCAGAACCCCTGACCCTGGGGCCATGAATTTCACAATTTTGGTAGAGGGCTCAATGCTTATTACAATGATGCCAACAGCTTGATGTCCAGGAGTAAAGAAGAAGATTTTTAAAGATTGCATTATTTTTGGTGGTTTTAACCCCACCCCTCAGGCCCCAGGGGGGCAGGGACCATGAAATTCACAATTTTTGTTCCCCTTCACCCATAGATACTATATGCCAAATTTGGTTGAAATTGGTTAAGCGGTTTCAGAGAAGAAGCTAAAAATGTTCAAATGTTAACGCGCGATGCACGCCGACGGACGAGAAAGGATAGCAATAGGTCACCTGAGTGACTCAGGTGACCTAAAAATGGGGTGAATTCAAAAAACAAAGTATAATTTCTTAAACAGAAATGTGATTGGGAGAATTTAAAATGAGGCAAAATTATTTGCAAAAGGCGAAAATATCCCTGTATTACAAACCTTATTGTCATAAAAAGTATCCACCAGAGTTATAAATCTTCTTGCCTCCGTTTTATTAAACAGTGTCATTTTGGGGATATTTTCCAGAATGACAGTATCAAACTCCTTGCTAATTTCCAAATAATCAATAGCTCCACGTGCCTAAAGCAAGTAATCATAAAGTTAATTCTATAACAGATAAAATTATGTGTTGTCATTTATTCATTTGGTGTATAAATAATAATTTAATAAACTTGTAAGAGTTTAAATGAAATACAGTAAAACACTCAATTAGCAATGTGCAAGGGATGAACAATTTTTCTTCTTTATAAACTTAATTCCGTTATATCCCTTTAGCTTGCAACAAGTTTTTATACAGCAGGGAATGAAAATCACTTTACTGTAAGAGTGAATTCATTAGAAGCATGTTCATTATAAGCATGTTTTACTGTATGATGATAGATCAAAATTTGTCCTCAACATAAGCAAGCAAAGCACATTAATTGAAGCAATCCAATCAGTTTGATATACATACACATGAGTATCAATTGATTGAAACACTATAATCCTTGTCCATATATAAATGTGATAAACTTTAGAGAAATTATTCTGAGTATGAACTGTAACTTTCTAAACAAGCATATTTGAAACAAGAGGTCCAGGGGCCACAACTCTCACCTGAATCACTTTGGCCCTGCTGTTCTTCATCAGATTTTTTCCCTTGTAATACTTTGATTCCCTATTTTGGCCCCCACCTTAATTAATCCTAGTGGACATGATTCCATCAATTTATAAACTAAACTTCCTCACAAAGCTTCCCCATAAGATTCACCTTTTCTGGCCTAGTGGTTCTTAAAAAGAAGATTTTTTTTTAAAGATTTTTCTTTTATATTTCAATCTAAACAGATTCCCTATCATGACCCCACCCTACCCCAGGGACCATGATTTGAACAATTTAGAATTTACACTACCTCAGGAAGCTTTGATATAAGTTTCACCATTTCTGGCCTAGCAGTTTTTGAGCAGAAGATTTTTTAAAAAAGATTTATCCTATATATTTAAATGTAAAACTTTGATTCCTTATTGTGGCCCCACCCTACCCTGGGAGCCATGATTTGAACAACTTAGAATGTACTCTACCTCAGGAAGCTTCCACATAATTTTCAGCTTTTCTGGCCAAGTGGTTCTTGAGAAGAGGATTTTTTAATGACCCTGTCCTATTTTTGTCTTTTCTTGATTATCTCCCCTTGGAAGGGAGCTTGGTCCTTCATTTTAACTGCCCTTCACCCAAGGGTGCTTTGTACCAACAGTTGTTAAAATTGGTCTAGTGGTTCTTGAGAAAAAGTTGAAAATGTGAAAAGTTTACAGATGGACGGATGACGGGCAATGAGTGATCAGAAAAGCTCACATGAGCTTTCAGCTCAGGTGAGCTAAAAAGTACATTTATTGCACTCAAGAAAATTATGTCTGATTGAAAAAACCTCAGTCCATATGCTTATGTACTTTCTTAAGATGACACATGTATATATATTCCTTATAATAATAAAATTTTCATTGAGGTATACACATTATTGATAAATGAGAAATTTGGAGGTTTATATCCTCTGACAAAGTACAGTGTTTAAAATAAAATTTCAAGGTATTGTTTGGCCATTATTTTTCTTTGTACATGTATGCAGTACCGAATGACATTTACAAAGTTACATTACTGCTCATCTTCGATAAACAAAACCTCAAAATGTCACAGAAATCTCTTTTAATGATTGACAAAGAGGTACAGACAATGTCTGCAGTGTTCAACTGTTCATGAAATATCAGTACACACCTGTTTGCACATGGAATCAAAATCTGTCTTTAATATCGTTCCACAAGTTTCTGGTAAAATTAGCATTCTTCCTAAGATGTCCAGTACTCGAGATTCAATTACTACAAGATCAATTGATAAAAAATATTATCAAACAATGGAGGAGTTGTCTGTCTTTCACTGTCTGCTGTATATAAGATTGTAGAACAACTGAGGGAAAGAAGGAGTAGGACCTGTTTGATGCTTCAAAAGAAATAGGAAAAGTATAATTGAACTTACCACTTTCTTTTGAGATAAGAATTATATGGATACTGAGATAAGTATTATATGGATACTGAGATAAGTATTATATGGATACTGAGATAAGTATTATATGGATATTGAGATAAGTATTATACGGATATTGAGATAAGTATTATATGGATATTGAGATAAGTATTATATGGATATTGAGATAAGTATTATATGGATATTGAGATAAGTATTATATGGATATTGAGATAAGTATTATATGGATATTGAGATAAGTATTATATGGATACTGAGATAAGTATTATATGGATACTGAGATAAGTATTATACGGATACTGAGATAAGTATTATACGGATATTGAGATAAGTATTATATGGATATTGAGATAAGTATTATATGGATATTGAGATAAGTATTATATGGATACTGAGATAAGTATTATATGGATACTGAGATAAGTATTATATGGATATTGAGATAAGTATTATATGGATATTGAGATAAGTATTATATGGATATTGAGATAAGTATTATATGGATACTGAGATAAGTATTATATGGATACTGAGATAAGTATTATATGGATATTGAGATAAGTATTATATGGATATTGAGATAAGTATTATATGGATAATAACTGCACAAAGAGGCTATTATGTAAATGATCATTCCTTGCTTTCTGAATGTATGTCTGATGATAGAACAGGTTTACAGTCACTATATTCTACAAGTGGCTGCTAAATTAATAGCCTAAAGTGGTCATGTACAATAGTTGTACAACAAAACTCTGTGAGATACATATATGTAGTACAGGTTATCTAACCTTGCTCCTCTTGTTCTGCGATGAGAGCTTGGAAGACTTCGTCTATTTTCTCTTCACACTTGCCATCCCCTGTCCTATATAAAATAGTGAAATATAAATGATTTGTAGTACAGTGTATCAGTTACACAGAGCTGTCACAGGCAGGTGTTTAGCTTTGGTTCATCTTTTTCATTCAAATAAATTATACATGTTATATGAATATTAAATGAATACAAGGGATACAGACATCTTTGTAAAACTTAGTTTTCATAAAATACCCTATGTTATCTTTGAAGTTTAAATGAAATTTGAAAAGTCAGCTATAAAAGAGGCTTGCTTATAATTATTCTCAAGATTAAAGGCCAAGTTCAAATCCAATTGCCACACAAAAAAAAACATTTTAACCCTATTTATCTAAGTTTAAATAAAAAATAAATGATAAAACTAGGTCACACTCTAAAGAGTATTTTTAATTTGCCAATCAAAGGACTACAGACAAAAGCTAAACAAAACTGTTAAGACAAATGTACACGCAGACATCGATGTTCCTTATACTTGTATTGAGTAACTCACAGAAAATAGATTCTGCCTTCAGCAGGGAGTGTGTTCATTCTATAATCCACCCCGGAGTTTAGACTCACTACCTCACAGTGTTTCTAAAAATAAAAATATGTATACTATAGTGAGAAAATACAAAATATATCTCACCTTGTAGTTCATTATCCAATTTTTACATTTTGCAAAAATAAGGAACTGACATCCACGTTTAAAACAGTCATAACCTAACATGTAACCCATAATATCTTTGTATAATAAAGCCTACTTTATTTAGCAACATTTTACAATACTATACTAATTGAATCGCTGACAAAATCAAAGGAGAAACTCACCTTTAATTCCCCAATAAAAGGGACAAAATTGCCTCTTTGAAGACCATTCTTGTATAAATCTGTAAACAGCAAAATAATGGAAGACAGTGGAGATGGAATCATGAGCATTTTTAAAGTATTAAGTCCAAAGTATGCTCTACCTCTTAATTTACATAAAGAAGCATAGAGCAATCATTCAAAGAGAAGTAGTGATAACAAGGTTTATAATGCAAGGGGCAGTAACTGAAAAATGGTTCACAGTTCATGGTCATTGGGTAAAACTTCAAAATGTGTTTTGATTATCATGGACAACATAACAGTTGCTTGTTGAAAAGTCTTCAAATTCAAGAGCCATAAGGAATTATTAAAAATTCTTCATGAAATATAACTTCCAGTTAGCAAATTACACCCCCCCCCCCCCAGTTTATTCAGTTTTCAAGTGTACATAAAATTCTTATAGATTAACTTTTTACATGTACATGTATTACCATCAGGTGCTCGATTAGAAGTGGCCACAACCACCACTCCACATTTAAACAATTCTGTAAAAAGCTTCTTCAGTATCACAGCATCTGCTATATCTGTAACCTGTCAATTAACAATCGTCAATAATGTGTACATATACATGTATCTGTGTCATTCTCATCTGTTTAAGTACATGTACTTTATGGATTAATATAATTATAATGACTCAATTCTATATAATTTCAAAGTAAAGTAATTCTCCTTTAATGTTGTGTGCATCTACATTACATATAGAGGCATATACCTGAAACTCATCAAAACAGAGTAGCCATGCCTCAAGACTGATCTCTTTGGCAACTGGTGGAATTGGATCAAAAGACTGAGTTTTCCTTACATTATACTGTCTTGGCACAGACTGCTTCAGTGTATGTACTCCTAAAATACATTGCCATTCATTAAAAATATTATAAGACATGGAAAAAAAAAAAGAATTATATACATGTACTTATGTACAACTGAATTTTTTCTTCATTATGTCAACCAAAAAGTACAGTCTGAAGTATATGATTATTAGAATTTTTAAGGACATAAAAGAAGAGAATATGTGAGAACCACTATGTTTATATAGTTCAAGATGCTAGTCATGTTGTTCCTAGTCCCTTTGGATGCAAAAAAAATTAATGTCAAACCTCTACCGATATAATGATTCATAATATTCATTCCAAGATAAAGTTAAGATTCTTTATAGTGAGTACATTGTACCTTGTATCATTAATTGGAACTCAACATTTTTTTCTTTTCACTAATGTTTTGTTCTAGCAAGGGATCCAAGACTGATTATGAAGTAAAAATTTGTATTTGCTTGGACAATGTTTTAATATTTTTAATGAATATTGTACATGTAATGAGAGGTCAATGATAGATACAACTGTCCAATAGTTCTACATATACTACAGTAAACATAAAATATTTGAATATTTTATCATTATTTAGTCAAAAACACTAAATTTATGCTATTAAATTTACTGAAAATCCCTCATCTCCATCTTTTTTTTTTTAACATAAAAGGAAAGATTTTTATGTTTGTATATTTATAATTTTAGTGAAATTATTTTTAAAAATTATAAAATATATTAAAATTTAAACCAGCACATTCCCTACCTAATTTAGAAGAAAATAATATAAACAATGTTGTTCTATAGCAACCATTATATTCTGCTATGTATCAGATAACACACATTGAATTCCACTGAGAAAAAATGTGAGTACTACAAGTACCTACGTTTATGTACATCCAGCATAAATTTATGGAAGTGAACTCGCTGTCTTCTTTTCACTTTACAATGTTGATAAAACATATCCATTAACATTGTCTTCCCAGTACCTAAAATAGATATGTATAAAATAAAAGCTTCATTTTTGGAAAGGGGGGGGGGGCTTTATCTGTTTATCCATAGTTGCTGAATTTATCACTAAGCAGACCTACAATAAAATTATCCAATCTAGATGTCATATATGAAGAAATCCTTAGAATTTAAGCATTATACTCTACATGTATATATTACATAAATAATAGCATATTGTAACATAGTTTTGAAGCATGAAATGTTTGAAAGGAATTAAAGAAATATTTCCTGAAATGCCCATACCCACATGCCCATGAAGATATAGCCCCTTTGGTTTGTCTGTCTCATTCTTGCTGCTAAATCCAAAAGTCTACAAAATCAACATGTTTCATAAATGATTAATTAATATCATGATTAATACAATTACATGTGTACTTAGTTAGAATAATCTAACTGTGTCTCGGGACAAGCCCTCACCACAGTTAGAATACGTCCCATATACTTGTGCCCTGTTCACACTGAGAGTTTAATTCGAATTAAACGTAAGTTACTGCGAATTAAATTTGATCCGCGTTCACACGGAGAATTTAAAGCGAATTAGTTTAATTCGAATTAGTTTACTGCGCATTAAATTACTTCGCATTAGCTCCGTGTGAACGCTAAGCGAAGCTAATTCGAATTAAATTCTGACGCATGCGTAAGGGCAGAATTAAGTCACAGGCCACATGTCAATGGTCAAATATAGACCTGTACTTGTGCCAATTTTGAGTGGAAAACAAAGGAAAATTGTGTTAATCACTAAAATGTGTACAGACACTATGACATTACGTCAAATGTATATCTGCACAATATGACGTGATTTGTAAATGACGTCATAATAGCCTCACTGAATAGACTTGTAGAAATTAAATTATATGCCCTGTTCACACGGAGAGTTTAATTCGAATTAAACGTAAGTTACTGCGAATTAAATTTGATCCGCGTTCACACGGAGAATTTAATGCGAATTAGTTTAATTCGAATTAGTTTACTGCGCATTAAATTACTTCGCTTTAGCTCCGTGTGAACGCTAAGCGAAGTTAATTCGAATTAAATTTTGACGCATGCGTAAGGGCAGAATTAGGTCACAGGCCACATGTCGATGGTCAAATATAGGTACTTGTGCTATTTTTGAGTAGAAAACAAAGGAATATTATGTTAATCACTAAAATGTGTACAGACACTATGACATTATGTCAAATGTATATCTGCTGTGCACAATATGACGTGATTTGTAAATGACGTCATAATAGCCTTACTGAATGGCTTATTGTAGAAATAAAATTTTAATTTGCATTAGTTTACTTCGCATTAGATGTTGTGTGAACGCAATTTAATTCGCATTAGTTTAATTCGCATCATTTTGCTTCGCATTATTTTACTACGAATTAAACTCTCCGTGTGAACAGGGCATTGCAATGTAGCAAATCGGAGTGGATCCACTCCGAAATGATTTTGAAGAATACAAAAGGAGTTGCACTGAAAATAACAACCAAGTTAATCATAACAAACCTTTTTGAGATTGTATATGCCTTTTAACCTAAAAAATAATCCATATAAATACGAAAATTCAACTCATTTTCTCAACATTTTTTCCTCGCTTCAAATTTAACGCCATGTTGACATTCGGAACTCTCTGGATTGTTCATAGAAAATGCACAGAGTTCGAGTTATCGCCCGTGTTTATTTTGCTACATTGCCAATACACGGAACGAATTCTATTGTTAAACCGGGTCCGTAGGACAATGTCATTTTAACGATAGAACGTTCTATCTAATGTGTACTGTACATGTATATAATCATGTGCCCTAATTTGAACTCTATTTTATTATTCTAATTTTTTTTTTAATATTTATATTATTGTTTGTTTGTTTGTTTTTTTCTTGTTAGACTCTGATTTGACCTATTTTAATCATGCTAACAAACACATATATATCATCACCCTGTTTTGTTCTGAAGTTGACTTTTAATCCTAATCTTGAATATATTAGATAACAAGAGGCCCAAGGGCCTTAACGGTCACCTGAGTATCATACAACAATTAAGAGGATCCATAGAGTATAAAATGAACTAAAAGGTGAACCTTTGTTGCCCAAAAGCAAGAAAAATAGGGCGATCAGGATCAACAAAATAATTAGTCTAGTATTATCTAATGTGTACTGTACATGTATATAATCATGTGCCCTAATTTGAACTCTATTTTATTATTCTAATTTTTTTTTTTTAATATTTATATTATTGTTTGTTTGTTTGTTTTTTTCTTGTTAGACTCTGATTTGACCTATTTTAATCATGCTAACAAACACATATACATGTATATCATCACCCTGTTTTGTTCTGAAGTTGACTTTTAATCCTAATCTTGAATATATTAGATAACAAGAGGCCCAAGGGCCTTAACGGTCACCTGAGTATCATACAACAATTAAGAGGATCCATAGAGTATAAAATGAACTAAAAGGTGAACCTTTGTTGCCCAAAAGCAAGAAAAATAGGGCGATCAGGATCAACAAAATAATTAGTCTAGTATTCATTAACAGTTCATAAATTAGGTTCTAATCTCTTCCTCATTTATCACTCTCACCATAAGTATATTGACAAACTATCAGTGCTTCTGTAATATTTTAATTCCTTGTTGAAATCTCTTACATTGGCCTCTCTTGGTCTTTGATGAACATTTCATAAGACTAGTTATTTTTGTCTGATTTTTATTTATCTACTACTTACAAGTCTACTGATCATTAAAACTAAGAAAGTACTTTTTGTATTATACAATAGCAATTCTTGCATAATTCTCCTATTCTATTAACCTTTCAAGTACATTATTTACAGTGATTAATTATCAAAAGTAAATGGCAAAGGGGAATAACTCCTCTCAGTAGAATACAAATTAATAGAGCCCTGGCCAGGACCAGAACACTTGAATAAATGGTACAGATGTTCAAAAATCTGGTAAAAATACCCTTCCTTATTAAAACTTTTACTCTTTTTGCCTCTGATATGCCCAGGTGCAGAGAAGATTTTTAAAGAAATAATGCATTTTTACTACAGATTCACTATATTCACTATATTATTAATAAAGCCCCCCCCCCCTCCCCACCTAGAAACACCAGAGCCTCTCACCCTGGGACCAGAAGTTTGCTCATCATAAGTAATCACTTTGTTTGTCTGCTTAACACTAAGAGCAGACAGGATTATTTAATAGAATCAATGCATTTTCACTATATTATCAAGAGCCCCACCCTTACACCAGCACATCTGACCCAGGGGGTCATGAAATTCACTACTCTGGAAGAAGCACTCTTGCTCATCATAACTATACACTTAGCTTCTTTGCTTTTTAACCAGAATATTTTCAAAGAAATTTTGCTTTTTCGCTATATAATCAATAGAGCCCCCCCCCCCCCCTCTCCCTTTTCACCAGAACCCTTGATCCTGGGAGCCTGAAATTCACAATTTTGGAAGAGGCATCCTTGCATATCATAACAATGTGTTTAGTTTATTTAAATAATACCCAGGGGCAGAGAAGAAGATTCTCAAAGAAATAATTCACCTTCACTATAGGATCTATATAGCCCCACCCTAGCACCAGAACCCCTGTCCCTGGGGCCATGAATTTAACAATTTTGGAAGAGGCATCCTTGCTTATCATAACAATTTATTCAATTTGTTTAAATAATAACCAGGAGTAAAGAAGAAGATTTTCAAAGATTTTCAAAGAAATTTTGCTTTTTCACTATATAATAGAGCCCCCCCCCCCCCTTTCACCAGAACCCTTGACCCTGGGGCCATGAATTTCACAAATTTGGTAGAGTCAGCCTATCATAACTATGTATTTAACTTGTTTAAATAATACTTAGGGGTAGAGAAGAAGATTTTCAAAGAAATTTTGCTTTCTCAATATATAATTAATAGAGCCCCCCCCCCCCCCCCATTCACCAGAACCCTTGATCCTGGGGCCATGAATTTCATAATTTTGAAAGTGGCATCCTTGCGTATCATAACTATGTATTTAATTTGTTTAAATAATACCCAGTGGCAGAGAAGAGGATTTTCAAAGAAATAATGCACTTTCACAATATGATCTATATAGCCCTGCCCTAGCACCAGAACCCCTTACCCTGGGGCAATGAATTTCACAATTTTGGTACAGTCACTCTTGCTAATCATAACTATGTATTCAATTTTTTAAATAATAACCAGGAGTAGAGAAGAAGATTTTCAAAGAAATTTTGCTTTCTCACCATATAATCAATAGAGCCCCCCCCCCCTTTTCACCAGAACCCTTGACCCTGGGGCCATGAATTTCACAATTTTGGTAGAGTCACCCTTGCTTATCATAACTATGTGTTCAATTTGTTTCAATAATACCCAGGAATAGAGAAGAAGATTTTCAAAGAAATAATGCACTTTCACTATATGATCTATATAGCCCCACCCTAGCACCAGAACCCCTGATCCTGGGGCCATGAATTTCACAATTTTGGTAGAGTCACCCTTGTTTATCATAACTATGTGTTCAATTTGTTTCAATAATACCCAGGAATAGAGAAGAAGATTTTCAAAGAAATAATGCACTTTACTATATGATCTATATAGCCCCGCCCTAGCACCAGAACCCCTGACCCTCGGGCCATGAATTTCACAATTTTGGTAGAGTCACCCTTGCTTATCATAACTATGTGTTCAATTTGTTTCAATAATACCCAGGAGTTGAGAAGAAGATTTTCAAAGAAATAATGCACTTTCACTATATGATCTATATAGCCCCGCCCTAGCACCAGAACCCCTGACCCTGGGGCCATGAATTTCACAATTTTGGTAGAGGGCTCAATGCTTATTACAATCATGCCAACAGTTTGACCCCTTGTTGTCCAGGAGTAAAGAAGAAGATTTTTAAAGATTGCATTAATTTTGGTGGTTTTAGCCCCACCCCTCAGGCCCCAGGGCAGGGACCGTGAAATTCACAAATTTTGTTCCCCTTCACACATAGATGCTATATGCCAAAATTGGCTGAAATTGGTTCAGCGGTTTCAGAGAAGAAGCTGAAAATGTTCAAATGTTAACACACGACGCACAACGCACAACGGACGACGGACGAAAACGGATAGCAATAGGTCACCTGAGTGACTCAGGTGACCTAAAAATTAAAATAATTAAAATAAAGAGATTAAAGGAGGAGTAACTCTTAATACGTACATTAATCATTTATGTTGTGTAAAAGCATCAAATGTAATACATGTATAAAACAATGAGTAGATATGAATACAACCTTTGCTAGCCAGTTGACAGTGGTTGATGGAGGTTCATAGTTATCAAGTTTATCATATAGACTTTGCAGCCTCTCTACTACCGACATCTGATAATCATCTTGCTGTAACTGTCCCAAGGCAATTCGCTTTTTGTAAGCAGAAATTGGACTGTCAGCTTCATTTTCTGTGCTGGTCAGAGTAGATTCATTGTGACCTGTTTTCTGATGGCCATTTTCTCTAGCAACTGTAGAAGGAGCTGAAAAATAAACAAATATTATGGAATCAATTTTATTCCAAGGCTAAATAATGATGGATATTAATTTGAAACCATTTTTTGTAATTAAAAAAAAATAGGACTATGTCTAAGGTTGAGCACGAAAACATCATTTGGGTTATCAACTAACTTTGCCCTTGGAAGTTGGTTTCTGAAGTAGGTCAAAGATGTTCAAATAAAAAAAAATGCGAATAAACATGAAAATGTCTATGAATTATGAATGAAACATCACCTGTTGTATATTGTTTTACAAATCCATTCACGTAATTTACCATGAAAATGCGTCTTGGGACCAATATAACTGATTTTACACTTTTCATGATGTGTAAATTTTCTTACTTAACGAGAACTCATGTGTACTGTGTAAAACGTCATCATTATTGTAGGATTATAATTATTGAAATATTTGTAAGAGATTTTTAATTTCCGAAAAAATAGATTCATAAATCTTTAAGATTTCTGTCAAGTTTTGGGTAACTGTATTGTTTCTTATATATACTGTACATCAGTGGATTTAAAATAAAGCAAAATTGGTTAAGAAAATATTAATTTTCATACTTTTTCTTTTTCACTAATTATCTCGGGTTCGGGTATTGTTATTGACTGACGTCATCACTTAATGTGTTGGAGGAGTTGCAAGAAAAATGAGTACGGGCACTCAACCAGCGACGGCCAGGATTCAGCCAAAGAAACAGACGTTAGAGGATGCATATTCTCCCCCTGCGAACTTCCTTGAAATAGATATCACGGACCCTCAAACTCATGGGCTGCCCAAATCAAAGGGGAGATACACAGATTACGCTGTCAAAATGAAGGTACTAAGTTCTTTATTTTTAGCCGAAATCCGGAAGCTTTAGTAATAGTCACGTTAAAATTATAATAATATCACTTAATTATATCCTGAAATTGTTTATGTCATTTTCAAAGAAGGCAAATCAATATGCTTGACGTATGGAAAACTTAACATAATTCATTGAAATTCGAATTTCCTCACTCTTTGTTCCTATCAAGATCTCATCGTTATAAACCAGGTAACACTTCCTATCTAGAAGATCACCTCACTTTGCCTCAAGTATCCTGCTTTGGTGGGGTAAAATGTGTTCACATATGGTGTTTTATGAGTTTAATTTTTAAAAACTGAGTGAAAAAACATCGTTGGAAACCCACTGTTGGTCTCACATCTCTTACCAGATCAGTGATGGGTTTCTGACAATGACGAAATGTAGTGTGGATAACTTCAGATGTAATGCCTAAATTGAGGTGTCATTTCTATGAGATGCAGTCCAGAAGGGGAGTGGACCATAATTGTTACTGATACCTCCTCACAATTCTTAGTCCTAGGACTAGAATATTTTATTTTTAGTTAGATATTCATAGATTAAGCTATTACATGTACATGTGCTAAGGACTTTATCTCTCAGGGATTTATCTAGATATTTTATTTGACTTCCCTAGGGCTTTTCATATAAATTGGGGAAAATGACAATTGCTCCACATTAGTGTTGGAGGTGTAATTATACAATAGGAAAATTTTCAGATAAATTTAGCAAAAATTTGCATTCTGAGAGCTAATCTGGGGGGATTTCTAGAACTATGATAAATAATTATATTTTAAAATGTTAAATATTAGCTTACATGGTTTAATCAGAGAATTTTGACATCTTTTCCAAAGGGGACAGGTACTTTTTTTTAACACAGCATTGATAAATCCCTGTCCCTGTACTTGCAAGTCAATAAGTCATACATGATTGTATGTATCACTCAAAACATGGATCGTTAAGATTCTCTTACATAAGATATAAGTATTCTTATTGCATGTAGTTGTTGTTTACAAAATTGTAATATATTGTAAAGAATAACTAAATTGGTAAAATTTTAAGATTCCAAAAAAAAAAAATTTAAGTGGAAGTAAAATAATCTCTAAGAATTATTCATTAATGTTTTTCAGACTAACTTACCAGTTTTTAAAGTAAAGGAGTCAACGGTGAGACGAAGATATAGTGACTTTGAATGGCTGAGAAATGAGTTAGAAAGAGACAGTAAGGTAAGGTTGAGTACTTAAATAATAACAAATAACTTCTTATTGCATTCAGCATTTATTTATCAAAACAAAACATTATATTAATATGTATAGGTATTTCTCCAGGAAACCAATTTAAATAATACTTTCATTGCATTTTGGAATACTGGTAGGCATCATGCTATGTACAATATTCATAGGTGTTGAATAATCAAGTCTCAACCAAGACTTGAACCCAGGGCCTCTGGCATACATGCCAGTACTCTATAACCACTGAGCTATTGAGTCCTGATATGTTGACTGATATTCATATACGTGTTAGTCTGGTTGTTAATGCTGCTGTTGATGCTTTGAGTCCTGCTTGCCTCACTCTCGGAAAACATAACTTTTTAAGATTTGAATTTATGATGTTAATCCATCATTTTTTGACAGATTGTAGTTCCTCCTTTGCCTGGGAAAGCTTGGAAAAGACAATTACCCTTTAGGAGTGATGAAGGAATATTTGAAGATGACTTCATTGAAGACAGAAGGAAAGGCTTAGAACAGTTTATTAACAGGTATGAGACATTACCTTTCATTTTGGCTTAAAAAGGAACCCATAAGGGTCACAGAATGACACAGTAGTTTGTACATTTTTAATGATTTTGGAGAATCAAGAAATTAAAGTCTAGTTTTCTTTTTGTTTATATTTTATTTCACTTTTGACAAACTTATAAAGTGATTTGAATGAATGAATTCATATTACAAGAGAATATGCATATTTTATATACCGTTATTTCATGTATTTCCATATCAAGATTTTGTGAGTCTGATTTAATGTGAAGAGCAGTTTATGAGGATGAGCATTGTTAGTCAGATACCAATGGGTGATCTAGTCTTTTACTCATCACTCATGGGCAAAGTTGCTGAAATATCATTGTTAGATATGCAAATTCTTCAATAACAAACAACCAATCCGAAAGTTTGCTTTTTAATGCTAGTAAAGTGGTGCCCCTTAAACATGCAAATTTTGTTTTAAAATGATAAAAAGACAAGTCATATAGGTCTGACACAAATAAAAAGACAGGAAATCAAATAAAAGACAGGAATAATATGTGGATTCATTTCTCAAACTGCAAATTGCACTGGTGAGTGGATTTGTTTGCAATCGGTGCATTTACTATGCGTGTTAACTACGGAAAAGTTTATGTCATTGCTTAACAAACACATGTAATATAATCCTGTGATTCATAGATTTGCTATCTTGATTCTTTGCAATAAACAGTCAAGTGATCCGCACATATTAATTACTTATGACAATATTTCAGTGACTTTGCCCATGGGTGATGAGTAAAAGACAAGATCACCCATAAGTATCTGATGATGGAGGATGACATTATTTAGTCCTTATAAATTCATCTGAGTCAGAGTTTTTAGCTTTTCTGATTGAAGATTGTCCATTGTCTGTTTATTGATTTTCTGTTCATTTTTCACATCTTTGACTTTTCCGAAATCAATGATATCCCTGTCAAAAGGTAAAGGAGATTCAAGTCTATATTTAATGAAGGGTGGTGTCACTTGTCAAGGAGAAAAAAATATTTGTGGTTGAAATAGGATGGGTGTTATTCAAATATATTTTAATGGGAAACAGAGAGCAAAAAAAAAAAAAGCCAAATGTCTACTGAAAGCTTGAAATTTTTTCAAGTCATAATCTTTCGAATTTGAGTTATTTCTAGCAGCAGCACTGTAGCGTTATGGTTTTATATTTTAGTTTTTGACCATAAGGCTACAGATCCCATAATGCAAACATTGTGCAATTTATGGCACAAGATTTTCTGTGCACTTTTGGGATGTATTTCGTCACTTTCCAGCATTGGTCAATCAACGACCTTTCATTCCCTAATTCTAGACATACTCAATAACCAATCTGTATGGTTTATCCACCTCCTAACCCTTTATAGTCGTCTCTACAGGCCAAAGAACTGGCATAAAATTCACAACAAGCTAACTTATTGGTAGTCTGTTGGTGATCTGTTTTATGTCTTTTAGTCTATATTTCATAAAAGTTTGCTTAATTAGTTTCTGTAAGGATGCTTGATATCTCCACACGAGTCAATTGCTTTGAATTATCAATGTATATTTACTAAAACTAATATTTACTTTACAGAGTTGCAGGTCATCCACTTGCACAAAATGAAAAGTGTCTACATATGTTCTTACAAGAAACAAATATTGACAAGAACTATGTGCCAGGCAAGATTCGCACCACGTGAGAGGGAGCATGCTAGCTTATCTCCCCCACCAATAGAGAGAAAGGACAGATTTTTTTATGTGACAGGCATTTTACAGGGTTAGGAGATGGGTTTTAGAACAAGACTAAAATTGTGATGTAAAATGTTGGATATTACTGTTTTTTTGTTGAAATCTAACCAAGTATAGCATTTCTTTGTCATAGATTTCTTCAACTAGATGGATAGGAGACAATATAAACATTTTCATGAGTGATAATTTTTGTAACTGAACAAAATTGATTTTTTCTGCTTAGATTTAATTGCCTGTTATATTTCACCAAAAGTAAGATAAATGATATGTTGAAAACACTGTTTGTTGAATAGTATTGTAGTATAATCAATTTCTTGTTTATGGCTTTCAAATTGCATCGAACAACACAGCAAATCTTTTCATGAATTAAAAAAAATTTCATTCTGATATCTGTATACCCTGGGTGTACGTACTACAAAATTTCACACTGAATGTCACTGATTTCTATATACCCTGGGTGTACTACAAAATGTCACATGATATCTGTATACCCTGGGTGTACTACAAAATGTCACATGATATCTGTGTACCCTCCGTGTACTACAAAATGTCAATGATATTTGTATACCCGGGATGTACTACAAAATTTCAATGATATTTGTGTACCCTGGGTGTACTACAAAATGTCACATGATATCTGTATACCCTGGGAGTACTACAAAATGTCAATGATATTTGTATACCCAGGATGTACTACAAAATGTCACATGATATATTTATACCCTGGGTGCATTAATGGTTGTTGTTTTTGTTAAAATAGTTTGAGTTTAGAAAGTTTTAGTATGTAAATACATGCACCCTTATTTCGTTTATTTTCAAACTCCTATAAAGTACATGTATATACATATATTTACATTAAATTTGACATACCACCAAAAGTAAATGTTTTTTCAGAGATCACTACATGTATACCTTCATAATTTTTTTCTTCCTTTTTTTTCTTTCCCCCCCCCCCCCCCCCCCCCCCCCCCCCGCATTTTGTGTAAAAATTCACTTGAACTATAAGACAATTTTACTTACCTGTATATCAAACTGTGAAATAGATCAAATGATGATGTTTATTTTATGTTTATAGATATATCATTCAGTAATATAATGTAAAACAGATGCAGAAAGTTTTTTTTATAAAGAACATTTTTGAAATTTTGTAAGCTATTATTTTATACAATGTACATGTATGTTTTAAAAAGACATCTTTATTTAATATGTAGATTGTGAATTGAAACATTCAAGTAGTAAACAATTCAAGAAGTAAAAAAAGCAATCCAAAGATAGAATCTGCTGCAGTTGAGATGAACTTTAAAATTAAGATTAACAGGTTTATATATATATATATATATATATATATATATATATATATATATATATATATATTAAATCAGACTTAGTAAAGTCATACACCAAAACAAATGTGTCACAATTTTAGGTTGTATGTGTATTTCTCTCTTGAAATAGAACATGAATTCCAGGCTTTAACAAGAAGGGTTACAAAATGATGCATTTCTTCAGTTTTTGCTGTATCATCTTGTAATATAAAGTGTAGAGAGCTGTTACTTCTACTGTGTATAGTGTTGTCTCTTTATGGTACACTACCTGACAAAAAAGGTGGAGAATTTTACACACCATAATTATGTATAAATAAACTGTACAAACTAAATATTTTGTGTTTCTGTATTTTAAAATCCTACAATGTAACAAAGCAACACAAACAAAACCACATCAGCAACATCCAATATAACAAAGCCACAGTAGCAACATCCAATAACAAAGCCACAGCAGCAACGTCCAATAACAAAGCATCAGCAGCAACATCCAATAACAAAGCTACAGCAGCAACATCCAATAACAAAACCACATCAGCAACATCCAATAACAGCCACAGCAGCAAAATCCAATAACAAAGCCACATCCAATAACAAAGCCACAGCAGCAACATCCAATAACAAAGCAACAGCAGCAACATCCAATAACAAAGCCAAACAAAAGCAATAACAAAATTTATTTGTTTGCTAAATTATATTAAAATCGGACCAAAATTGTAGCAGGAGTAGCGTTTTAGAGTAATTTCACAGATATTTCTATTTTTAGTAATCTTGGCTTTATCGTTCATCAAAATCAAAAATTGATGTACTGAATAATGTTCCATGGTGTAATCTTTGTGCCAAGTTATATTGAAATCGGACTAAAACTGTAGGAGAAGTAGCGATTTAAAGGAATTTTACAGAAATTTCTATTTTCAGTAACCATGGCATTATCGTTCATCAAAATCAAAATTGATGCACTAAATTATGTACCCTAGTGTAATCTACTTGTATGCCAATTTATATTGAAGTCAGACCAAAACTGTAGCAGGTGTAGCGTTTTCAAGGAATTTTATAGAAATTTCTATTTTAACAAATTAAAACTACATCAACCGTGTTCAATCAATGAAGCCAATACAGCCACATGCATTGAAATAAGGCCATACACAGGCCCCTAGGAAGCAATTTCAGTTTGGGGGGGACACAGTCATACATTTTCAGTTGGGGGGGGGAACTATCAACTACCAAAATTTCCTTGACAAGCAAAAAAAAAAAAAAAAATGGAAAAAAAAGGTCATCAGACGTTTTCATTGATGGGGCACAAGCTAGAAGTAGCTACATTTTCTATAGTTACATATATATCGGCAAAATTATTGGGGGGGGGGGGGGCTATGTCGACAAAATATGGGTAGCAACTTTTCCTTCGCCATGCGCTCGGCACTTTGAAGTGAAAGTTGCGGGTCCTTCGGATGAGACCTTAAAAACTGAGCCCCGTGTCACGACAGGCGTTGGCACGATAAAGATCCCTCACTGCTCAATGGCCCTAAGTGCCGAGTAAAGGTCAAAATTTGAAGCCCTTCACCGGTATATGGTGACGTCTCTATAGGAGTGAAAAATTCTCGAATGGGACGTAAAACAACATACAATCAATGTAATAGAGGCATATACAAGTAACAATTTAAAGCCGTATCAACCATTTTCAATGAAACGAAGCCAATACAGCCACATGCAATGACAAAGAAACATAATTCAGTCACCATGGTCACATACAATGTAAAAAAAGAAACATATAGCCACATAAAATGTAACAAAACCACATAAATCTAATACATACAATATAACAAAGCCACATATAGCCACAGTCAACGAAACGCAGCGGCCACATTCAATGTAATAGACCGTTCACGGTAGCTCAGTCGGTAGAGCGCTTGCTTCGTGATCGGGAGGTGGTGAGTTCGAATCTCGGCCGCGACTGACCTAAGTCGATAAAAAATGGGTAGCAACTGTTCCTTCGCCATGCGCTTGGCACTTTGAAGTGAAAGTTGCGGGTCCTTCGGATGAGACCTTAAAAACCGAGGCACCGTGTCACGGCAGGCGTTGGCAAGATAAAGATCCCTCACTGTTCAATGGCCCTAAGTGCCGAGTAAAGGTCAAAATTTGAAGCCCTTCACCGGTATATGGTGACATCTCTATATGAGTGAAAAATTCTCGAATGGGACGTAAAACAACATACAATCAATGCAATATAGTCATATACAAGTAACAATTTAAAGCCGTATCAACCATTTTCAATGAAACGAAGCCAATACAGCCACATGCAATGAAACATTGGAAAGCCATATACAACCTCATACAATGTAACATAGCCAAATTCAGCTACATACAACGGAATACAATTTGACAAAGCCATATACGATGTAATAAAGAAACATACAATCACATAAAATGTAACAAAGCCACATGCATACAATGTAACAAAGAAACATACAATTAACCACATAAAATGTAATAAAGCCACTTACATTGTAATAAAGAAACAAACATTATATGTAACAAAGCCACATAAAACCAGATACAATGTAACAAAGCCACAGACAATGTGACAAAGACATATATAGCCACATACAATGTGACAAAGTCACATATAGCCACAGACCAATGTGACAAAGACACATATAGCCACAGACCAATGTGACAAAGATATATATAGCCACACACTAATGTGACAAAGACATAGATAGCCACATACAATGTGACAAAGACACATATAGCCACATACAATGTGAAAAAGACATGTATTGGCACATACCAATGTGACAAAGACACATATAGCAACAGATCAAGATGACAAAGACATATATGTAGCCACATACAATGTGAAAAAGACATGTATAGCCACAGACAATGTGACAAAACCATATACAATATTAATGTAACAGAGAAACAAATACAGCCACATACAGCTTGTCCCAAATATGATTAATATATATGTATATGGATATATATATGCCCTAAAACTTCCGATTTATTAAGGAGAGAAAGCCACAACCCATCAAATTTCCTCAATTGTATTGACAGAACTTGAAAAAATGTTTTATTAAATCATTATTAATAGGAATCAATATGGGATTTTTATAAAAATTAGGGGTGGCAATTTGTAACCGATTACTCGGCGGAACAATGGTTATCGATTTAGAAGATCTGTAATCGATTAATCGGAAAAAATAAAATATTTGTAAAATTGAACACATTTTTTAAAAATTTATTTCTAAAAAAAAAAAAGAAATCTCTGTACAAAGGATAATCATTTAGGATTTAAGGGATCTAATTTGGATGTACATGTAATTATGAATCTCCAGACTGAGACCGTTGCGTAATTGGTCAGTTTATGTAGTGTTAATTACTGTGAAAACACCATGTAGTTACTGACTGTCGCGTAATTCTTTAATGATAATAATTGAATCATTGAGCACTGTGAATTGGTGTGTTTGTCGTTTTCAGTTTTCAATCCAATTTATTCATTAAACAGACATTGTAAATTAAGGGCTATAGAGTTCACATGTAGTTATGATTTTCGTAGTGAAAATGCAGAAAGAACTTTTGTGACATCTGCTCTGGAAAATTATCAAAGATTTCTTAAGCTTTTTTCATGGTTTTCTCAATTTTTTTGTCTGCTGAAATTTAATAAACAAGCATTCTGAGAGTATTGCATTAGCAATACTAGTCCCCTACCGGCAAGTGTAATCTGGTTCCCACCTAGAATTGAAAATGTCATAATTCCGTAAAAAATGAATGAAGAGGAACGAAATGCAAACTTGATCTATAACTAATCAAGGTAAAGTCACATACAAAAATCAGCTCAATATCTTAAAGCGTTTAGAAGAAAATCGCGGAAAACTCTTAAAAATTGAAAAGGCCATAATTCCGTCAAAAATCAATGAAGCGGAAGGAAATGTAAACTTGATCTGTAACTCATCAAGATACACTCAAATACCAAAAATCAGTTCAATATCTGCAAGCGTTTAGGAAAAAGGTGCAGAAAACCAAGTGGGACAGACTGACAGACAGACAGACGGACAGACAGACTTAAAATAAGTGTAATAAATATAATTTGTGAAAACAAAATGTCCAACAAACATTGGGTTATTTGGGGGTGGGGGTGGGGGTCCTATCTACAAGTACCTGTGTTCATATGTCGGCATATTGTAGAGGGTCCTGGTGAGTGGTGACGGAGTTACATGTAGGGTTCATTGGGCAGTTGGACGAATGTACACGAGCGTGATGCACGTTTTATTTAGTGCTGTTGTACATGCATGTATAAGCCCAATTATTATTTTTCTCTACTGTTGCCAGCTATCTGATTGGCTCAAACTAGATCACATGATCACGTGTAACAAGTCTTATAAACTGTGTGTTTCTATTTTAAGCTCTTAAAAAAATTATAAACCTGCTGTTTCTAAAATTGGAAACGTTCTTCTGTGAAGCAACAATACTGCTGACGTCACAATAGTCTTTATAAACTGGATATTTTTTTAAAAACAGATACTGCAGCTGCTTATAGTAAGTGTGACGTCATAATGCGAATATATGAGAAAGTATTGAGCATTAGAAATTTAAAACATGGATTTTAAGACACTTCTAGTTAACTGATAAAAAAAATAATAATAAAACAATTGTAGCCTTTTGATTCGGTACAATCCCTAGATATAGAGACCTTAGAGAAAGCATATCGACCTCGCACTTCGTGCTCGGTCGATCTGCTTGAAAATCTCTAAGGTCTATATATCCATGATATCTAGGGATTGACCTCATGCACTTTTTGATACTTGTACTAAAACAGTGTTTAAATTCATTACTAAGTGTAGCAAAAAAGAAACAAATTAAAAAAATAATTCAGAGTCTAGAGTAACGTTGGGTGTTTTCCGCTTATGGTGCCGGAGTTCGGGTACTCGGGGATACATGTAGTATGTACAAAAAAAAAATAATGCTTTTAAAATTTTGCAAACCATAAAATCAAAACAGGATAAAAAAAAATCTGGGGATGTGTGACTTCCTTCTCCTCTGTTTCCCTTTGCTATTTTTTTTTAAAAACTACCACCCCTCCAAGTTGGAAATCCTAGAATCCGCCAATATCTTGTTTATTCCGGATTTTGCATCAGTCACGTTCTGAATATTACGTTCTGTTTACTTATTTTACCCGCCATATCCGACATGCAGAAGGCACCACATTAAATTTGTACCACGCACAGAATCATGAATGTATGCAATGGAAGCAAATTCAGACGTACTGTAATGTTTTTCATTGAAATGAATCAGATCTGTGGATGACCATCATTTTCTTATTGGCGTATGGGTTAAGGCATGGTGTGGTTGTAAAGGGCTTTAATCCAAGATTCCTTTTTCTCTTTCAATGCTAACCCTGAATGACTTACAGTGCAAGAAATAATGTATTTTTAACTAAAAGTGTTGTAATTCTATGTATATATACATGAAAATAAAATGTATTTTTTCCTTTGTATATTTTCATGTGAAAATTTGCAGCTTTATTTTTACCTAGTCATTTCAAAGTAAACAGTTGAGACAGTGAGATGACCCCATCATCAGTACCTGCTGCTAATGCTTGGCTGAAGTCCAGACACATCAATGTCCCAGGAGACTGGCTAGAGGCTTGTGTAGAATGGATTACCGAGGAAAATCAGGTTACAAACTCTCTGTTTACTTGATACATTTATTCTATTGCTCATTGGCAAGAATTGCTGATGTGAACTTGATGACAGTGATTTTTCTACACTTTTTAAAAGGGGCCTGGGCCTTTGCAATTGGGAAAACTTATAGACATTTGTGTCAAATTGGGAAAAATCAATAAGATTGAAATTAACCTTAATTGACAGGTAAAATAAAATATATAGTAAATGTAACATCTTTTATTCAAAATATTTACTACAAAATAACAAATTAGACACAGTTCTACATTTTTAACTTTTTTTTAATCTTTGAAAGTTGTCATTAATTGAGATTGTCCTATATTTCCATTTTTTTTTTTTTGCCATAATGGTAGACATGAGAAAATCCTACTCATAATAGCCATTGAAGGTGATATAACCTGACATGATTTATAACAAATCCTTTTTTTCTAACTAGTTATTAAAGCTTTTTAAGTTACCCTTATCATATTGCTGCAATTACCCTGCAATATTAGTTGCATCTTCCGGTTGTTACAGATACAGTTGGAATCAGGCTTATTGTAGAACTACTAGTACTTTTGTTTACAAATAAAGCTATGTTTCGCCACTTCACATGCATCTTACACTTTCTTATGATGCATTTAGTTTGACATGGTCCATGTGTTTTTCTATGTCTTGTAAATGCATAAAATAATCAGCTGTTCTTCACTATTATTGACCAAGAACAATAGTGTTCCATTTTAGATAAATCCTACATAAAAAAATCAATTTAGATAAATCCTACATAAAAAAAATCAATATAACAAAAACAAGAACGTTTTATTTTGGGAAAAAAGCAAATAAAATTGGGAAAAAATCGGTAATTTTTGATAGGGGAAAGGACCGATATTCGGACCTAAAATGGGTGTAGAAAAATCACTGGATGACCAGGGGCCCAAGGATCTCAGCCCTCTAGATGTTGTGTATTCCAAAATCTTTCTTAATATGATGTAAACTTTTAAGTCCCTATCAGTAAATTCAGTTGTTTAAAGTGTTGTCTAATCTGGAATGTTGTGAAATCTGGCCATTTTTTATGGAACCAATGGTGTCTGGATTGGACAATTAACTTTGGTTGCCCCCTTACTTTTTAATTCCTAAGATGATATTATTTGATAGTCAGACCTTCTGATGAGTACCTGGTTAATCAGGTACTTGCTGACAACATAGATGTCATTAAACATGACTGTAAAGAGTGTGCTCCATAAGGAACATAGTATTTCAAAGACTAAAAGGTGAAGATACGTGTAACAAGCTCACTAATCCAGTAAAAGTATATAAATTTTGAGGGGAGAAAAAGCATGGAACCCCTCAGGCTTAGAAACAACAAAAGTGGGATTAGGTGCCTAAGAGGAGTAAGCATACCCTGTTGACTGGTCACATCAGCCATAAGCCCTCTGTATTGATCAATCTGTAGTTAAATTTATATTAAAAAATGGCCTAACAACTGGTGAGAAATGCCTCAGTTATGATACGACCCAACAACAGGTTGTATTTGCAAACAGGGTCATTATAGTGACCATAAAATTTGTTGACTTTAAACGAATTGAAAAGCCTTTAACGTTAACTTATTTGTAAGTAGCCTGCCTTGGTTTGAAAATTGACTGTAGTCAGAATATGTTCTTGTGTAACAAATAAGTTGGGAGACATGAACACAATATGCAGGTGATGTTGAAATATTACAACATAAATATGAAAAATTGACCATGGAATAGCAGAAATCATTGTTTGTCATCTAATTTAGTTAAATGTCTAATTCAGTAGTCAGTAAAACATCCACAAGTATGCAACAGATTTGTCAGACTCCGTGGTGTCTTTTTATTTCAAGTTCAATAGGATATAACAGTCTATGCGAAAGTCACCGGACCGTTGGTTTTTACCGGTAAAATTAGGTTAGTGTCGGTAAAAAAAATTCAGGATACAGGACCAATTGTCCGATGAAAAATTAAGGCCTAAAAATCTTAATTTACATGTACATATGGTCTTATTGTCCACACATATCCTTTATTTGATCCATTTAGCAGTAATACATGTTTAATTTTAATCTATAAGAATCCTGTCATTATCGTTTATTTCTAACTCGAATTTCCGCTGTCATGGAATATAGATCCATAGAAAGCTCATACGTAGATTCAGTTGAGCAAAATTATTTTCATTATTAAACAAGAGTAACCGCAATGAGTTACTTCAGGAAAGAAATAAATATATTTTAAAGTGCATTTTAAGTTTAAAAAAATCTTTGACAATGTGTATTTCGTTTGTATGTGTCAAATAACCAGAAAAAGGAAAAATTGTTTTGAATTGTATATTACCTTTTATAAAGGAAAATTATTAATAGTAAGCTTGTACATTTCACTAAAATTATTTTTTTATAATCTCAAATCTGGATTTATTTGAGGTTCAATTTAACAGTGAGAATCCCCCCTCCTTTTAACAGTCTCTATCATAATGATGTATGATTAAATTTAAAGAAAAAAGGTCGGTCTGGTAAGTAAATGCTTGGTCTAGTAAAATATATATGTCCTGTAAAAATTTTAGACTTTCGCATAGACTGATATAAATATCAAGTTGACTTTAAATAAAATTGAAAGTCACAGCAAGAGTTTTCTTCTGATGTAGAAGTTTTTGAATAAATTCTGTTTCATAAGAATGGGTTGCTTAGAAAGGAGCAGCAATTAGTGGCCACTGGAATTTTAACAGATTGTTGGAAGACCTGGGGCCCATTTTACAAAAGAACTTATGACTAAGACCAAAAATTTTACGTAGATTGTAAAATTTTGTAAAATTGATGATTCTGTTTGAAATTGCTAGCATAAAAATATACTGGTAGGTTCTTTTTAAAAAGATTAAAACCATTTTCAAATAAATGTAGAATAGGAAATAATAAGCAGAACTAAATTTTGGTCTTAGTTGTAAGTTCTTTTGTAAAACGGGCCCCTGGTCTCTGTTTCTTTCTTAGGGAGTCCAGCTTTCTCAGACACAATTGAATGGGCTGATTTTTGAGCAATGGCTTCTTGCAGACCTGCACGAGATTGGATCCAGGTGTCTACCAGAGCAAATAACATCCTCCAAAGAAGTCCAGATTGATGGGATGTTTGCCCTACAGGTAATAAAGTATTTGTTGTGGAAAGATTTAAGGTATTCAATGTATAACGAAGGGATTTTGAACAATTTTGATTCTTCTTAAACTAGTTAAAAATGCATTGCTAGATAACAATGAAAGTGAAATGAACCAAATTCACATGACAGATAACATGTAAGAAGCCAATTATTTTGCACCTTAAAAGTTTTTGAAGAGTTATCTGCCCTTGATGAAAAGAAGAAAATTTTATTTTTTTCAAAATATCTATGGTGAATGATTCATTTTATTTCATATTATAATAAAGAGAGAGTTTATGCATATATTCACCAAGAGATTTGTATGAAAATTAAATTACTTTTACAATATCTTAATAACACATGCGCTGCCCATAGACTTCAATGTTAACTTCAAGGTACAATTAATTGTACAATAATCAAAATTTGGTAAATTCCTTTGGTGGAGTATTTTTGTTTGATAACACCTTCAAAATGCTACCATGATTTAAAAATTGGACCATTCATTTATTAGGTACAAAAAATGGTCGTTATACATTGAATACCTTAACAGTATTGTAAAACATAGCTCATAGCGAAGTGGCAGAGATGGACTATTTTGTTTTGTTATTTATGAAAGTAATTTGTTATCTCTGTTACGTTCACAATACTTTTTAAAACCATGGGAAATAAAAATCACTTCACTGTAAGTGTAAATTCATTATGAGCACATTCATTATAAGTGTGTTTTACTGTACATACAAAAAACTGGTCTAATACTCAACATTCTTATAAAGCTTTCAGTGATTTTTCTACACCCAATTTAGGTCCGAATATCGGCCCTTAAAATTACTGATTTTTTCCCAATTTCATTTGCTTTTTTCCCAAAATAAAACCGTTCTTGTTTTTAGCTCTACTGGTCAGAGACCAGAAGAGCTTATGCGATAGTAAGGTGTCCGGCGTCCGTCCGTCTGTCTGTCTGTCTGTCTGTCTGTCTGTCCGTCTGTCTGTAAACAATTTTTCAAAATGCTACTCCTCCTACAGTTTTGGTCCGATTTCAATATAACTTGGCACACAAGTAGACTACACTAAGATACATAATTTAGTGCATCGGTTTTTGATTTCGATGGACGGTGTTGCCATGGTTACTAAAAATAGAAATTTCTATGAAATTCCTTTAAAACGCTACTCCTCCTACAGTTTTGGTCCGATTTCAGTATAACTTGGCACACAAGTAGACTACACTAAGATACATAATTTAGTGCATCGGTTTTTGATTTTGATGGACGGTGTTGCCATGGTTACTAAAAATAGGAATTTCTGTGAAATTCCTTTAAAACGCTACTCCTCCTACAGTTTTGGTCCAATTTCAATATAACTTGGCACACAAGTAGACTACACTAAGATACATAATTTAGTGCATCAATTTTTGATTTCGATGGATGGTGTTGCCATGGTTACTAAAAATAGAAATTTCTGTGAAATTCCTTTAAAACGCTACTTCTCCTACAGTTTTGGTTCGATTTCAATATAACTTGGCTTACAAGTAGACAACACTAAGATACATAATTTAGTGCATCGGTTTTTGATTTCAATGGAGGGTGTTGCCATGGTTACTAAAAATAGAAATTTCTGTGAAATTCCTTTAAAACGCTACTTCTCCTACAGTTTTGGTTCGATTTCAATATAACTTGGCTTACAAGTAGACAACGCTAAGATACATAATTTAGTGCATCGGTTTTTGATTTCAATGGATGGTGTTGCCATGGTTACTAAAAATAGAAATTTCTGTGAAATTCCTTTAAAACGCTACTCCTCCTACAGTTTTGGTCCGATTTCAATATAACTTGGCTTACATGTAGACAACACTAAGATACATAATTTAGTGCATCGGTTTTTGATTTCGTTGGACATTGTTGCCATGGTTACTAAAAATAGAAATTTCTGTGAAATTCCTTTAAAACGCTACTCCTCCTACAGTTTTGGTCCGATTTCAATATAATTAGGCATACAAGAAGACTATACTAAGATACATAATTTAGTGCATCGGTTTTTGATTTCGTTGGACATTGTTGCCATGGTTACTAAAAATAGAAATTTCTGTGGAATTCCTTTAAAACGCTACTCCTCCTACAGTTTTGGTCCGATTTCAATATAATTAGGCATACAAGAAGACTATACTAAGATACATAATTTATTGCATCGGTTTTTGAATTCAATGGACGGTGTTGCCATGGTTATTAAAAATAGAAATTTCTGTGAAATTCCTTTTAAACACTACTCCTGCTTCAGTTTTAGTCTGCTTCTAATATAATTAGGCATACAAGAAGACTATACTAAGATACATAATTTATTGCATTGGTTTTTGAATTCGATGGACAGTGTTGCCATGGTTACTTAAAATAGAAATTTTTGTGAAATTCCCATTAAACGTTACTCCTCCTACAATTTTGGTCTGATTTCAATCTAATTTGGCACACAGTTAGAATACACTACGATACATAATATGTATTTCTGTTTTTTTTATTTGGGTGAGTGGTGTTGTCATGGTTACTAAAAATAGAAATTTCCGTGAAATACTTTCAAAACGCTACTCCTCCTACAGTTTTTATTGGATTTCAATATAACTTGGCACAGAAGTAGACTACATTAAAATACATAATTCTATTCATTGTTGCATGTTGCAATGTTTCAAATCCAAGTGCTACTTTTCTTTTGTTATACAAACAGACCAGTAGAGCTACAGTCTCATCAGAGACTTCTGGTTGCTATATTGATTTCTTTTTTATGTACAACATATCTAAAATGGAACGCTATTGTTCTCGGTCATTCAGACTCTTAAAATAATAGTGAAGAACAGCTGATTATTTTGTGTGTTTACAAGACATAGAAAAACACATGGATCATGTCAAACGTCAAACTAAATACATCGTAAGAAAGTGTAAGATGCATGTGAAACGGCGAAACATAGCTTTGTTTGTAAATCCAAGTATTAGTAGTTCTACAACAAGCTGATTCCAGGAAAATCAAACTGTTTCTACACCCGGCAGATGCAACTAATATTGCAGAGTAATTGCAGCAATATGATTAGGGTAATTTAAAAAGCTTTAATAACTAGTTAGAAAAAAATGATTTGTTATAAATCATGCCAGGTTATATCATCTTCAATGGCTATTATGAGTAGAACTTTCTCTTATGTCTACCATTATGGCAAAAAGAGGAATGGAAATATAGGACGGTCTCAATTAATGACAACTTTCAAAGATTTAAAAAACAGTTAAAAATGTAGAACTGTGTCTAATTTGTTATTTTGTAGTAAATATTTTGAATAAAAGATGTTACATTTACTTATATATTTAGTTTTACCTGTCAATTAAGGTTAATTTCAATCTTACTGATTTTTCCCAATTTGACACAAATGTCGATAATTTTTCCCAATTGTAAAGGCCCAGGCCTCTTTTAAAAAATGTAGAAAAATCACTGGCTTTATGTCCGTCTGTGATCATGTCTATCTGTAATTCTCTATTTGCTTTTTCATGACTCATATTAACTTTAATACTGCGAGGATGTTCAAAAACTATTGAGTCTTTTACTTTTACTCCATAAAGAAAAGGGAGAAATTCATCAACATTTTTTCAAGGATGAATAAAATGGGCAAAATTTCTTACAGCATCATGCAGTACTGACTTTTGCATTGAAGGTCAACTTAAATTAATAATAATTGAAGGTCATCAAGCGCCTTTGTTTTCACTCTAGTTGAATAATTTGTGAGAAAACAAAATTATACCAATGGAAAAACAGACCTCTACACATGTTTCTTCACATTGTTATTGTTTAAGCAGGTGGTTTAGTTTGGACAGGAGGTCTCCTCAGTGCTTCACAAAATTTTAGGTATGCTTGATGTTCTGCCTTGATCTCAAAATTCATTTTGCTATTGTTAGGCCATAATTAAAAAAAAATCATAGATTCTCATCTGAATTTTTTTTGAAAAATCAAGGCAGGCTGGCAGATTTTAAAAAAACAAATTATTTTTTCTATTGTGCAGATTTTTTGTTGACCCGATCAATCAGTGCACCTTGTCAGCTGTCAAAATCAGGCCGACGTTCGTGGGATTTAAAATGAAAGTTAAATGGTAGTTGAATACCGATCCCGATCAGAATCAAGATGAAGAAAAGCAGAAATAAAAAAAATTGAGGCAAAGTTAAAAAATCAGGGCAGGTGGGGATTAGAATCTAGGAATTTTCTTATAGCCTTCTTCTGTTGTGGCCCCACCCTATGGAAAGAGACCATGATTTGAATAATGAAGAATGTACACAACTCCAGTATGCTTTCACTCAAGTTTTATCTTTTCTGGTCCAGTGGTTCATGAGAAGATTTTTAATATAGATTTTTCCCATATTTCAATGTAAAACTTTTATCCCCAAATGTAGCCCCACCCTATCCCCCCGATTGGATGGGGGGTTGACAATTTAGAACCTAAGTTCTGTTAGGAAGCTTTAACATAATTTTCATCTTTTTCTAGTCCAGTGGTTAATGAGGAAAAGGTTATTAAAGATTTTTTGCTACATGTACATGTTCCTTTGTAAAACTTTGATCTTCTATTGTGGCCCAACCTATACCTGGGACCACGATTTGAACAATTTAGAATCTACATTATGGCAATATGCCTGAAAGCTTTAACTTACGGTTTCATCTTTTCTGGTCCAGTGGTTCATGAAAAGAAAATTTTTAAATATTTTTCCTATATAATATATGTATTTCAATGTAAAACTTTGATCCTCAGTTCTGTTCACACAAAGAATAACCAGTTTGCTGTCATATAGACAGCTTTCCACTTGTTAAGCAGATATGAGTGTACTGCACAACTGTGTATTAAACTGAATAGATAGTTTCATTCATTTCTGAAATAAAAACTTTCTAATTGTTTTATACATGTTTATATATATGTTTAGATTGATTCAATGGTAGATGTTGGGAAGCCTTATTATGGACAGCTACAGAGGGTTCAGGGAGCCAGCACTGGTAACATGGAAGTTACAGCGGAACCTACACCACCGGTATTTAATTTCTGGTTTTGTAACTTGTATGTTCTTATTTGTGAAAGTACCTGATTTTTAGCTCTAATGGTCAGATACCGGAAGAGCTTACAGGGATTTTTTTAGGGTCTCTCTGGGGCCGAAATTTGGCCCCATTCCCAATGCTGAAAAGTGCATGTTTTTCCCAAAATCATACCTAAAAATTCCCAATATGTAAAAAAAGTATTAAGTTGTAAATTATTAAAATAAAATAATGACAAAAAGGTGTTTATGTTCACTATGTGCGATGTACGAGCCATCCGAGGACTAAAAAGTATTAAGTTGTAAATTATTAAACAGGGTTCGACACTAACGTTAGTTCGTTAGTCTCAGACCAATACATTTTCATTCGGACTAATAAAATCTGTGGCTAATTAGTCCGAACGGACCAATAAAATTCCTGGAAAACAGTATGAATAATTTACCGATGTCCGATTCTCCACAACTTTTACTGGAAAACCCCACATTTATTTTTAGCTTTCTAGCTTTTTGGCGGGGAGTTAGACAATTCAAGTCAGCGCTTAATTTTTTTGACTGATTGTTATGAAGTAAAACGTTTTAGCGATCTTAATTAATATGACACATAAAAGAAAGATGTTAGACATTTTGGATGTAATGTAAAGAGAAAAAGAACTAGATCGGGAATACGATCGTACTCGTTGATCGCGAGATTTTAACGAATCTGTGCTATACGTGGAATAAACCATTTCACGTAAATGCTTTGTTTATTTAAAAAAGTATAAAAACATATACTGTCAGAAATGTTTATTTTTAATTAATGTTACAAAACATTGATGTTTCTTTTTTTTGACGGACTCATAAAATTGCATGCGGACTAGTAAAAGTAAAGAAGCACTAGTCCGGCCGGACTAAAGCCTAAAAAAGTTAGTGTCGAACCCTGTTAAAATAAAATAATGACAAAAAGGTGTTTATGTTCACTATGTGCGATGTACGAGCCATCCGAGGACTTCCGAGAAGTTATTCGCATGCATACTTTTTAAAGCGGGATCAATGTTTAAAAATTAATGTTGGGATCGTTATCTAAAAAATAAATGTGCATCATGTCAGTCTCTCCAGTTTGCCTAGAACGGTAATTTTCAGGCTGGGTTGAATCGCTCTTATTCTTATAAACAATACTGATAAACCACTCATCTGGAACAAACCCACTATCAAATGTTATTTTAAAGAACTTCTTACATAAAGGTAAAAAAGATGATAACGTATAAATATGTTCATTTACAATGTTATCATACCCTGCGGCTTTGCCATTTTTAAGCTTCTGAATTTCAACAGCCGCTATTATTTCATATCACTAAAGCTGGTTTAAGCCAGCTTCATACTATAAAAAATAAGAAAAATGATTAAATATTTGACTTTTGCTTGTTTTTTCCTATTTATTTGTATGAAGATATTTTTCCCAATTTCAACCAAATATCGCTATTTTTCCCAATCTTGACGGCCCCGGCCCCTGGAATCAAAGGGTAAAAAAATCCCTGGCTTATGCAATAGTAAGGTATCTGGCGCTTGTCTGTATGTGTGTCAAGAATTTTTCAAAATGCTACTCCTCCTACAGTTTTGGTCTTGGTTTTGGTTACATAAAATAGAAACTTCTGTGAAATACTTTCAAAATGCTACTCCTCCTACAGTTTTGGACTGATTTCAATATAACATGGCATACAAGTAGACTACACTAAGATACATAATTCTGTTGATCGGTTTTTGATTTCGATGAATGGTATTGCCATTTTGCAGGTAATGCTTTTCAGATTAATAATCAGACACTTCAGTAGAAATTAAAATTAAAGCTTCTTTCAGTGGGAACCCAAGCCAACTCGGATGATGCTGTTGAACTTGACAGATGGAAATTTCAATGTACAAGGGATGGAGTATAAACAGATTCCTTGTCTAAACAATCAAATAAAGCCAGGCTGTAAGGTAGTCATTTTTAACTGGGAGTTAATGGTTTATTTGTGTGTGTATGTGTGTGTGTGTGTGTGTAAATGTGGATTGCTTAGAAAGGGAGCCTTTTATTAAATCTTATTAAAACAATAAAATTTGAATATGCTTAGTTGGCAATTTCATCCTCGATTTGCACAAGAAAAAGAGTCTGGTTACATAGTTTGATAATGTCAAAAGTAGGGATGACAATCGAATACAAAATTGCAAATTGGTTAACCACAAGATGTTCCGACCGTTAACAGGTTAATTATATCAAAACGCACATTTCCTTGGCATGTATGTTTTTTTAAGTAGCTCTATTCATATACACAAGAAATCTAAAAGACATTAGAAGTTAGAAACATTCTGTTTATCTTGATCAGAAACCTACATGTATATCATTTCAATAGATAAGAAAAACTTAAGAAAACCATGAAACATGCCTGAGAAATCAGACATCGATAATTTTCCAGAGCAGATATCATAGTTCATCCTGCATTGTCACCATAATCCGTCTGAACGATCAATTTACAATGTTTGTTTAATAATATAGTTTGATAGATAACTGCAAAAGATTCACATACCACACAGTGCTCAACAGTGATTTAATTAATATTATTAAAAAAATTACAGGACAGTTGGGGTAATGATACAGTGGTTAAACAATAATTATGTGTAACACATACTTCACAAACTGACCAATTATCCAATGAACTCAATCTGGAGAGCCATAATTACCTCCAAATTATTTGAAAACACTAAATAATCAATATTTCTGCAGAGGTTTCCTTTTTAATAATGAATTTTAAGAAAATTTTGTTCGAATTTACTTACATGTATATTTTAATTTTTTTTTGACTAACCGATTACAGATTTTCTAATTAAGCGATTACCATTGTTCTGACTTGAGCAATCAGTTAACCAGTTACAAAATTGCCATCCCCTGTTAAAAGGTAAACCAGATTGTTGAAAAAAAATTCACAATGTTTAATGACTATCCATGTTGTTAAAGTTTTCTATCTATTGTTGCTGACTTGCTGCATTCAGCAACAATTTTTCCTTAGTCAGCTAGTATCATAACAACACTTATGATATCAGTAAAGGTTTGGTTGATGAAAATTTATCTTGTATTTGGTATAGAAACTCAGTTTAAAATTATATTTAAAGATTAGGAAAACAAGTATTCAATCTTATGATACTGTAGGTTACAAAATTTTCTCGACACTTTATTTTCACATGGGTTTAGAAGTTGAAGTCTGACTTCAACATTTTTATCTGTTTTGTAAGACATTTAGTCCCACTACGTTATAATCATTTTCTCTGAGCTTTGGATTCATCGTCATAAATGATGAAGCATCTTTAATGTATCCATATTTCAGAATGTGTGTCAAAATCATTTCAGAGTCTTTATAGAATTGATGATTTATCAATCTTGAGTCCCTCAGGAATTTTAATCCTTTTGTTTATATTATATCAAATGAAAATTGCTCAAATTTTGACCCAGTCCCTGAAAAGTGATTGAAAATGCTCAAACAATAAAGTCACGGAAAAGTGCTTAAATGTCATGCGAGTCTAATAAATTTGTCTTTACTTTCTTGGGCCAAAGATTTCAAAATTCAATGCGGCAGGCAGGTTTTTTTTCCTGATTACTCATTGTCCAACGTCAGTTTGTTTGTCCATCTATCTGTAAACTTTTAACTTTTTTGGCTTCTCAAGAACAATATGGGCCAAGTTTGACCAAAGCTGGAACAAATTATCCTTGGGATAAGGGGATTCTGAATTCTTCAAATGAAGGGCATAGGCCCTTTCCAAGGGGAGATAATCAAGAAAATAAGGTGGGTCATTAAAAAATCTAATTCTCCTGAACCACTTGGCCAGAAAAAGATGAAAATTATGAGATAGCTTCTTAAGGTAATGTAGATTCTTTATTTTCAAATCATGGCCCCCTGGAGTAGGGGGTAGGGTAGGGATCAATCGTGGATCAAACTTTTACATTAAAATATAAAGAAAAAATCTTTAAAAATCTTCTTCTCAAGAACCACTTGGCCAGAAAAGATTAAACATACATAAAATCTTTCTAATACGGTAAAACTTGGAGAGATATATATATATATATATATATATATATATATATATATATATATATATATATATATATATATATATATATATATATATATATATATATATATATATATACATGTATATATATATATCATATATTATATCATATGATATCATATTATAATGTTATATCCCTGATTAGGTCCTTGTGAGAGGCAGAGTGCGTTGTCGGCGGGGCATACTGATGTTGACTGCAGACAATGTTACAGTGCTGGGAGGTGAGGTGGATTCACTGGTCGAAAGCAACACACCACAAAGTGCCCTGAAACGAGCAATGTAATGCCTGAACATTGATTATTAAAAACTTAACATTGATTCTGTAAAAGTAGTTTATAGTTGTACAACTGAAACTTCTGATAGACACTGTCACATAAAGCTTATTACTTATTCTAAAGACAAAATATTTCATTCACTTAAAAAAAGATAATCTTTGGTAATATCATTGGTGTAAGGAATATTTTACAAATGTTTGATGTTATTTTAATATGACATTATAGATATATGATGCACCTGATATCATGGAAACCACTTGTGTAATATGTATCTTGTTCAGTATAAACCCTGCAGTTTATCTGTTATTGGAATTGAGCAAAGCTCAGTGGAGGTTTCTAGCTGACTGAAATGTTATTTCTAGGGAACAAAGTTTACAGTATTCTGGTAAAGAATATCATCAGGAGTTCTCAGGAGGGGACTCAGTGAGAGCAAAGAAGAAAATAAAGGTGGAATCCATGTCACAACCTCAGCAGTCTGCAGTGAGGGGCAGGGTACCAGGTAAAGCAACGTGGGATACCCACGGGTGATAAAATAATCACTGGATGAGTAAAAGATGAGGTCACCCATGGGTATCCGATGATGTAGGTAAAGTACAGGAGAGTACAGATAACAATATACAATTAGGGACTGTTTAGAGGGGACCCTACTCAGACTTACTCAGTCAAACCACTTGTGTTCTCATACCCATTGCTATGATTCCATACTTCCAAAATATGTCAACAGACAACTTTGACATCATTGTTAGAATTTATTGTTTACTGATCCCGCATATATGTTAATTATATTCAAGTTATCTCACTTAACGACATTTTATTTTCATCTACAGTGAGACAACGCAGTTGTCACCCCGCATGTGAGGGAGACATCTCAAATTGTCTCCCTGCACGTGACATGCTCTAGACCAATCAGATTGACTGTATTATTCTGAATGATGATAATTCAACTTAACAAGTAACAGTTAAACCTAGTGATAATAATGTGTCACTCTAATGTAAAGCAATACCGTAAATCTGGAAATTTTTGCTGTAGATAAATTTTTAGCAAATTTGCGCGTGCATTGCATTCGCAAAAATATATTTCTTAAAAATAAATCAACAACAAAAAATGAAAACAAATAAATTTGCTATTTTAAACAAGATGAACAGGTGTTCGTAAGCAGTGGTCATTTTAAGAAACCTGTTTATACTAACAAGTTAATTACCCGTGATAATCCGTGCGTGAAAGTGCCTTCACTTCACCGATCGTTTGACAGGCAGTATGTCTCTTTTAAATTATTTCTCTAAGAAAGAGAGGGCAGTTGTTTAAGAACAAATGTTTTTATCTGAAGGTTTGTTAAAGCTGACATCGTTTTATATATTTTATGTACATGCATGATTTATTAAAATGTTATGAAAACTTTAAATAGTTTAGATGTTTTATCTCTTAAATTCTGATATTTTTATGTGATTATTGAACATTTGTATTGTTTAGTTTTGTATGTACACGTGTAATTTATTGAAAGTACATAATCTGATTACTGAATGTTTGCATCTTTTAATATTGTATGTACATGTGTATGCGAAACTTATAAACTGCTATGAAAATTTTAAGCACTTTTTGATTTAAGCACCATGAATGTCAATTCGCAAAAATTTGAAACGTAAAAATTAATCAACAGCTTTTTGACCCAGATTCGCAAAAATAAATCGACGTAAAAATTTCCAGATTTACGGTAATAGATTTGAATAGGTTTTTAAAGTCTGCAGCACACAGTTGTACGTTATTCTTGCTGCATTTTCACTTCCATTAAATATGATATTTATGTCAATAATTACTTCTACTCCAGTTCTTGATGTACCATTTGCTAGCACAGAGAAGTTCAGAAATGTATATTTATTACAGAAATTCCTTTGATTTTAATTAAATCTGTTTAGCATCAGAACAAAGTACAAGGAATGCAGCTTTCCCAAAACAGGAAGCCGTAAAAATAGAAGATGAGGTAAGACTGTACAACAGTTTGTAGATGTTTGAGATAGAGCCATATCTAATATATGAGTGAAATATGGAGATAATGAACAGTAATCAAGCTCATAAGTCTATTGAAACAATGGGAGCAGAGCAAACATGGACCCCTAAAAGCATCAGAGGTGGGTTCCTGTGCCATGGAGGAGTAAGGATACCCATCGTGTGCTCCTTGTCATGATCAGGCAAATGGAAAAATCCATAAACCCTTAGTGTTTAAATAATGGCCTAACAATTAGTATGAAAAATGTCAATCAGTGTTCGACTTAATGATAGCTAGATTGTATTTGTTGACAAAATTGTTGTATTGACCATAGAACTTGTGAAATGTTGCCTCAAACAAGACTGTTATTCTTGTTTCATCAACTTGTTTGTTAATAACTTGCCTGATTGTAGAGGTTGTTAGAGCATGCTCTTGCGTATTGAATCAACAGGGAGACATGAACTCCATATGAGATAAAGCCATATCTAATGTATGAGATAGGGTCATATCTAATGTCTGAGATAGGGTCATATCTAATGTCTGAGATAAGGCCATATCTAATGTCTGAGATAGGGCCATATCTAATGTCTGAGATAGAGCCATATCTAATGTATGAGATAGGGACATATCTAATGTCTGAGAAGGGTGAACTGATAGGACTTAAACAAGTATCTTACATATTCTTAGATTTTAATTATGCCCCCCTTCGAAGAAGGGAGGGCATATTGTTTTGCTGCTGTCTCTCGTTTCGGTCCACCAACAGTTTCCGCTCATTTTCTTTGCAGATGTTGCACATAATGAAATGAAATTTGGTATACAGATTTATTATAAGAATATCTAGGTCAAGTTCTGTTTTGGATACAATTTAGCAATTTTTAACAGAGTTATGCCCCTTGGACTTTGATTGTTGATTGATTGCATGTTGTTTTACGTCCTGTTTGAGAATTTTTCACTCGTATAGAGACGTTACCATATATCGGTGAAGGGCTTCAAATTTAGACCTTTACTTGGCACTCAGGGCCAATGAGCAGTGAGGGTTCTTTATCATGCCAATGCCTACAGTGACACAGGCCTTGGTTTTTAAGGTCTCAGCCGAAGGACCTCATTTCAAAGTGCCGAGCACTTGACAAAGGAACAGTTGCTACTTATTTTTTATCGACTTGGGTCAGTAGTGGCCATGATTCGAACCCACGACCTTCAGATCACAGAGCAAGTGCTCTATCAACTGAGCTACTGTGGACTTTGAAAAATTCCAATTATTTGCAGTTTCCATTCATTTTCTTCGCAGAGGTGAAATGAAATATGGTATACAGATTTATCATAAGAATATCTAGGTCAAGTTCTGTTTTGGGTACGATCGAGCAATTTTTGACAGAGTTATGCCCCTTGGACTTTGAAAATTTCCACATATTTGGGGGGGGGGGGGGGCATAAGTGTTTCACAAACATCTTTTCTTTAAAATAGAGCCTAAGAAGATGTCTCAGATAGGAAAAACACAAATATTTTGGATAGGGCCTAAAAATGTTTGAGATAGGGCCAAAACTGAGGTAGGGCCTAAGCAAATACCTGATATGGAGCTTTAATAAGTATCTGACATGATCTAAAAAGTGTCTGAGATGGGTTTGATACATGTCTGAAATAGGACCTAAAAAGTGTTTGAGAATCAGATAGGACCAAAACAAATACTCGAGATAGAACCTAAACAAATCTCTTAAATCTTGTTCTAAAGTTTTATGATTAGACTTCATAACAGTACAGTACCTGTATGATAGAGCATGCTTGTGTACAGCTGCTGTCTGCTGCTATTCCTCAGTCAATTGTTACCATAAAACTGAATCTTCTGACTGTGCTGCCAATATATTTGAAAGGAGCAGTATCCATTGTTATTGATTCAGTGGCTGAGTGCTATTAATTTTTAGCTCACCCGAGCTGAAAGCTCAAGTGAGCTTTTCTGATCACCCGTTGTCTGTCATCTGTCCATCCGTCCATCTGTAAACTTTTCACATTTTCAACTTCTTCTCAAGAACCACTGGGCCAATTTTAACCAAACTTGGTACAAAGTATCCTTGGGTGAAGGAGAGTTTAAATTGTTAAAATAAAGGGCCAAGTCTCCTTACAAGGGGAGATAATCAAGAAAAGACAAAAATAGGGTGGGTCATTAAAAAATCTTCTTCTCAAGAACCACTGGGCCAAAAAGACTGAAACTTAAGTTGAAGCATCCTGGGATAGTGTAGATTCTAAATTGTTAAAATCATGACCCCCTGGGGTGGGGCGGGGCCACAATAGGGAATCCAAGTTTTACATTGAAATATATAAAAAAATCTTCTTCTCAGGAACCACAGGGCCAGAAAAGCTGAAACTTATGTGGAAGCATTCTGGTGTAGTGTAGATTTTAAATTGTTCAAATCAGGACCCCCGGGGGTAGTGCGGGGCAACAATAGGGAATCCAAGTTTTACATTGAAATATATATGAAAAATCTTTGAAAATCTTCTTCTCAAGAACCACTGAACCAGAATAGCTGAAACTTATGTGGAAGCATGCTGGAGTAGTATAGATTGTGAATTGTTCAAATCATAACCCCCGGGTGTAGGGCAGGGCCACAATAGGGAATCCAAGTTTTACATTGAAATATATAGGAAAAATCTTTAAAAATCTTCTTCTCAAGAACCACTGAACCAGAAAAGCTGAAACTTATGTGGAAGCATTCTAGGGTAGTGTAGATTGTAAATTGTTCAAATCAGGACCCCCGGGGGTGGGGCTGGGCAACAATAGGGAATCCAAGTTTTACATTGAAATATATTGGAAAAATCTTTAAAAATCTTCTTCTCAAGAACCACTGGACCAGAAAAGGTGAAACTTATGTGGAAGCATCCTCAAATAATGTAGATTGTAAATTGTTCAAATCATGACCCCCAGGGGTAGGGCGGGGCCACAATAGGTAATTCAAGTTTTACATTGAAATATATAGGAAAAATCTTTAAAAATCTTCTTCTCAAGAACCACTGGGCCAGAAAAGCTGAAACTTATGTGGAAGCATTCTGGGGTAGTGTAGATTGTAAATTGTTCAAATTATGACCCCCAGGGGTAGGGCCAGGCCACAATATGGAATCCAAGTTTTACATTGAAATATATAGGAAAAATCTTCACAAGAACCACTGGACCAGGAAAGCTGAAACTTATATGGAAGCATGCTGGGGTAGTGTAGATTGTAAATTGTTCAAATCATGACCCCTGGGGGTAGGGCGGGGCCTCAATAGGTAATTCAAGTTTTACATTGAAATCTGTAGGAAGAATCTTTAAAAATCTTCTTCTCAAGAACCACTGGGCCAAAAAAGCTTAAACTTATGTGGAAGCATTCTGGGGTAGTGTAGATTTTCAATTGTTCAAATCAGGACCCCCGGGGGTAGGGCTGGGCAACAATAGGGAATCCAAGTTTTACATTGAAATATATATGAAAAATCTTTGAAAATCTTCTTCTCAAGAACCACTGGACCAGAAAAGGTGAAACTTATGTGGAAGCATCCTCAAATAATGTAGATTGTAAATTGTTCAAATCATGACCCCCAGGTGTAGGGCAGGGCCACAATAGGGAATCCAAGTTTTACATTGAAATATATAGGAAAAATCTTTAAAAATCTTCTTCTCAAGAACCACTGAACCAGAAAAGCTGAAACTTATGTGGAAGCATTCTAAGGTAGTGTAGATTGTAAATTGTTCAAATCATGACCCCCGGGGGTAGGGCTGGGCAATAATAGGGAATCCAAGTTTTACATTGAAATGTATAGGAAAATTTTTTTAAAAATCTTCTTCACCACTGGGCCAGAAAAGGTGAAACTTATGTGGAAGCATCCTCAAGTAGTGTAGATTGTAAATGTTCAAATCATGACCCCCGGATGTAGGGTGGGGCCACAATAGGGAATCCAAGTTTTACATTGAAATATATAGGAAAAATCTTCTTCTCAAGAACCACTGAACCAGAAAAGCTGAAACTTATGTGGAAGCATGCTGGGGTAGTGTAGATTGTAAATTGTTCAAATCATGACCCCCGGGGGTAGGGCGGGGCCACAATAGGTATTACAAGGGGGAAAATCTGGTAAAGAACAGCATGGCCAAAGTTACTCAGGTGAGCGATGTGGCCCATGGGCCTCTTGTTAATTATTGAGTTTGATAATAAGTTGTTTATCATATAAGTGATACTTTATTTTGATGACACATTTTGATTCAGTGGGGAGATGATATTGAGTTGGATGATTTGTTGGAGGATGATTTTGATATGGATACTGTTCCTCCCCATCCTGCCACAGCGACCAATCAAAATCAGAGACAGTGGAAGACAACTGCTGCTTCAAAACAACAGCCACTTAAGACTGGTCCGCCAGTATCTCAAATGTCGACACAATACCAGATGTTTTCTTCTCAGTCTGTCCCTCAGCCTGCTGTGTCAGCTAGAGGAAACACAGTATACAAAGATACAAGTTCTCAGAATGCAGAAAACAGACAGAAAACTCATAATGGACATCTGCCTGTTAGGGAAACAAATCTAAAAACAGGGGTGTGTAATGTCTCCAGTAATAGTGCTAAATATAGTAATAACACTTTCACAACTAGTCAAACCACTGTGAAACAAAATATTCATCTGAAGAAGAGGACAAATGCACAGCTAGATAATCCTGTCACAGATGAAGAATTATTTGATGACATGGATGATTTTGACATTATATCTGTTGGTGATGGTCATTCTATTCCTCGAGCACCTTGCAGTGTATCACAGGACACACATAAAAATGCATACAGTAAGGAAACAAGTACTGCAAAAAATCCACTGCAACAGAAGTCCTTATTGCCAGTCCAAAGGAAGAAATTGTTTAACAGTCCAATGAGTCCTCAGCAAAGTATAAAGGAAGAAGTGATAGCTTCACGGCAGGTAAATACATGTAGTCAGAATCAGTCTCCTACATGTGCAGCTCCATCAAAAGCTGTCAGGTTCCAGAGAGAAGAGAAAACAACAGAAAAACCCATCTCTATTGCCATTACAAGTCCACTGAAAACTGCACAACCCACAACAGACCAACAAAGAAACATTCCAGGTACATAGAAATTAATAGATTTGATCAGATTATAACATTTTGATTTGATGAATTTCAATAGATTGTAATGACTTGGTATATGTATAGTGAAATATAATATATATGAACCTCGTAATGAGCATTATTTACATCTGTTGTAGAGCTCCCATATGATGCCAAACCCTTCACCTACCTGGCTTTTATAAAGAAGAGGATCCCTGTCAGTCAACCAATCACCTTCAAAGTTAAAGCAAGTATAGCTTAATATACAGGTCTTTATAATTTAGGACAAGGGAAGTTGACAGCTTGAGATAGACTTTGCTGTAGTTGAAAATAGATTTTGCTAATGTTAAGAGGTCTTTTCCAAATTGAATGCAGATTGGGTTTAAAAGATTTTTCAGTTGGTTTCAGTCTATTATTTTCATTTAATGTTAATAAATTATTGGCATTATATCTTCAGGCCTATGTTTCCACACTAACAGACAAGCTAAGTAGGCCAGCAGGCATTAAATGGCAGTTGCCTTGTAAAATAAATGATGGCTCAGCAGTAATGGATGTTATTCTCTCAGACAAGGTAATACAAGTGTTGGGTTATTTAATACAGTATTAGTTATCCAGGTTCAATCAAGGGTGTACGGGGATTTACCCCGGGTTTTATTCCCTACATATACACCCTGAGGCCGAAGGCAAAAGGGTGTATGGAATACAACCTGGGGTAAATCCCCGTACATCCTTGATTGGACCTGGATAACAAATTTATTTCCTATGTACTCAAATAAATTCTTTTTAGAACAAGTCCAATCAACTGTTTTTTAAGCTATCGATATGATTTACTACGCCCTATAATGCATCGTGACATCATGTTATTTGCTTTTTATCATAGAGAAACTATGCATTGTGATGTCACGTTTTTTACCCTGGCTCAAGTAGGGCGTACAGAAATTTACACCTGACTTTGTAACCAATCAAAGCTCATGTTACAAGCTACATAGGAAATAATGTAGAATATCCGCTGCCTTCAGACAACAAATACATGTAAGTGTTTTATGACTTCGAGCGGAACTCTAAAGCCATATAGGGATCATCCAGCTTGAATTTACGCAACCACAGATGTCAGTCGATGTATCCACAAAAGAAAATAGTATATACATGTATCTATTTCTTTTGAAAATGGTCAAGTGAATAACATGAAAATTGCATCATTTATATCAACAATTAAATCTAAATTAAAACAATTAATCACAGATATTGTGTTTATTCTAACAAAAGAAAAATGGGGGATCATAGTTATGTGTATATAGTATTGATAGTTGCCAAGTATTAATTTCTAACATAGTGTTGTACCGAATTGCATAAGCAGTTTTTGAAAGGATAACCAAGTAAAAGAAAAATATTCAATAAAGTAGTAAAATAATCATGAACCTACATTAGTAGGCATACTAAAAGGTTAAAAACATTGATCTCTGAATTTCAATCTTTACAATTTTTACAACCAGTTTTATTGTGAAAATTAAAATTTACCTCCATTTCACCTGGGTTTCGTAGTATACTGGGGCCGGTTTTACAAAAGAACTTACGACTAAGACCAGAAACTTCAGTTGATTGTAAAATTTTGCAAAATTAATGATTCTGTTTAAAATTTCTAGTGTAAAAATATCTTTCTACATTCCTTTTAAAAAGATTAAAACCATTTTCAATTTAATAGAAATTAGAAAGTTATAAACAGAATATGATTTTGGTCTTAGTCATAAGTTCTTTTGTAAAACGGGCCCCTGTATACCATGCTTGATCGTAATGATGATCAAGTCACTGAAATGTTTCTTAAGCTACAAAAAATACTGAAATTGCAATGCTTAGATATTGTATAAATATTGCATGTAGTAAAATATGAAATTTGAAAATTTTCACCCCAAGAAAACCATTTTCAATTAGAGGTGCAGAAAGTGTTAACCCTTATTTACATGCAGTATTTACCTGTGTGATTTTAATATAATGATTTTTTTACACAAATAATATTGAACAGTGCACACAGGATTTCTGTGCAGTAATTTTTTTTTTGAACATCACCCTTCATTAAGCAATGTAGACTGTTCTTATGTTTTATCATGCTGAAGAGCATGGTTTCATCATTCAGATGGTAATAGTGTTTTTAGTTCACCTGAGCCGAAGGCTCAAGTGAGCTTTTCTGATCAAATTTGTCCGTTGTTGTTGGCATCCATAGCTTTTTGTAGTTTCATCTTCTTCTCCAGAACCACTGGGCCAATTTCAACCATACTTGGCACAGATTATCCTTTGATGAAGGGGATTCAATTTGTTCAAATGAAGATCCACACTCTCTTCCAAGGGGAGATAATTAAGAAAAAATAAAAAATTTGTAGGGTCATTTAAAATTCTTCTCAAGAACCACTGGGTCAGAAAAGATGAAACTCATATGAAAGCTTACTGACATAGTGTAGATTCAAGTTTGTTCAAATCATGATCCCATGGGGTAGGCTGGTGCTATAAGGCACTCAAAGTTTAACATAAGAATGCATTGGAAATATCAAGTTTAAAAATATCTTCTCAAAACAGCAAAGCCATGACCTGGCATAATATTTTACCAGACCAAGCATTTACTTACCAGATCAAACTTTTTCTTGAAATTCAAATATCTAACAATACTGAGATTTTTAAGGGGGATGGGGGTGGGGTGTTAATTCTCACTATGTTAAAAAAATCCAGAGTAAATAAACAAGCTTTAATTTTATAATGATGTCTGATACTTCTGTGACATAGTTATTAAGTTCCTTGCAAGGTGAAGTAAAAATGTGGAATTTGATGTCAGGTGAGTTGGTCAGGTTGAGGGGGCATATTAACAACATCATGTCAGTAGGCAGCATGATTTAGTTTTATACAGTATTCTTCTCAACCAGTGAAATTTTAAGATTTAATCAGAGGCAGGTAATTTGTCAGAAAACAATGTTGCATTCCATGATGACCTATGTGTGACTTGATGACTTGTGTGACATGATGTCATGTGTGATATGATGACATATATGACATGGTGTCATGTGTGACATGATGACATGATTTCACTGGTGACATATTTGACATGATGACATATGTGACATGATGTCATCTGTGACATTTCATGCATGACAGGATTATGTGATATGATGCATAACGTGCTGACATATGTGACATGCTGACATGTGTGGCATGGTGACATGATGACATATGTGACATGATGAATCCCTAACTTCAGCATTTGTTCAGCAGAAAATCTCTCCCTGAATGTTTATTAAATATTTTAATCTATAGGCTTTATATGGTATATCACCATAAAAGGAATTGTTACCTGTAATTAGATTACTTTGACCATTAAATTGATTTTAAGGAGACACTTAAATAAAATCATACATTATGTTGTGCATAAATATTTCTTATTTTGATGTGTCTGCAAGTAGAAAAACATTATCACAGAAAACAAACTGGCTCTTATACAATGAATACAGAGAATGTGGAGTTGTACTTGAAATACACTGAATCCTTTAATTCTTACAGGTACTTGCTCGTCTGATTGGCTTCTCTGCTCCAGAGACTATGGTAAGACTAACTCATAAGTACCAAGTAATGTTTTATATCAGTATATTCAAATCAGATTAAAAATCATTTGATTGGTTTCTCTGCTCCATAGGACTGATGAGAAAGTAATTTTTATGCCCTGCCATGAATATGGCCAGGGCATAGTGTTTGTTATGTCTATCTTTCCATCCTTCCGTCTGTCCGCCTGTCACACTTTGCATTTAGCTCACTTTCAAAGAAACAATTCAAGATATTTTTATCAAACCTTATGCTGATACATACTAATAAAGCTATCCAACTTCATCAAGATTTTTGGACCTTGATCTTTCTTTTGACCTTGACTGCACTTTTAGCTCAGCTTCAAAGAAACTATTTAAGATATTTGTATCAAATTCTATATGCTGATACATATATTAGACTCGGTGAGAACTATTCAACTGCATCAAAATGTTTTTACTTTGACCTTCTTATTGACCTTGACCTCACTTTTTAGTCAGTTCCAAAGAAATATTCAAGATATATTTGTTAAACTTCATATCCAGATACATTTGAGTAAGAGTTATTCAACTGCATCGTGTTTTGACCTTGACCTTACTATTCTTAGATTTGTATTGACTCACATTTTTCAAAGAAACTATTTAAGATATTTTACCTAAACACAGATACTGATAAATTTGGGAACTTATCAACTGTGTGCAATTTTTTTTTACATTGACCTTCCCTATGACCTTTGACTTTACTATTTTTGTGTTTAAAACTCAGTTTCAAAGAAACTCTTCAAGATGTTTTCATCAAATTTTATACACTAATACGAGATATAAAAAAAATCTTAAGCAAAAAAGGTACATTTCTTTTCATGTTGCATTACTAATGAACCCTGGGCAGGGCATTCATGTCCTGTGGACATATTTCTTGTTGAAAATCCTTCTGTTATACACATTCACTATGGCTTGGACCTTTGTAACTTAAATCACAATGAAAACCAAATTGTGCATGCTACAAGTGTTGTCAAGTGTACCTACAAATGTAAATGTGGAACCTATTTTTTGAGTATATGACTTGAGTGATTACAGTAGCATTTTTAGCTCTTCTGAGCCAAAGGCTCAAAGAGCTAATGCTGTGACCATTTGTGCGGTATGGCGTGTGTGTAAACTTTTTAGAATATGGTCCATTACTCAAGAACCCCTTGGCCAATTATTGTCAAATTTGTCACAGGGTATCCTTGGCCCAAGGGCTCCCTTTTATACTAAAACTAGGGTTGTGGCCCTTAAACAAGGGGAGATAATTAGGAAAATAGAAACAAAAGTACTGGTTGCTAAAAAAATCTTCTTCTCAAGAACCATTGGGCAGATTATCACCAAACTTACACAAAAGGATGAGGATATGTTGTAGATTAAAATTTGCACGGGGATTTACCCTCGGGCAAAGGGCGTGGTCTCAAGGTCACTTCAAAGTTGACGAAAAATTACATTTTATTAAAATGTTGATATTTTGCTTACTATAAGGACTAGGATCATCAAATCTTGTCAGTTGATGCATCTAAGGACCTCATATCATGTTGACTCAAAAGTAGGTCACGGTGACCTACTTTTGAAAATTTTGCGGCCATTCTTTTTCAGAATGATTTAGAGGCATATTTTGAACAATTTAAGGCCTATGATCATCAAACTTTGTCAGTTGATGTATCTTGGCTCCTCAAAGTATGTCAACTAGAAAGTAAGTCACCTTGACCTACCTTTTGAACTTTATGGCCAATCTTTTCAAAAGAATTAAGGTCATTAATTTGAATACCAAGAGGTTTAGAATCATTAAATCTTGTAAGATGATGCATCTTGGGGCCATAAAACATATTTATTAGAAAGTAGGACACAGTGACCTACTGTTTGAACTTTGCAGGCATTCGATTTCAAAGCGTTTTAGAGGCATAATTTGGACATGATCATAAAACTTTGTAAGTTGATGCATCTTGGGCCTTCAAAAAAGGTCAACTGAAAAGTAGGTCACCATTACCTACTTTTCAATTTATTTGACTATGATTAAATATTTCAGGTACTAATCAGCTGAGAATCATCAAACTTTGTCAGTTGATGCATCTTGGGTCTTCAGAGTAGGTCGACGAAAAAGTAGGTCACCATGACCTATTTTTGAAAATTTATGGCTTTAATTAAATATTTCAGGTACTATTGGCTTAGAATCATCAAACTTTGTCAGTTGATGCATCTTGGGTCTTCGGAGTAGGTCGACTAAAAAGTAGGTCACCGTGACCTACTTTTGAAAATTTATGGCTTTAATTAAATATTTCGGGTACTTATTGGCTTAGAATCATCAAACTTTGTCAGTTGATGCATCTTGGGTCCTTGGAGTACGACAACTGAAAAGTAGGTCACTTTGACCTACTTATAAAATTTTATGGTTACGAGGGGCATTTCAAAAGTTCTGGCAACTGGTGTGCGGTAAATTAATGAGCCTCATTATCATAAATTAAATTATATCAATTCCTCAAAATAGTCTCCGTTGACCTGGACACACTTTTTCAGTCTTGAAATCCACATGGAAAATGCTGCCCTATAGTCCTCTTTCGGTATATGCTTCATACACTGGAATACAGCACTTCCGACTGCATGACAACTTTCAAATCGCTGTCCTCGGAGGGCTTCTTTGATAACGGCATTCAACCAAAAATCGCATGGAGCTAGGTCAGGACTGTAGGGTGGATGTGGTAAAACGGCAATACCATTTTCCTTTAAATATTTGGTTACTACCTCTGATCTATGGGCAGGTGCGTTGTCATGGAGGAGCTTTATTCCTCTTGTACTGGTTATTGGTCCGGTCGTTTTATGGTGCTCTACAACCTGAGACAAGACATTCTCTGCATAAAATTGACCAGTAACACTGCTGTGTTCTGGAACCGGAACTTGAGCAACAGGGCCTTTAGAATAAAAAAATAAGGCGTACATTACTCTCCGGACAGACTGGTTTCTGCGTGCAATTTGAGGCCTTGTATCATTTTCACCGATCCAAACTTTATTATTGAGCTTAGTTTCCGGTTCAAAAAAATATATCCATGTTTCATCACCAGTTACAATCTCATTTATTCGCCTTTGGTCACAATCTTCATAAATTGTTAGTAACTGTGAAGCCATTTCTATCCGGATGCGCTTTTGCTCTTCTGAGAGAAGATGCGGCACACATCTAGCACAGACTTTCCTAAGCTTTAAGTTTTCCTTTAAAATACGAAAAACTGCTGATGAATTAATGTTAGTTAAGTCTGCTATTTCCTCAGCTGTATATCTAGCATCATCAGCTATCGTATTTTGAACAGCGACGATTTCTTTTTCGCCATATACACAAACTGGACGCCCCAAACGGGGGTCATCTTCAATTGATTCTCTACCCTCTTTAAATTGAACTACCCATCTTGCTATTGCTCGATATGAAAGAGCATGCTCTCTATATACTACATCTAAATCGCTTTTATTTCTGTTGCCGTAAAGCCAAGCAATGAGCGAATTTTGCAATACGCTCTTTGCTCAACAAAAAAATTGTTCTCCTCATCAGTCTTTTTTATGCCAGTATACAGAGTATACCTAATTATGACGTCATTTTAGCAGACCTATACATCATTTTGAATTTAAAATGACGTCACTACTAATGCATATTTGCCTAAGCTTTACAGTGGTATCAGAGTCATTTTAATCGGTAACGTAGTTAAAATTTTATATACCAGTTGCCAGAACTTTTGAAATGCCCCTCGTATAATTTTAAAAAATATTTTAGGTATTTATTGGCTTAGAATCATCAAACTTAGTTGATGGGTCCTCAGAGAATGACAAGTGATAAGTAGGTCACCATGACCAACTCTCAGGTACTAATTGGCTTAGAATCATCTTGGTTCTCAGAGTGTGAATTGGAATTTCAAGGGTTGATCTAAATATACAGGATACTTAGAGGCTTCAAATAGAAGTGAAAGGTTGTACAGTTTATCAGAAGAGCAATTCAAGGCCCTTGGGCTTCTTGTTGTTAGATATGACATTGGTGTATAAAGATTATTCTCAGAAAAAATACTTTTGATTTTTAGGAGATGAAACATATGAAACCAGACAGTTTTTTAATGAAGAGGCTTAATAAAGTAAGTCCTTCTTTCTGTAATCAACTATCCAGCATGATATATCATATACATCACATAAATCTATCACAGTATGAGCTTTTGTTCAAATCCTTCCTTTTCAGAAAAATGAACATTTATATTCTCTGAATATTTTATTGAGAAAAGTTTAATGATACAGTTTTAAGAATGCGTTTTTGAATTGGGCTGGGGCGGTACAACTTTTTCTATATCGATACATATCACAATATTTGAGCCACGATACGATATGCTTAATTGGTTATAAAATCTTTTTTTTTTGTATTGAACTGAACCTAACATTTCTTCACAAATGAAAATAATTTATTCAAAGAAGTTGTATATTTCTTGTAAAACAAAATTATTTTAGACAGGTGCTGTTAATTATTATGTAACTATTTCGTATTTATATTTAGCATATTTATTTTATATATTAAACCCAAAATGTTAAGTAAACAAAGAAAAACATAAGTCAGAAATTTTTTTGCGTTTTCAATATTTCTTCAATATGCATATCGTCCTCACACAGAATTGATATTATTGATATCTTGATATATCATCCCAGCCCTATTTTTGAAGAGCAAAACTTACTTTCTTGCTGTATTTCAGAATATGAATGGGAGTGATGTTGAGGAAAACTGGATAATACATATACTACAATTCTTTTTACCTTTCCCAGGGAATCAAAGATTGCCAGCAGTCCATTATTAACCTTCTCTCAGTGATGGAGATAGTAATCTCCCCTGGTGATAAGAAACCTGAAGTTATCTCCCTTGAAGATCTCAGTGAAGAGGGCCTTATAACACTTCAGATGAGAGTGTCTGATGCTTTGTATAAATTAAATACCTGAATGGTTTTATAAGTAAACTATTAATTACATTGTTGTTAATATAGTTATTCCTGAAGAAGTACTGGGTACAGTAATAGGGTACAAGATTTTCATAGCCATTTCTCATTATGACTTTAAGTGTTTCTTTAAGATTAGCAGGTGTTTAGGTTTTTACAGTAAGTTATAACTGTTCACAGAAATATCCTCTGAATATAAAGGAACAGATATAATAAATGCAGGATACCTAAATACATTGTATTTCTTGCACTCCAGAATGAATTATTTTCATAACAAAATCAAATGTTTTGGTCGTCTGATATTGCACTCAGGAGAGCCATCAGTTATAAACTATAACATGTTTAGCTTCTCTGAAGTAGCTGAACCAATTTCAGCAGTTACCAGGTAAGTAGGTACAGTTTTGGCTTTGATATGCCCTAAAAATTTGATGTTTTCAAAAAAATATTGAAATATGAGTTGAATATATGAATGTGATAGATCAAGGAAGAATATGGCATAAAAGAGGACCGTTCTGGAGCTACATCTTTGATAACCAAGGTTTTCTGATCCCCTACTCCCCTCCTCCTCTGTGAGGAGAAGATTGGATCAGAAACCCTTGGCTAGCGAAGATGTCACTATTTTGTAATATATCTGAGTTTTAAACAGAAAAGGACTCGTTTAAGGGGTTATATTTTCCTAAGAAATAGTGTCCATAGCAGTCACCCACTTCAATTTCTCGGATATGTTGTGTAAAAATGTGTAAAGGTATGGATGAATCAATTATGGATGCATACTTTTCATTGAACATTTTTTTTATACAAGTCTGTCAAAGAGCAAGAGGGTACTCACGAGCATATGCATTTGTCCACCTTGGACAATTAAGTAGGCAACTAGAGTTACCTCCCTTCTCGTGAAAATTTAACCTAAAGAACATCTTTTGAAGAGTAATAGGGCCATGATTTGACATATTGATACGCAATGCTCCTCAGGTCGATTGAAGTTAATCATATTGTGGTCCTGGGGAGTAGTACAAGGATCACCCTCTTTTTGTTTGCTGAAGATCACAGCATCTCTATGACGAAAAGTTACTTAAGTTTATATTGTTCCTATTTGCTTTGTACTTTTTGAGTTCACATGAAACATGAACTTTTAAGGCTTCTTTACGTATTATCATTCCAATAACAGCATGTCACTGTGTTTGATCGAGTTTGCTAAAGTTTCAGAATGTTGATTACCATATTTTTCTCATCGATTGGATGTTTGATTTCAATGACTTGGCATATGAAACAGAGAACCCAACAATACACAGATAATACTAACCAATCACATTGAATGATTGTTTAAGTGAAAGCTCTCTTCATATGCAAATATTTACATCCACTGAATATTATTTCCTTTATTTCTTAAGAAACCTATTGCCGTTTATCAGTGAGTAAACAACACTAAGCAAGCCACCTAAATAGATTTCTTGGGTAACGGCTGTTCCATCAATTATACGTACAATGACATACACTTAGATCTATTTTACAACATTTAACATATTTAATTTTACTTTGATTTTTTTATACAGATGTAAATATAAACAATAAAATGCCTTTATTTGTTTGTTAGTACGGGAATTAATGTCGCAGCTATTGCAGAAAAAATTTACATAACCCGCTTACGCGGGCTGCGACATTAATTCCCATACTAACAACCAAAGAAGGCATTTTATTGTTTAAAATGGTATTCTTTTCATTGAATTCAAACAACCAATCGATGAGTAATATGGTAATCTACATGTGAGAACTTTAGTACGCTCGATCAAGTAAAGTGACACGCTGTTATTGGAATGATAGTAATGATTACACATATATTTTTCTTTAAACTTTTTCAGGTTTTAAGTTACAGTAAGTATTTAATTCCCCACCGGAATCATTGTTTATTTTACTGCTTCTTGAGGAACTCGCATCATTTGAGGTGAATCCGGAAGGAATTATGCGAAATATGTACCTGTATCATTAAAAAGAATGTAATCTAGAGACTTCCGTCTCAACAAAGTGTAAAACAGGAAGTTCTCAAATGGAAGCAATTAATTAAGGAATAAGTGTTTAGTTTTTTGGTTTTATAATGTAATCAATCAATTTGCTTCTTATAAACGGAGTCAATTAAAAAAATGAAGTTATGCCTTTGTTTTCATACACTTTGTGTATATATTTTGTTTGTATGTGACGTGCTTTCATCTGTTAACAAATGTATATGTTATTTTGGAATCATAGGAGAAAAAAGCTGTTCAGTGCACAACCCCATTCCTTCGTTAATCAGCTGTTAATTTTTGCGTATCCAGTGTACTGAGCACTTCTATTTCTAATTACCATGGCACGCGGCACGTTCGAAAAAGAATGTGATGCATCATGGAAAAAACTTTTGAAGAAAATTTCTAGTTTTATATGAGCAAATTATTTGTCAGCGATTGTTTTATTCCCACGTTTGCTTTTAAATGTGTAGATGATTTATGGAAGTTAACACACTTGATAAACTTCCACCGATATAGAAAAAAAAACTACCATTCTGAATCATATCTATGTCTATAGTGGCATTTTTCTGCCAGCACTTGTCAGATAATTATGTCCATTTGTCAGATCTTCATGTAGACTTGTCAGATCTTTATGCCAACTTGTCAGATAATAGTGCTCATGACTACGAACTTAGTATCTTGATATTAAAACTTAATAATGCCACTAACGGATATCTACTTGACATCATAATATCTGATAAGTAGACATATCTATCTGAGAAGTTGACATAATTTTCTTACAAATCGACTTGTCAGATGTTTTAGCGACGTTTTAGTTAATGATGTCGACTTGTAGGATGTTATGTCGACTTGTCAGATGTCAATTAAGTCGACTTTTCAGATAATGATGTCAACTTGTTGGATGTTTTGTAACCTTATCAGATAATTATGTTAACTTGCATAATTATGTCGACTTGTCAAATCCTATTATCGACTTGTCAGAAAAATATGTTGTCAACTTGTATATCTTTTAAAACGTGAATAAATGACAAGTCGACATAAAGAATAGTTATCAAGCAAGGTGTGACAGAAATATGCCACCATAAAGCATAAATTTATCACTTTTTTAGTATAACAGTTATCGGCAAATTTTCATTTCTGTATAAAAACAATTTATGAGTACATATAATATATTGTATTAAGTGCCGTTGCATAAATAAATCACCATAATCTTATTAATGGAAGCGTTTAATTAAAATTTCTACTAACAACACTTTGAATGAAAATATCGCAAACAACAACAATTGAATATATTTCAGTTTATTGACTGTTTATATCAAAACGCAAAATGAACAGTTGATAGTTAATTTTTTTTTAATTTCAAAGTCAGCCGTGTATGAGATGAAAGACAATCTCAGATTTTTGAAGGTTCACTGCATGTATCGAAGTTTCTTAATATGACCTTTATGATACTCTCCAACAAAGAGTTCATCGGCTTTTCCAACACACAGGCAGTATGGTTCGTCTAGAGATATGTCTGTTATAAAGCTGACCAACTGACCAATACGATCTACGATGTGTATACAGTTATTTTGCTGGTCTGCCACCAGGATATGACACTGACTATCCGTGGTAATGCCCTTAGGATAGAATGTAGGATATTTCCTCAACATTTGCTGCCCACTGTAATAAAACTTGAAAATTCCCTTTAGGTCAACTACAGTGACGCGATTATAATGGGCATCAGACACGCATACATCTCCATTCTTGTTTTCAGCTATAAAGATTGGTGACCCGTACAGACGCCTACCTTTACTATCAAGGCAATATTCTCTTGTTTTTGTAAACCCCTGGTATCCGACAACTCGAGCGCGCCTAGCGTCATCAGAACGCATTGCGACCAAAATATCGCCGGTGTCAGAACAACACAATGCCCAAGGTTTCCAACCGCCCAAATTTATCATGGTGTCCACCTGATCATTCTGTAAATGGAATATCCGTCTTTCTTGCCAGTCTGCATAAATAATTTCTCCCAAATCTGTTATCGAAAAATCGTCGGGAGAGTTTCCGGAGAGTGTTTCTAGTTCGTCTTTGTAACCATGGGTTGTCTGGTCGATGCTTTTGATGGATTTTTCGTCTCCGCTAATGAAAATACGCTTGTTCCAAACACTGATCCGCCAGAGGGGCTGACAATTAGTAAAGATTACCTCCTCTATCATAGGTTGCTTTAGAAAGGTCTTGAAGCAGAGTTGTTCAGTTTCTTGCCCGATGTTTTGCTGAACCACCGATTGATCACGTCCATTTTTCTTCACAAAAATCCACGACCATACCTGCTTTAAGGTCTCCAAGATATCCACCATTCTATCTATCGTTAAAAAATGAAAATATTTATCAAAACTATGCAGTTGACAAATACGACTAGATTTTTGCGTAGAATATGAGGATATTTTAAGTAGCTGTCACCTGCTTCTTCCTGTATAATCCAGGACGTCTATTGAACACAGAGTCAAGAATCTTCCTCTTCAGTATGTATATAAGAATACCATCAAATACCTGTGCAGACAGTAAGACAAACTGGAAATTATTTCCCGCTGTGTATACATACATGACCTTGTGTTTATTCGTATATCAGGAAACTTCATGTACCTATGAACAGGAAATTTCTTGAAAATAGTTTCTATAAAGTGATATAGAGCTCCACTTGCTGTAAAACAGGGGCGGATCTAGAGGGGTCCCCCTGGAATTTTCAGTCATAAAATTTTTATGTAAAGAATCAAAAAATTGCCTTGGACCCCCCTAAGAAACGCGAACCCCTCTTATAATGGTAAAGAAGGCCATGTATCTGAAGAAAATTGACTCTTAGAAACGTGTCTTGTTCTACCCCCCCCCCCCCCACTCAAATATATATATGTATATATATATAGTTCAGTTTCGATATCTCGAACACCGATACCTCGAATACCATGGATATGGTGAAGTGATTTGGAAGTCCCAACCACATTTATTTCTTTAAAGTATTTAACCCTCGATATTTCGAATTCTTGGATATTTCGAAGTTTTTTTCGGCCCTATCGAGTTCGAGATAACGAGGTTTGACTGAATATATAAAGGTGAAGCGTGTCACCCGTCGTCAAGGAATGTTGACTTTTGCCGAGCTCTATCGCGCAGGAGGGCGGGGTTTCATTATTAGAGGGTAACAGTGATTTGATTTTAACAAATGTTTCTCGACGAATCAAATACAAGTATTTTACTTACCGATACATGAAAGCAGGGTTGTTCCTAAGACTACCGAGGGCCGAGGATTTTCCCCGCCAATTATGACGTATAATCCCCTCTGTTATTCCCCCACAACCCCCTCTGAGTGGTGGAACCGTAGATCCCCATCTAATTTTTAGCTCACCTGAGCTGAAAGCTCAAGTGAGCCAAGAACGACTGGGCCAGAAAAGCTGAAACTTATGTGGAAGCTTCCTGAGGTAGTGTAGATTCTAAATTGTTCAAACCAAGGCCCCTGGGGGTATATGTAGGGGGACCACAATAGGAATCGAAGTTTTACATTGAAATATATACCGAAAATCTTCTCAAAAACCACTGGACCAGAAAAGATTAAATTTCGGTGGAAGCTTCCTGAGGTAGCGTAGATTGTAAATTATTCAGATCATGTAAATTATTCAGATCATGGTCCCCTGGGAAAAGGGAGGGGCCATTATAGGGAGTCAAAGTTTTACTTTGAAATACATAGGGACTATATTTAGCAACCTTCTTTTCAAGTACTGGTAAACCAGAAAAGCTGAACCCTAAGTGGAAGCTTCCTGAGGAAGTGTAGATTATTCATTCTTCAGATCATGGTCCCCGAGGATAGGGTGGGGCCATAAAAGGATTTACATTTGGAAAAATCTTTAATACTTCTCTTCTCAAGAACAGCGATGCTATGATGAATCATATAAATGTAGAAGCATCTTCTGGAAGTGTAGAATCTTTTTTTTGTTCAAATCATCGCCTGTTTATAGGGTGAGGCCACAAAAGTTTATCAAAATTTTACATAGGAATACATGTACATTGGGGGAAAATATGATGCAGAACAGTAGGGCCAAATTGACTCAGGTGAGTGTTGTGGCCCATGGGCCTCTTGTTTAATGTCCCCTGTTATTTCAAATCTTAGGGATAACCCTGTGAAAGTATACTAATTAATAATAATATGATGATGAAATATTTAGTGATGTCAACGAGTGCCAGGTTAACCGATTAATCGTCGAACGATGCGAATATCGGTTAATTAAACTATACTACTCGGATATGGAGACAAAAGTAGAAAAGGAATGTTATTTTGTTGAAAAAATGACTACATGTACTTACATTTGTACCCTGTTTTATTTACCCTTATTTAATGTTAGACTTGATGTAGCGTTTCACAAATACGACCAATTTGTTTTGATTACACTTAGTTTTCACAGTTTATCTTACTGATTGCTTTGATTGCCAAGAGGTATAACAGTTTAGAAGATCTGACTTAATTATAATAACCTTACTTATTAAATTGTGCTAGTACGCGGTGCATGATTAAACAAGATGCCGCCAAATCATCTCAAAGGCACAGATTCCGAAATATTTTAAATTCATGAGGTATAAAATATGTGAAATGTAATATACACAGAAACATGACTCTGAAACCATTGATATAATAGGATAGCAAAAACAGCCAACTTTTACAGGATATTCGAGAACACATTATTTAGAAGCTTATGAGTTTTTGCAATTATAAATAAATAAATAAAATAAATATACACTTGCATTTGTGTTTTATGCAGGCCGGTATATTAATGATAAACACCTAAACTGTAACGACGTTACATATATTACAGTAATATTGAATATATACTGAGAGCAAGGATGTTAGAGGTCTGAAGAAAAAGCACCCGAGTAACCGGGTACTCGATCGAATAAGTAAGCGCTGAGTAACCGGTTACTAAAAATCGTCCGATTTGACAACACTAGAAATATTGTCTTACCTTGCTTTACAAAGACTGAAATTTTAGTCTCTCTACAAATCAGAAAACCAAACGCCCCGTTGAAAGATAATGTATAAATCTTAACGATTCTAATATTCGCAATTGTGTACGTGTGGAAGTGAATGCTTGTTCTCTCAAACCCTTTAGAAGCCTTTAAAAGCAACGACCTGGTTCAGCGTATTTTCCCACTAGATGTATTTTATCTATTGCTAAAGTCCATGCTAAGTCAATCAATTAATCAGTAGAGCTACCTTTGTCGCTATACACATGTATGTCAATGTCAGGTCATTTTGCAAAAATCAATCGATCAATAAAATAGAATTAAAAAATACATATAGTTGAAAGATGCAAAAAATTATTTATTTTTATACAAAAAGAAAGAAATGTATGACGCTTTATAAAGAGTTAAACTATGAAATATTTTTAAGCGAATGTCACTTTTATGAGGAATCAAATATCAATCTTATTAAATAGATAAATATATTACAGTCTTAAACGTTGAAAATGTACATTTGTAAGAAAAGGCATCCTCTAGAACTCATTTCTATATGATTTTGTACTTTTTCCCCTCTACATCAAACGTGTATTACCTTAATATTTAAAAAAATCTCATAAAAAAGCACCTATTTGGGGAAGGGGAGGAGGGAGGGGCAATGTATTTATCACGAAGATGATAATGCTACTTTTCTTATTATTTGCATTATATTATTGTTGGGAATATGCACTGAATAAGTTCAAATAAGACGAAAAGAGAGCAGACACACAAAGGTTCAATGCAGCTCATTTCAAAACCAGGTTGGTACATGTATGTATCTACAATAAGAAAAAAAAATAGCATAATCGCCCTACTAATGTTGAAATGGAATCCTGTTGATTATTAGGTCTTATATACACTGTTGATATCGGTACCTATAATATATCAAAGACCATTGTAAATTATGTAGAGCGGCAAGGAAGTGATACTGCTTTTTTTTAATTTGAAAAGATGAAAACGATTACTTCTGCAAGTACTCACATGATCGCTGTATTGACATTCCACTCTTCTGCCAAACAGTGGTCTCTTTTTAAGTACAATTGTCAAAACTGGCCTTTGCGCATTCCGGTATTTTATCAATTCCAGTCTTTGACAATTTAGTCCCATACACTAAATTACAAACTAAGAACTATAGAGTGTTCCAGAGAACGTATGTGTCGCCTGCTACAGAATCATAAAAGACATAAATAAGACTAAAGGGTGGTCGTATATTTTATAAATATTCTTATAGTTCAAGCAAAGAAAAAAAATCCACGCAGAGTAAGACAGCGATTAATAATATTTATCATAAAGTTACACAGTTAATATATTCAATAAATTCAAGTTAAAATGAATAATTAAATTGAATTTCAATTGTTGAAAATAATCATCCCATCTCATCATCATCCCATCTATATACGAGTCTATTTCAACAATCCACAACATTCACGAGCCCAAGTCGATATACCGATCCTGAACTAACGGAACAATCGGAACATCACACCTGGCTCTTTTCTGTCTAGTCTCGTTCAACCTGATACTGCTCCGACGAGCAACCCTCTACTGGTCGGAGTTTACGGAAACAGAGGAGTGTGTGGTTGAACGAAAGTATTTTCTTCCTAGTCGAGAAAATCTTTAAAGATTTTTTCCATTGATACAAGTTTAATTCAACAATTCAACAATTCCCGAGACTCACGATCAAAAGCAACTCTCTATTCGTCGGAGTTTACGGAGACAGCCGAGTGTGTGGTTGAACGAAAGTATTTTCTGTCTAGTCGAGAAAATCTTTAAAGATTTTTTTCATTGATACAAGTTTAATTCAACAATTCCCGAGACTCACGATCAAAAGTCGGTATACCGATTCCGTTTAATTTTTTAAAGATACCTAATAGAACACTCGGAAAATCACATGACGTTTTACGTCAAATCGAGAACATCACTCGGCTTTTTCCGTCAAGTCGAGAAATCTTGGTTGACAGAAGAGGCCGACTGATTCCCGACTGCTATCAGAGTATATTTAAATTTTAGTTTGTGTGGTTAATGTCATTTATACATTTAAAAAGAAAATGTCAGTAAGTTATAAACATGTTTTTAAATGCTAGTTAACGAAGCCTTCTTCTCAAATTCATGACATAACGGTTCAGAGTAAAATAGGTCAAGTCAAGGTCTTTTGGACTGTAACGCTGATATTTTTCAACATGTCTTACGACAAGCAGTGTATTTGCCAAATATTACAAACTTACCTGTAAAAGGTAAAAAAAAAAAATTATGTGTATATCGGCACAATGGTGTATTTTGAAAATTAATTTAAGGTCAAGTTCAAAGGTCACAAGGTCGGTAACCCTGATATTTTACAAAAGCCATTCTTCCAAGCAATACATGAACCTAATACCAAATCCCTACCTCTAACAGTCCTCAAGATTTAAGGTGAGGCAGACGGACAAACAGACAGACGTGATCCTTAAGAGTTGCTCTGCTCTGCAGGCGACACAAAAATGAGGATAGAGGAAAAATGTGATTGTGGAGAAAGACAAGGCTGGTACGCAATCTAATTAAAATCAGACTTCTTAGATCTGCGCCGCGTATACACTCTACGCAGAGTGTAAAGGGCTGATACGTTAAACATTTTTATGGAGATGACACTCAATTTTCTAATGAAAGCCTCTCTCGAGTCGTAAAATCCAGTTAATACAATCACGTTTGTTGTGCAATTTTAGTAGATTTATTTTAGTTTTATTTACTTAACATTTATTAATTTAATATTTATTTTTTTATCTGTTTATTTATCCATTGATTTTTTAAGCCTAAGAAAAACATCCGAAAAGAAAAGTTTGAATGAATTTTTGATTGATTTAATGAAAGTTAGTTTTCAAAATAAAAAATACCTTAATGAAGGAAAAAATGTGGTAGCTGAACTACAGAGCTAGACAATACTCCCCTATATTAAAGCTGTAAATCTTTTGAAGAACGTAAAGTTTGTGCGTAAAGTCAATGATTAGATACATACCCTATACACTACGACGGCTGTCCCAGAAAATTGCGAACTTTTTAAATACCGGTATTTCATGACTATGGTTGATCGGCGCATGGCAGTTTTTTAAGATTCGTAGAATTTAGAGAAAATGTTATTTATGGGGATATTTAAGTGAAATTTCTTTGCAGTATTCGGAAATGCTGATTATGGTGGATGCCAGTTTTTAACTTCATATTTTTGAAACCAAAACAAAAAAAATATTGGGACAACCCTCGTATAAAAATTTAAAGCAGTGTGTCAGGGATTTTTCCACTTCAATATTAAAAAAAAAGATTTTTTAAAACCCTCTACTTAACGTTTATTTCTTAATATCAGTAAACTTTGATTTTATACATGTTCATTGAAATGTGTTCATTTTCCCCGGTTGTTATGGAAAATACATAATAATTTACAAAACAGAGTATTTAGTTTTCACTGACGTAAATGGAATGAGGTTGAATGCTTCCGTGTTTCGTTATTGACCGGGAAGTTGTCCTCGTGTCCAGTCCACTGTCCCCAGGGTGCATATTACGTCACAACGGACACGTGTTATTAGAGCTTCATAAACAACAGGGCTACACCAGTCGTCATAGGGTACACACATAAGGTAAGGAATGAAAACTGTTTTACAATGCATGTATGTATAGACGTTTGATTGTATAAAATATTTGATAATTAATTCAGCAGAAAATCCGTAATATATCTATAATTTAGTTATATTAATACACATATGCTGTTAATAGTTACTGTAATTAAAATACTTCTAATGTGAAAATATCAATGAAATAATTATATAGACTTGTAATAATGTTTTAACAGAATGGGGTTCATCAGTAATCTAGACATCGCCCTAACTTGGATCCTCCCATGCTTATGCATTGTGGACGGTTGTATCAAGGTCTTTCCATTTAACACAGAGCTTTATGGAGAAATTGTAAGTTTGAGTATACTTGTAATTAAGTAAATGAATGACTTTGCCTAGCACTTCAACTGTGAACTCCGAATAGTAAGCCAACGCAGCAGACACTGCGAAACACCATAACCAACACAAAAATTAAAATTTTAAGGCGACAAAAGCTTATCCATGTCCTTTAAACTTTACCAACATCCTGAAAGTATTGAAATTGGTCATTTCCTTTGAACTTATTGTGTACTTCAGGAAACCTATGCAGTGTTGACACTGAATCTTTTTTTTTCAGGCACGAGAATTTCAGGATTTCTCCAAGGTTTGCCCTTTGACCTTGATCGGATACACACCTAACCCGGACAATTACAGGATATTTGTCGGGGTGTACGAAGTTTCCTGCAGTCTGGCTGTACTCTTCTCCAGTGAAATAAAAACTGTAGCCACTGGGATTCTGGCTCTTATTTCCGGTGGTGCTATTTTTACCCACATTGCACTTGGGGATACTACTTCCGCCATACCACCTGCTGTGACGGGAATGTTGTTCTTGTTTTTGTATATCAGGGCTTATATGGCATCTATGGAGTCGACACCAAAACAGTCCAAATACAAAGTACCAAAGAAACTCAAAACCAAATGAATAATTTGTTTTACCTTAGTGATTAAAGTGAAATGTTTTGGATTGATGTGGTATTTTTTTTTTAATTATTTGTTAATTGATTGTTATCATTTAAACTTTGTTCGCACATGAAAAAAAATGCTTATTCAAGACGTTTTTCACTGTTGATACAAATAACTAAAGAAATGATGTAACCTATTGATTTGGTAAAATACCTTATTAACTACAGTATATAACTACATGTATAAAGGAGACACGTGAAAATTTATATTAATCCCTAATCCAAATGTCTAAAAAGAGAGAAAATTTGCAATTAATGATCCCATTACATGTATTTTAAAATTTTGCAATTTTTTCTTTAAAATTTTTATTTTTAAAAAGTAACCTTTCATTCGACCGATTCACACACACACACACACACACCCTCACACACACACACACACCCTCACACACACACACACACACACATATATATATATATATATATATATATATATATATATATATATATATATATATATATATATATATATATATATATATATATATATATATATATATATATATATACGGCATGACACATGGACGATGGTATTCAATATTTAGGTAAACGAAACCTTGCTCATCACAAGCATGACTTGCACTTAGTTTGTTTGCTAAATACTCAGGATCAAAGAATAAATTTTTTTAAGAGTCAATGCATTTTATCATATTATCAATGAAGTCCCGATCTAACAGACATGTGACCCGGGGGCCATTGATTTCAGTTTTCAAAATGCACCCTTTCTTATCATAATTATTCACTTAGTTTGTCTGCTTAATATAAATAATAGGGGAGTGAAGAATTTTTTTAAAGAATATAACAATGCATTTTAACTTCATGTAAATGATCAGTAAAGCCCGAGCTACATGTATCGCCAGAACCCCAATGCATGGACAAAGAATTTCACAATTTTGGAAAAGATACCCTTGCTCATCATAACTAGGCACTTGTAAGTGTACAGTGTGAGTAAATTATTTTAAAGAATTTAAGTATTTTCACTATCTTTATGTGATCAGGGGAGTCCTGCCTAACACTAAAACCCTACCCTGTATGGAACCAGGAATTTCACAATTTAGAATAAGCGCCCTCGCTTTTCATTACCACGCACTTAGTTTGTCTGCTTTATGTACAGAGAGAATGAGATTTTGAAAGCAGTTATGCATTTTCACTGTATAATCAATAGAACCCCATCCTAACACTAGAACCCCTGACCCTGGGGTCATGAATTCTACAATTTTGCAGAAGACAGGGGCAGATCCAGGGAAATAGAGACAGGGATGAAATTCTTTATGAGACAGAAGGTCTAGGGCCTCGGCTTAAGCCCCCCCCCCCCCCGTAAGCTCCTAATTAATGTTGGTGATTTTAAGAGTAAAATTACAATGTAAACATTGTAATTAGCTTTATTAGATCTTGTTATACCCTACAAACATAATTTAGTATCAATAAACTGTAATCATGCAATTTCTTTCTAGTCTCGCTGAACTCAGTTGCGCATCACTAAGGTGTGATTTTGGCCCCATCTACATGTACTTACTATTCTTGGATTTGAGCCCCCCCCCCAATTTTCATCGTGAGAGATATATAGATTTATTTGGTATCAATTGATATGATACATGTTTCATCATATGATGACGCCTCTCATCTTAATGTATGTCTTGTCATTTTTTAAAGAATCAATAGAATCGAAACAACTTTCGGAAATATTAGCCATAAAAATTAATTCATGATTTGTGAGACAGAATGAATTTCCTGTCCAAATGACAAAGAAAAAAAAAACAATCGTGTAAATTATTTTCAGTATCTTTATATTCAATGTAACCATGTGAAAAGTCTGAATTATAAAGAGTATCATTTAAATATTTATTTTTATCATAATTATGATAATTTTTATCATTGTAAAAAAATTCAAACTAAACTGCTTTCTGATATTATATATGTTTATCCGGCGCCAAAAAAATTGGTAGATAAGAGAGCTAAGTATGCAAAACGAGTGCGACTTATTTTCATTTTCCTACCTATCTCAATAATGTATGAAAAAAAAAAAAAAAAAAAAAAAAAAAAAAAAAAAAAATCTGAGTTCCCCAACTTCCATTCTACCAGTATTAACATATTTAAATGTTTCTACCAAAATTGGTAGAAATTGGTCCACCGGTTCCAGAGAAGCTGCTGAAAATGTTGATACATGAAGTTGTTAATGCACGACAGACGACGCACAGCGCACGACGACGGACAAAAAGAGATAGCAATAGGTCACCTGAGTTATATTTAAGAATTTTGTCAGTTTACTATTTACATGAAATAAATACATATTTCAATCCAGATTAACAAAGTTCATTTCTAAACTACCGGTAAACCTGGAAATGTATTGTCCATGTATATTCTCACGCAAGGCCTGATTCGGACTGGATCAATAATGGATTACCGTACCCACTGTGTTCTCCAGCCCAATATAACTGTATGTTACAGCGAAAACTATCAAGAAAAAAACATCTTATTACTTTGGATAAAATTTTTAAAAAACGTGTATCATTATATAAGATTCTTTTTAATCTGTTTTTATTGAACAATACTGCTGTTTTCTGTTAATTGGCATGACAGGCCCGTAGCAAGTTTCAAAAGGGGGGGGGGGACTTCCAAAAAAAAGTTATTAACATGTAAGAATGAACGATTTCTAAAACGAGGTAAATTTTTGACATACAAGTTGATGAAACAAGAATATCAACAGTTTCGTTTAAAGTCATCATTTCGTAAGTTCTATGGTTGATACGATGACCTTGTCAGCAAATACAATCTATCATTAAGTCATATGCTGACTGACGTTTTGCATACTAATTACTGGGCCATTATTTACACACTGAATTGTCGACGAATTTTCCCGTTATTTCCATTATCATGACAAGGAGCACATGGCGGATGTGACGGGTCGACAGGGGATGCTCACTCCCCCATGGCACCTGATCCCATCCTCTGATGTTTTTGGAGGTCCCTGTTTGCTCTGCTCCCGATTTGTATTGTTTTAATGGACTTTGAGCTTGAATACTGTTCGTTATCTCCATATTACATTATTACATGTATGTACTGAAGCAAATTAAAAAAAAATTACTTTGGACCCCCCCCCCCCCCGAAAACGTGGACACCTGTCAAAAAATACGTTTCTCATTGTTGAGTAAGGATTTTTATTTGGGGGGGGGGGCTTTTTTGACTGGGGCGGAAACACCCCCCCACCCTTGATCCTGGAAAAAAATCTTGAATCCGCGCCTTGAAGAGGGTTCGTGAAAGAAATGGGAACATTTTACAGATGGAGAAAGAAAAAAATGTCATTCTTGATCTTTCAGCTTTTGCCCTTAAGTCCACGTAAATTTAGAATTAGATTTTTGTCCTTATTTGCTTAAAAATTGGGGCGGGTGGGCGAATTTTATTTTTATTTCCATTACTGTAAACATCTACATAATGATTTTATTATACATAATTTTCACGTCGTAAATACAAATATGGATATATAGATTTGATTGCGTATTTTCTAAATGTGTACAGAAGATGCTTTTCATATAAAATATTTATCACACTGTAATAAAGATTTATGAGAATAACTGCTTGTATGCAATTGAGCGCGGATTCTTTAGATCCTTTGGTGCTTTACGGTTTATTAATCACTTCTCATTGGCCTTTTTCTATACATATATTTTTCGTCTGACCAACAGATACTTGTGCTTTGTCTGAAAATGCATTGTATCACAGACTTGCACTGTCCTTATAACGTCCAATTTGTTCTTGACACGTTCGATATTATCAAAAATTTCCACAACTCGTGGTGTCTAGCCTGTTTAACCTTTACTAAACAGTTCTAGATAATACATTTTCCGCCGACAATCTGTATTGTGTGCAATATCCATATGCTCCCGAGCTAAAATAGTGCCGCGCGACTTTTGATACAAACGGTGAGTAATTCTAAAACTTTGATTGTGATCGATGCCAACAGATTTCCAATTGAATTTTGGGTAAAAAAAAAAAATTAACCAAAATAAAAACAATAGCGGGGCGGGACACTTTGAGAGGGGCGGGCGGGGCCATAGGGGGGTTGTGGTATAAAAGAGTTTCAAACGAAAGTGTTACACACAGACAGAATGTATGAATTTTGACCTTGACCTTTGACCTTAAAATCAATATGGGTCTTCTTTAGACCATATGGAGTTGTGATATAAAATTTCATTGCAAAAGCTCAAAGGATTCTTGAGATATCGCCCGGAAACGAAAATGTTATACACAGACAAAAATACAGACAGACAGACAGACAGACGGACAGACAGACCCAAATTAATATCCCCCACTTTCAGTGAAAGCAGGGAATTAACAAAAAGCAGGTCACCTGATTATCCTAAGCGTCGTTAATGTTATTAAATCTCGGAATGAATGGGTGTATGTTATAGTTACCGTATGTTTTTCTACTGGTTTGCTATAGATACCCGATGACATTTTGAAACAATCACGAGGGGCAACGCCCCGAGTGGGTGTTTCAAATTGTCATCGGGTATCTATAGCAAACCAACAGAAAAACATAACGGTAACTCACTTATACCATAACTACAACCTGTACGTAGATTCTAAAATTAGAGTTACTCTGCTTAATCAAGCGTGCAAAACATCGACTGAAAAATGGGTAGTTAGATAAATAGTGTCAAAATATTAATGTGAATAAAATTATATACTAATATACTATCAATATATACACTGTATACAATTAAAAAAATAATAGTAATTAAAGATTATAGCAATTGACTTTTTGATAAATGAAATGCTATGAGTGAATTGAGGGGACTATACTTTTATGCACGCTTGACCAAGCAATATATATCATACGAAGAGGCACGTGCTTGAGTGGTCAGTCCGGGTATCAGCATGGAGGAAGACGGTATGGATTTCGCATTGTCTCAGGCTCTCGATATTATTGAGGCCGAAAAATCCCTAAATCACGGCCAGGAACACGTTAA